GTCAAGCAACTTTTATTTGAAACATTTTGTTGTACATTCAAATAAAAAAGTTATTGGGGTGGATAAATTGAAATGGCTCACCCTGTATATGTTAAAACTATGCCATCATAGTAATAATACGAACAGTTTGCAAAAATTGAAGGAAGAATGGTATTTGTAGTGCCTAAGTTATTTAACGTTTTAAACTACTTACATTATATCATTTTGTTCATTTTTGTAAATTCTAAATCCTCCATCTTTAGCTATAAGACCAGAAAATTTCACATTTAATGTATACAATCCTGATGATAAGTTATACGGATAAGATGTAATGGTAATATATCTTTCAATGTCTTCAATATATTTCTTCGGTGTATGGGCAAAAACTTTTTTCTCATTTCCTTTAGGAATTTGTGTATTGTTTGTTAACGTAGTTTTAATTATAGACAAATTTTCTGTATAAAAATATATATCTTGCGTTTCATGAGCAATATAAATGCTGGCATTATATTCGCCGATGAACATATCGTCATCGATATGTAATACAAGGTGAATATTATACTGTGATGGCATTAGGATAATGTGTGGTTCGAGCAATTGCGCATCAATAAAAGGAGTTGCCACGACAATGAATATAAGACTACAACTTAATACTTTTAGGAATGCCATGACACTTATTTTCTTTCTCTATTTCATTTGTCTTAAATAAGCATATTTTCTTCTGGAAAAAAAAACAAACAAATAAAATAATATATATATATATATATATATGTAATAAAATAATATATATAATTATATATATATATATATATATATATATGTAATAAAATAATATATATAATATATATATATATATATATATATATATATATGTAATAAAAAGAATTTGCTTTAATTATTACTTTAGTACATATAAAAAGAGATAAAGAAAAAAATATCATTCTTTGTTAATAATGTACAGCCTTAGGCTAAAAAAATTATAATATTTGAATATATATTTTAGCAAACAGAATATATTAATTTTATAAGTTTTATCACGCCTATATAATTAATAAAGAATTTCTTTATTAAATACTTAATTTTAAATTAAATTAAGTTTTTTTATTTCAAAAGTAATATAATAATATATGTTTCAAATTAAAATTCTATTCCTCTTCAATAATTTTGAAGAGGACTGGCACTTTTGACAAAAAGAATGATACTTGTTTTTAATGTACACATTTTATTTATCTTTAAAACGGTTATATAGGTATCTTCTTTTATGATAACTCACCTCTCTCGTATATTATAGTTGTTTGCCGATTAGGAATTAATTTTTTGATAATAATTAATTGTTGTTAGCTTATTGATTTGATACGTATTATAAATATTATTAATATCGACAAATTAATACATAATATTAATATCGACAAAAATATATCTGTATTAATTTGATTTTCTGCGAAACTACCGAGAAATAACAACGTTCGATATCTGAAACCATAATAAACATATCATTAGAACGATTTTTAAAATCAAAATATTGTGAAATCAGATTTAATAAACGCCTTATTAATTAATAAGTAACAAAGTGTAAATATTTGATTAAATTAACTTTCGCGTTATATATATGATTTTAAAATAATTATTTTTGGAAAACGTTTTACTTGTTAACTTATATTTTATACTTCCATTTTCTTTCTTCAAAACAAATAATTTATCTCTTTGTATATTAATTTTTTAAGTTGATGTAGACTTTTTTACATTAAATATTTAAAATTAATATTTTCTTCTTCTATCATATAAACAGAATAAAAGATACGTTTCAAGAGAAGAACTCAACAGAAATGAATTTTGCAATTTTGTATATGTCATGTAATATATATTACAAAATGTCGTTTTTGTATTACAATTAATATTAAAATATTATTCCAGTGCAAAAAATGATTTCATTTTCAGATAATCAATTTTCAAATTTATCATGTTTTGACACATATAGGATTTATGTAGTAATGTATAAGACTCTTATGTAATAAATTGTAATCAACTTAAATGACTTATTATTAAATTGTTAACGCTTTAGTATTATGAATTATTAATATCAAAAATATACCTGTATTAACTTGATCTTGCTATTCTGGAATACTACCGAGAAATGCTAACGTTCGACACATGATATCATAATAAGCATGTTATGAAAACAATTTTGAAAATCAAAATAATATGAAACCAGACTAATACGTGTCTTATCAGTTAACAAACACAATAAAGTGTCGATACATGTTTAAATCAATTCTCTTGTTCTATATATTTAATTTTAAAGTAAAATTTTGAATTAAATTTTAGAGGAATTAAAAAAATTGTACCTTATCAAACTTTTATTTTTTTTACAATAAATATATCAACTTAATATGTGTCTTACCAGTCAATAAATAGAATAAAATGTTACATGATTAAATTAATTCTCTTGCTATATATATTTAATTTTAAAAAGTAATTTTGAAAGTAATTTTGATATATGTTTTAAAATAATTAAAAAGTTGTATATCTCTCTATACTCTCTATTCTCTTTATTCCCTCTATTTTCTCTTATATATTTTTTCTCATGAACAAACAGTCCATCGCTATTTGCGTCTTAATTTATTAGCTTATGTTGTAGATTTATGATATTTAATGTCCAAAATCAATATTTTCTTACTGTATAAAAAAGAATAAAAAACACGTTTCAAAAGAAAAACTAGGTAGAAATAAATTATACAAATTATGTCGCATAATATGTATATAATTTCGTACTTTTGTTTATTATTAAATAAATGATAAAATATTATATCAATAAAAGATATGTACAAGGAAGATATAACATTTTTGATTAATTTTGAATTTTTCAAGTTTTTAATGTTACATGTTCTTATACATATATGCAATTATTTAGTGTTCTATCAGTCCTAAGAATATCAAAAGTTATAGACTCAAAGTTCTTAATATTTCGAAACATAATTTTAATTCTTAATTTGTCAAAGATATTTTAATCAAAAATTTTTAAGTATTAATGTTACATGCATTATAAAGGTCGAGATCTTGTTATAAAATGTTTGATTTTCGACATTAAAATAACTTTAGAATCATCAGATGCCTGCGAATTAAGAGAATAATTTATCACGTTAAAAAATCTTAATTAAAGAAAAAAGATATTAATTAGAAGGATTAAAACATATACTTATCCAGTTTTTCCTCAGTCTGAACGTAACAAATATTTATCAAGAAAAAATAATCGAGAAATGCTCACACATTAGCAATACAAATTAGAACTGTTATATATATTTAATGTTAATATATTTAAAATGTTAATATATTTAAAGAAATTTACATACACATTTGCTCATTAAATTTTTCTTATTAAGTTTAAGAAGTACATTCAAAAGTGCTTCTAACAATAATAATATCAAATATAATATATATATATATATATATATATATATATATATATATATACAGGGTGAATCATTTTAATCAATACACTCGAATATCTCGAAAACAGCACTCTTCAAAAAGAAATGTTTCAAACAAAAATTGTAGGGTGTGAAGGGGGACATAAGATGGGGGACATACGTTTTCTTTGCACCAATAGTTTTGTCTCATTATCCTGTGCATAAAAGTATTAGGGTAAGACTACCGAAAACTAAATATTTTACGAGATATTTTGCATTTTATATCGAAGTACTGCAATCTTTGAAGCCTTATAACTCAAAAAGTATTTAATGAAAAAAAAAAGTCTGTAGTGTTTTGGAAAGCTCTCGAGATAAGCTACAAAAATATGTAATGAAAAATAGTGGGTTCAATTTAAGAAATTAAAGGTGACTTTTATGTGACCTTTAAATGACTTTCCAAGGTCAAACCAATGCTACTATCTTATGTCCCCCTTTACACCCTACAATTTTTGTTTGAAACATTTCTTTTTGAAGAGTGCTGTTTTCGAGATATTCGAGTGTATTGATTAAAATGACTCACCCTGTATATATATAATCTAAATTAGTTTCCATTCTTTGACAGGAGACATCCTGCAGATATGTGTATATTTTACCGAAATGTAAAAGATCAGTCGAAAAGAAATAATTCATCAGGACAATATTTAGCTTAATATCATATAATCGTTCTCTATTATGTTATAATTATTATATAATAGGTTTTTAATTGGATTTTTAATTAGATGTTATAATTTTATGATTTAGAACTTTATAAACTACTTGAACCATGAATTTTAATATAAAATTTTATATTAAAATTACTTTAAATACATATTTCTCAAATTATGAAGTCACCTAATGTTTTATTCTTTTTATTTTCTAGGCCTGAATCATTTTTATAGACATTATTAACATAGGCATTTTTTATCGTAGAAACAGTAAAATATATTCGTAATTCTTATAATCCTTTTATTAAAAATAATTGTAAAATGAGTACATATTTGTTATTATTAATTTACATGGTAAAAATATTACAATTTGTGCACAATTTTTTTATTAGTTTTGTCATCGTTTGTACATTTTAATGATTAACGTAAGTAAATACTTCTAACATATTAAAGTAAAATAGTAAGTAAATACTTCTAATATATTGATTGTCTGAAAATGTATAATAATACTTTTTTTATAATAAAAGCAATAGAAAGAAATTAATAGAACTTAATAGAATAAAGAATAAGTCTAAAAAGAAATACATTTTTTTAATATTATATGTCATATTGTTAGTATTGCATGAACATACACTAGATAATATATCTTAATCTAATGAATAGAAAGAAAATATAACATCTATAGATAAAAAATTCTCTTGTGTTCATCAAATTTCTCACATTACAAGTTTACACATACATAGACATACATATCTAATAGATCATGAATAATTATATTATATCAATTCTCTCGAATAATATGCTAAATGTGTAACATTTGAGCTTTTTAATTTTTATATAAACTTAAATTCTCTAATTCTATTAATGTAAGAAATATCTAAAAAACTCACAAAAGAAAGAAGATGCGATAATGTTTACTACCTGCTTCAATAAAACTCATTAATTTTTATTCCATTATGACTCAATCGCTTTATTGTCATTATTGTATCGTGTCACTCGTTTTATTCGTGATTTTATATTTTTAATCAAAATTAATAAATAAAAACATAAACACTATTCATATATTAAAGTAAATATGTGCATGCATTACATTTAGTTACCGTCTTTTAATTGATCAATTAATTAGCTAGAAATATCACTGAGAAGCTTTAGAAGTATCATCGTACTCTCCTATAAGATATCGATATTCGTGCAGCTGAGTTCTTATTTGATGCCAACGTAGTTCTATCTTGCGGTTTATATCCATTATTATACTCTCCGTATTATCATCAAAGAGGACGTATTCACCTACCTAAAACGGATTATTTTCACATTTATTTCAACAGTATCTTCTTTTCATATTTAAATTATAATAAAACAGGAAATAAAAATAAATAAAATATAATTAATAATGTATAAATAAAATATAATAAATAATGTATAAAAATCAGTCAAAACTATTGGCTATTAGCATAATTAGCATAAGATATAATAGTTAGATAATAAAATTAAATGCATTAATATACTTAATAACAAGAAATTCATAACTAAATATGTATATTTAAATTTCTAAGATTTACCGTGTCATTGCTTTGATCATTATAAAATTCATAGCTAATTGTAAATTCTGAATTACCCTTAAAATTAAAATTTATGTATTTCTTTATCTAAAACAAATAAAATTATTTTTTTAGATTAATATGTAAGTGGTAATTTTGACCGATAAGAATAAAATTTAATAGCATCAAATTTTTCTTTACTATAATTGTACAATGAACGCCTGTCTGATAAGATTTTAGACTGATGTAAGAAAAGATCAATTAAGTTAAAAGCTTCCTACATATAGTATTATGTAATATATATATATTAGTATATAATAGATCACATAATGGAATGTAATCCCTTCTCCTTTTTACACATTATTAACAGCTTCGAAAAAACCAATAAGGAGAGAACCTGCTTAATACTCATTCTGAAATTGCATTGAGTTTAAGATAAATGAAAATAACATGCAATTAACAAAAATAAGAATAGAAAAAGCTTTATAATTTATAAATAAAAGTTCCGATCTTTACCCATAATCGGCTATTCTAATACATATATTACAGTACAAATAAATCTAAAATATTTTCAGATATACGGCATATGCATTGATAATTCAGATTCAAAACAAGATATTAATAAACAATTATATATGTGTGCATGTACATGCGTATAAAAACCTATATATATGTTTAAAAAATTTACCTTATTAATTTGTTGTTCAGAATATACATGATTAATGATCATAATTAATGCTTTAGTAGAACTGATTTCTCTATAAAGTCAAAATTAGAGATTTATATGATTAGGCAATGGAGAAAATGGTGAAAATCTTCATAATTGCACAAGTATTACATATTTATCAAGGATCAAAAAAATTAAAAATATAAATCTACGTATAATTGATCCAAATGATAAATCAAAAATAATAATAATAATAAAGAGAGCTTGTTGAAGACCAAGAAGAGCGCAGATGGTATTACGTGTTTCATAAATCTATAATTTTTTAAAAAGAAACCAATTTCTAAAAGTACAAACTTTTGGACCTTGTTAGGACTGTACAGATCGAATGATAAAATTGTAAAAATAAACATCGATATTGCGATTGAGTCGGTGAAGGTAACGATAAAATTTAAATTAAAACTGGATAATACGCCAAACTAACGCAAAACTTTTTTGCGACGTAAGACGGTGTCTATTCATTCTTAAATTCATGAGATGTAAACCAATATATTCCTCACCATCCATCGCAATAGACGATGGTGTGCTTTTTTAATGTACAATACTGTTTGTGTCATACAGGATGGATTTCGATGGGATGTTTGAGCGTGAGTTTGGTGGCCAACGGTTTTGCGAGAAACAAAGAGTATTGTGAATTAAAAAAACAGACCGTCGTCTATTGCGGAGGATATTGAGGAATGTAATGGCTTAACATCATATGAATTTTAGAATGAATAGACAACGTCTTGCGTCACAAAAGAATTTTGAGTTAATTTGGCGTAATATCCAGTTTTAATTTAGATCGATTACCTTCACCGACCATGATATCGATGTTTAATTTTATCATTCGACCTATATAGTGCTATTTCTTGTTTATTTTATTTTTATCTTTTATCTATTTATTCGAGTATTTCTTTAATATATTCTTTTAAATTATTATTGTCACACTAAGGAAGGTCCGAAAGGAATCGAAACGTTTGTACTTTCAGAAATTGGCTTCTTTTAAAAATTATAGGTTTACAAAACACGTAATACTATCTGCGCTCTTCTTGGTCTTAAACAAGCTTTCCTCATTATTATTATTATATATTTAAAAAAGTAGTCATTATCATACTTAGGTTTTATTTCCTCTAAATGGTTTAAAATGAATTGGAGTAATGTAGTCCTTGCATGCCTCGCAATAATAGTACAAAAACTGTTTATACGATCGATAGCTGTTACATTTGTCATATTAGTCATTAAATGTATATACTGGAGAATGAATGAAGGCTTTTGAGAACAGGATAAAAATTTTAAAACACTAGAATCTGATTCCTTCAAATATATATCAAACACTTGCATCCAAATATCGTTATTGGCTGTTTTTAAACCATTGCAGAATGTCCATTCTTTCCATCCCGTCCAAATTCTACAATATACAAAATGAAAAAAAAATAAGTTATTAGAATTTATAATCTTACATCTTGATCACATAAATACTTCACAAAATAAAATGTTTTTATAAAATGATCGTGATTGAGAAATAATTGCTAATTGTAATTACTTATATGATGATAATGTGTTACGATGGGAGAGATACGACTTCAAATCATTACTAGAAATCGACAAACAAGAATCATAATTCATGAGGCATAACAATTTTGCAGCATCTTGTCTCAAACATTTAGTGAAAATGCTGCCATAATTGATCTCATCTCGATAAAAAATGGGATATTCTAATTTCCATAAAATCTCTTTCACGAATTGCATTATTTCCGCCTACAAATTGTAAAATAATGTATAAAAATTTATTTCTATATTTATTTATAATTTTATAATTAGATATTTATATGTTATAGAAAAATTGAAAAAAATTTGTCCGCACATATACTGTTATTTAAAAAGCTATGCTAATAATATAATTATGTAATAATGTTTTTATAAGATTAAAAAGATAATAAATGCGTGATTATATTACACTTAATTAATATAATTTGATTTTAATTATTACTTATCATAGTACAAATATAGTAGTACAAATGAATACACAAATTATTGCATGAGAATTTAAAAGCGAATGTTGTTTCGTACACCTTGGAGAGTTAAATATTGTGTATACTTATTTTTAATTTCAAAAATAATTTTATAATATAAAATAAAAAATAAAAAATAATTTTAAAATATAAATGTCATATATGTTGTTAAAATAAACGTATGTAAATTATTTAAATACACATTTTTTTATTTACATAAATCTTAATGTTATTTATACCTTTATAAATAAGCTTTCTGGAAATGCAAAGAAACCCGATATATATTCCAAGTTCTTGAACATAGGATACCATGCGATATAATCTATATCTTGCGATAGATAGTGTGAAATATTCAGGAATACATTACAATTCAATTGGCCTGTCATCATAAAGTGAAATGCATCGTCGATGATTTTAGCACGATCGAGTACATGTATTTTTTCAAAAGAGGACTTCAGGTAGTTCGAAAGTCTATTCCAATTTTCGGCATCATAATTCACGCGATAGCATCCTGTCGTATGTCAAATAAATTCTATCAGTGAATTAAAAATTTAAGTTGTCTCTTTATATTCAAAGCGTATAAAAAAATGTATTAGAAATTATGTTTTAAAAATTATAATTATTATAAGAAGCAAATTGTAAATTTTCAATATTAAATCAATGTCACGCTGATAAATCAATATATATTTAGAAAACTATGTAAAGAGTTATATTAAATTAAATTTATTTTAACTTCATTCAAGGTAATCAATTATGTCAATCAAATTATATTTTATAAATTGTACAAGTTATTAAATGAGACAATGTGTCTTAAGCATACTTCCTTCATTACAACTCGATAAAATAAACAAAGAAGATCATGCTTTGACAACGTATTATTATAATTAAATCATCCAATAATTAAATTATTAAATAACAAATGTATAATTAAATTTGAATCATAAATATAATCATCAATTAAATATAATTATAATTAAATCATCCAATAATTAAGTTATTAGATATTAAATAATTGTAATAATTGTAATAATTGTTAGATTCTTAAGGAAATGTACTCTCCCCCTAACTAATATATTGACGGAAAAAATTTATATTATGTCTATAATTTAAATAACATATATTGAATTATCTAAGGATAACTTTCATATACTACTTTCATATACATAGTAACTCGAAAACAAGCGTTTGAAGAGTTTGCATGAAAAAAGAAGATAAGAATTTTAGTTAATTGGACTTTGGGTTGTAGGTGTCAAGGTCAATCTAGTTTTTATTTAAACAAAACTGTTCTAATTTGTCTATTATATAAACCAATTCTTCACAATATTCCTCGTAAAAAGTTATAAGGATAGCCAAAAATAGAATAATTTACAAGATATGTCATACTTTAAGTTTAGATTTTTTACATGAATCATATAAAAAGTTTGCAAAATATTTATTTTTTGATTAGCTTAATACTTTTATACACAGAATAATGAGAGGAATCGACTAATATAAAGAACCATGTAATTATTTTTAAGAAACTGTATAAATGTGCAAAGAGCAGCTACATATGTAAACGTATTATATTAGTAACAAATTGTTCGATCAATATTTACCACTTTGTTGTAAATTGGCTAATACCCAGTCCTTCTTGTCCACGAAATCTATATTTAATGTATGGTACGAAATATGAGGTGCTAGCCACACTTCAGGCAACAATTTCTTCGAATCGTAATGCGCCTGTGTAGTAATATTCACAAATATCCATATATCCGTATCAAAATTTTCTACCGATATATTCAAGCTGTTATTATTATAATTTCTTTTCACATTAATCACAGGGTAATGATTTAGTTGTGTCCAACTAGCTATTCTATCCGTTACATTGTATTTAATTTCGAAAGATGGCGTATCCATGAGTATTTGTATAATATCCCAAAAATCTTTAGTCTTTGAGTAGCTAAAAATCGAAAGAAGTAAATGATTAAAAAAATGAATAAAAAAAGATATCTTAAGAGAAATCCTGAAAAGCAATTAAGATTTTTACAGAAGAGAGTAAAAGTGAAAGGGAAGAATGTAGTATAAATTATATCAAATAAAATTGGAACGATAAGAAAATTATTACTAATAAATAGCAAAAAAGAAGAAATAGAGTGGTAATTAAAAAGATAGATGTGTCACAGAAAAGAAAGTACAGATAAAAATAAATACAAAATATAAATAGAGACTTAAAAAATTAGGGAATGTAAGTAGAGAATTTAAAAAACAAGTATTAAAATTGGATATGTAGATAAAGAAAAAAGATGATAATTGAAAGAAAATAAAGATTAAAATAATAATATTAATAAGTAGAAATATAATAAATGGAAGGTAAAATTAACAAGACGAAAGTTAACAAGTCCTGAAATTATTAGTAAAAATTAAGTACAAATAAAATTAGAAACACAGAAAAGAATAAATAAAGTTTAAGAAATAAGCATAAATAAATTTTAAATATTAAAAAAAATAAAAAGAAATTAATTGTTGAAAAGAGAAAAATTAAAAAATCGTTTAAAATTGTGTATTTAAATTTATAATATAATTACAATATATTGAAATCTATATATATCTATATATTACTCACTGATCTCGTAAATACCACCATATACCAGTTCTAAACATCTCTTCGGTAAATAAAATTTGCAACGTGCGGAACATAATACTTGCTACGAAAATAGGCATTGACATCATAGAGTAAAATGTAGTATGTATAAAATAAATTTGCTACATGGATTTTGGTATATAAATTCATAAACGTAACTGATTTATATGAATGATAAATAAAAGTTAATTTTAATTATACTTTTTTAGTAAACATCAATATTTAAAAAATTAATAATATAAATAAATAACAACTAAGTTATTTCAAATTACAATTAAGTTATTTCTTTTATTATAACGTTATTTATTACAACGTTATAGATAGCATTTAGAATTTACCATTAATAATTTATTTGCTTGATTACCTTTGATGTAACGAGGAATTTCAATAGAATTGAATTCTGATTCGTTTGTGAGCGGCCACGTATTCTTGGTGCTCCAATGAAGAACTTCATGTTGCATTTGAACCACAGAGAAATATTTTATTCGAAAAATCGGAAATAACTGGGCGCAAAAGAATTTTAATATAATTAAATAAATATTTAATCAAAAGAAGTGTTAACATATATCAGCAACACACATTAGAAATGTTGCAATATAATAAAAAAAATTTACACACATTCCTTCATTGAATATTTCTTATTAAGTTCAAAAAATATATTCGAGTATCTAATGATGTTTAATGACATCATGTCAAATTAAATATTTTTAAAGTTATTTAAGTATATGTACGTCAATATATATAAATTATGATATTTTAATTGTTTATGTAGTAAGTTTTGGTTTATTATCGTTATAGAAATATAAGTATTTATATATTACGCCAATTATGTGAGTGTGATTAAAATAATTGACGCTAAATATAAAATAACCTTATCGGCGATGTAAATTCCAAGAAACGTAGCAAAACCTTTGCTTTCCCATGGTTTCCACTTAGATGCATCCATTCCATTATAAAACCATTCGTACACCACTTTATATGCTATTACTCGAGTTATTTCAATTTTGCGTATCTCAGAATCTATTTTTTCGTTATAGATAATATCTCCTTCACTAAAAATAATTCACAAATATTACAATGAAGTCGAGAACCCTTTTCTTACGTAAGGAAGTTTGTACAATCACTAGACACGTTTTCGAGAGAATCATTAGAATCATTAAATATAATTAGTTTAGCGTATTCTAGAGGTCAAAACAAGATTTTTTTTTCTTATGAACATTGGTTCGCAAATAAAATGAATCCTTCTTCGAGCTAAAATTCGAAAATGTGTGAAATTGATCAAACACCCGCAACGCAAATTTATTTATTTCTCAAGAGAGGGTGATAGGTAACGTCAAAACCAAGGTCAAATAATAATTTTTCTGAAATACAGCCAATATTCGATTCTTTCCCCATTTTAGGGGCCTCGAGTTCGGAGGGGAATTCATTTGCGGATTCATGTTCATAAGAAGAAATAGTCTTATTTTGATCTCTCGAATAGGAAGAAATAGTCTTATTTTGACCTCTCGAATACGCTCCTAAAGTTTAGTGCATCATTTCAGATACACTCTGTATATGTTCCAGTTACATATACACATATAGATATTCAATTTTACAATATTGAATATACGGAGAAAAATAATATAATGTTTTAATTTAGAAATTAGCATTGTTTTTTAATCAAAATATGTTTACCCATAAAGAACGAATCTGAATTTTATATGTTCTTCGCCTAATAATTTTTGAATCACGATATGATTTGTTTCCGCTCTTTTCCTGATATCCAAACCATATGCCAACAAGTTATCTATCAACTCCGCAATATTTTTAGCAATTATGTATGCAAATTGCACATGTCGTATTATGTCTGTTCTGCACCAAAATTTGATGGTACTACTTTCTGAAATAACGGTGAGATGAGCTACAATAGCTGTTATGTAATAATCAGGCATTATGGGAGTAGTTTTGAAGCGCGTCCATTGCATATTATTTTCATCCATATTTTGTTTTTGGACGGGCATATTTGATATAGCTGTGTAGCCTTTAGGATGCTTTATAGAAATGTTATAACTAGCATACCGAGTATTTTTCAAAAGTGGAAATAATCTTCGAATTGCAAATATGTGATGATGTGTTCCAGCCAACCACCTAGCACATATAATAATATGTTTTAAATAACAAAATATTTTTAGATACTGCGAAAGTATTAGAAATTAAAACAGAAAGAAAGAAAAATAGAAAAATCTATACAAATCTATATTAAGAATTTAAAAAGTACTGTTAAAACGGACAGTTAAAATAATTAATGAAATAATTAATAATTAAAAATACTGTTAAAATAATGATATATTTTATATTACAATTTTATAAAGATTCTATATATTTGTTATGTAATATATATATATATATATATATATATATATATATATATATATGTATATATGTATATATGTATATATATATATATATATATATATATATATGTGTGTGTGTGTGTGTATATATATTTTATTTTATTATATATATATATATATATATATATATATAATAAAAGTATTAAAAATTCTATATTCATAATATTCCCTATAGTATGCATTTATAAGATAATAAATATATGAGAAGATGATGATATAACATAACAGCGTACTTTAGTATTTAAGATTTCATCATTCATGCATGATCAATATCTGTCTTGTATTAAAAAAATTTTTGATAATAAGAATATTCTATATTGCAATACAAACGATTTCCCATGAATTAATTATTTACAGGAATATTTTTTGTAAATTATAAGAGAACTATATTTAAATAATTATTTATTAAATCATATATATATATGATTTAACATATATATATATATATATATATATATATATATATATATATTTATGCTAAAACTATGTCATCATAGTAATAATACGAACAGTTTGCAAAAATTGAAGGAAGAATGGTATTTGTAGTGTCTAAGTTATTTACCGTTTTAAGCTACTTACATTATATTATTTTGTTTATTTTTGAAAATTCTAAATCCTCCATCTTTACCTATAAGACCAGAAAATTTCACATTCAACATATAAAATCCTGATGATAAGTTATACGGATAAGATGTAATGGTAATATATCTTTCAATGTCTTCAATATATTTCTTCGGTATATGGGCAAAAACTTTTTTCTCATTTCCTTTAGAAATTTGTGTATTGTTTGTTAGCGTAGTTTTAGTTATAGACAAATTTTCTGTATAAAAATATATATCTTGCGTTTCATGAGCAATATAAATGCTGGCATTATATTCGCCGATGAACATATCGTCATCGATATGTAATACAAGGTGAATATTATACTGTGTTGGCGTTAAGAAAATGCGTTGTACGGGCAATTGTGCATCAATAAGAGAAGCCGCGGCGACAATGAATATTAGGCTACAACTTAATACTTTTAGAAATGCCATGTCACTTATTTTCTTTCTCTCATTCGTCTTAAATAAGCATATTTTCTTCTTAAAAAAAAACAACAAATAAAATAATATATATATGTATGTGTGTGTGTGTGTGTGTGTGTGTGTGTGTGTGTGTGTGTGTGTGTGTGTGTGTGTGTGTGTACGTGTGTTATATATATATATAATAATGAGAATATGCTTTAATTATTGCTTTTGTTACGTATAAAAACAAATGAAGTAAAAATATCATTTTTTGTTAATAATATATAAATCTTAGGATGAAGAGATTATAATATTTTAATATTTTTTAACAAATGGAATATATTAAATTCATAAGTTTTATCACGCTTATATAATTAATAAAGAATTGCTTTATAAAACGTTTGATTTTAAATTAAATTAAGTTTTTTATTTCAAAAGGAATATAATAATATATGTTACAAATTAAAATTCTATCTCTCTTTAATAATTTTGAAAAGGACTGGTACTTTTGACAAAAAGAATGATACTTGTTTTGTGTGATTATACTTCAAAATTATTTAAATATTGTCCTCAACGTATATAATGTACACATTTTATTTATCTTTAAAACGGTTATATAGGTATCTTCTTTTATGATAACTCACCTCTCGTATAGTTGTTTGCGGATGAAGAATTAATTTTTTGATAATAATTAAGTGTTGTTAGCTTATTGATTTGATACGTATTATAAATATTATTAATATCGACAAATTAATACATAATATTAATATCGACAAAAATATCTGTATTAATTTGATTTCTGCGAAATTACCGAGAAATAACAACGTTCGATATCTGAAATCACAATAAACATATCATTAGAACGACTTTTAAAATCAAAATATTGTGAAATCAGATTTAATAAACGCCTTATTAATCAATAAGTAACAATGTGTAAATATTTGATTAAATTAACTCTCGCATTATATATATATATATGATTTTAAAATAATTATTTTTGGAAAACGTTTTACTTGTTAACTTGTATTTTATACTTTCATTTTCTTTCTTCTAAGCAAATAATTCACCTCCATTTATATCTTAATTTATTAAGATGTAGACTTTTTTACATTAAATGTTTAAAATTAATATTTTCTTCTTCTATCACCTTCTTCTATAAACAGAATAAAAGATACGTTTCAAGAGAAGAACTCAACAGAAATGAATTTTGCAATATTGTATATGTCATGTAATATATATTACAAAATGTCGTTTTTGTATTACAATTAATATTAAAATATTATTTCAGTAAATAATGTGCAAAAAATGATTTCGTTTTTAATCAATTTTCAAATTTATCACGTTTTGGCACATATAAAACTTATGTATTAATATATAAGACCCTTACGTAATAAATTGTAATTAACTTAAATGACTTATTATTAAATTGTTAACGCTTTAGTATTATGAATTATTAATATCAAAAATATACCTGTATTAACTTGATCTTGCTGTTCTGGAATACTGCCGAGAAATGCTAACGTACGACACATGATATCATAATAAGCATGTTATGAAAACAACTTTGAAAATCAAAATAATATGAAACCAGACTAATACGTGTCTTATCAGTTAATAAACACAATAAAGTGTCGATACATGTTTAAATCAATTTTCTTGTTCTATATATTTAATTTTAAAATAAAATTTTGAATTAAATTTTAGAGGAATTAAAAAATTGTATCTTATCAAACTTTAATTTTTTTTTCAATAAATATGTCAATTTAATATGTGTCTTACTAGTCAATAAACAGAATAAAATGTCACATGATTAAATTAATTCTCTTGCTCTATATATTTAATTTTAAAGTAATTTTGACATATGTTTTAAAATAATTAAAAAATTGTATATCTCTCTATACTCTCTATTCTCTTTATTTCCTCTATTTTCTCTGATTCCTTTTTTCTCATGAGCAAAAGATCGCTATTTGCGTCTTAATTTATTAGCTTTAATTGTAGATTTATGATATTCAATGTCTAAAATCAATATTTTTTTACACTACAAATGAAATGAAAAAACATCTTTTGAAAGAAAAACTATGCAGAAATAAATTTTGCAAATTATGTTGTATAATATGTTATATACTTTCGTACATTTGTTTAAATATTACATAAATGGTAAAATATTATACCAATAAAAAAATATATATACAAGTAAAATATAACGTTTTTAATTAATTTCGAATTTATCAAGTTCTTTATGTTACATGTTCTTACATATATGCAATCATTTAGTGTTATATCAGTCCTAAAAAGATATCAAAAGTTGTAGATACAAAATTCTTAATATTTCTTAATATAATTCTAATTCTTAATTTTTTAAAGATATTTGAATTAAAAATTTTTAAATACTAATGTCATATGTATTATAAAAATCAAAGCAAAAATATGTAACTATAATATTTTAATTTAATGTTGTTTAGCTGACAAATTTTCATTGACTATTGTTATAAAGCAATAAAATTTTATAACATAAAGTTTGTAAAAGAATTCCGATCTAAATTAGTGTATATTCATTAGTATATACTCTTGTGTATATATATATATATATATATATATATATATATATATATATATATATTGTATACAAGGTGACCCATTTTAACTTAGGCAGCCAAATAACTCGAAAAATAAGCACACTACGAAAAAATGGTTAAAATCAAAATTTCGTCATTTCGAAGGGGACGTACAATGACGTTAAAATCAGCCCCCCCACCCCTCCCCCTGGGCGGTGAGGGGGGGCAAGTTTGAAATCTTAAATGGGAACCCCTATTTTTCATTGCATATTCTTGTAGCTTATTTCGAGAGCTTTCCAAAACACTATAATTAAGTACCTTTTTATTAAGTACTTTTTGAGTTATAAGGCTTGAAATAATTTCTTAATTTTACATAAATCATAAAATATCTAGTAAACCATTCATTTTTCGATTATCTTACCTTCATACTTTTATGTACAAAATAATGAGAGGAATCAATTGGTGTAAAGAAAACATACAGTTGTTTTTAAGAAAAAATATGGAATTGTTAATTGCAAATTACATATTTTTTCTTAAAAACAACTGTATGTTTTTTTTGCACCAATGGATTTCTCTCATTATTTTGTACATAAAAGTATTAAGGTAAGATAATCAAAAAATGAATATTTTACAAGATATTTTATGGTTTATGTAAAATTAAGAAATGATTTCAAGCCTCATTACTCGAAACGTACTTGATGAAAAAATGTTTATTTATAGTGTTTTGGAAAGCTCTCGAGATAAGCTACAAGAATATGCAAAAATATATAGGGTGTTCCATTTAAGAAATTAAAAATGATCTTCACGTAACCTTCATGTGACTCTTCAAGATCAAATTAATGGTACCATCTTATGTCCCCCTCGAAACCATACAACTTTTGTCTGAAACATCTTTTTCTAAAATTAAAAATAAGAAAGTTATTTGGGGTGGGGCATTAAAATGGGACACCCTGTATATATGTATATTTCACGAAAATGTAAAAAAATTAATTCATCAAGATAATGTTTAGCTTAATAATATATATTTTTTCACTATTATATTATAATTATTATATAAGATTTTAATATATTTTTCTTTTGATATATGTGGAAATATAAGAAAGGTGTTTTACAATAAAATCTATAATACAATAAAAATTGCTTATAGAAATCCAACGCCAAAGATTGAAATTAATTTCTTGAAGTAGATGTAAAAATAAAGCTGGTTCTTCTTCAGAGTACATATACCTAAAAATTTCGATTAAGATAATTATAATTGATGAAGAATAATAATCTTCTCCTAAAAAAAATGACATTCTGGAACGACTTAACACAACGAATAAATTATTAAAATAAATGATGCAAATTAAGGGAATTTTAAGGAGATTTATAGTTCTCAATCTCATTAATCGTTATACATTTTAATAAGTCGTTTATTCTTTCTATTTTTTTAAGCTTGAATCTTTTTTAAACATTATTAACAATAGATATTTTTATCATAGATAGAAAATATCGTAGATATAAAATATATTCATAAGTTTTATAATCTTTTTATTAAAAATAATCGCAAAATGAGTACATGTTTGTTAGTATTAATTATTACAGTAAGAATATTACAATTTGTGCACAATTTTTTTATTAGTTTTGTCATCGTTTGTATCACAATTTAATCATTAACGTAAGTAAATACTTCTAATATATTGATTATCTAAAACTAATACTTTTTTTATAATAAAAACAATAGAAATTAATAGAAATTAATCGAATAAAGAATAAGTCTAGAAAGAAACAAATTTTATAATATTATATGTCATATTGTAGTATTGCATGAATACATACTAAGAAAATATATCTATATCTAATGAATAGAAAGAAGATATAACATCTATAGATAATAAATTCTCTTGCGTTCAAATTTTTCACATTACAAATTTATACATATATAGACATATATATCTAATAGATCATAAATAATTATTTTATATTATATCAATTCTCTCGAATAACGTGCTAAATGTGTAACATTTAAGTTTTTTAATACAAATTTTTTAATATAAATTTAAATGTTAATTCATTTTCTATTAGAGACATCATATTACAGATTTTAAATATTTGCGCCATATACATATATATGATAATATATACATATATATGACTGATCTATTACTGCGTGCAGCAAGTACGATACATTTTTTTTACATCAATCTAGAACTTTAGAAGTCTTAGAAATCTTCGAATTAAGAAAATAAATTGCTTCTTTACGTTAAGAAATCTTTTTATTAATTATAAAAGGACTAAAATATGTAATTTGTTCTAAAATTTTTAAAATAATATTATCGATATCATACGTATTGAATTTAATCTGACAAAAAAATCATTTAAACTCTAAATTCGAAGAAATTAAATCCAAGTCAATTTGTTGAATCTAATTCAGTACAGCATTTCTGACTTTTTATTTTAATCTACCTATTTATTTTGATTTTAGTTTATCATGTGTCATCCGCTCGATCACTTTTTACTCCCTTCTTTTTCTAGAGCTATATAATTATTATAAAAAATTGTTGGAGATGTATTTTTATCATCATTGCGCTACTATAGTTATAATTATGATAACTACGCCCTTTTCTTTTTTTTCTAATTTCTTTTTATACTTTGCGTCAGTAAGGTTTATTCTTTACCTTTTACATTGTTCAATCGATATTATTCTGTTATTGTTGCAATAATTATTTGACGCTCATTCAATACACTATATTATATATTTTTCTCTTATGTAAAATGCAATATAAAGTTACATCCAGCGCGTTGTATTTCATACTTCATTCAATAAAATTAATTATCATTAATCATTAACTCTTTGAATTTATGATCAATATTTTAAGAATGTTTTATAAAATTGATAATTGTGAAATATTTCATATATGCATGTAAATATAAATGTTTCTATAAAATAACATGTTTTACTCAATAAAAATAATTATCATTAAATTAATCATTAACTCTTTGAATTTACGATTAGTACCTTAAGTTTTATCTCATGTTTTATGAAATTTAATAACTGATAATTGTGAAACACTTCATATGTGCACTACATAAATACATTCATCTTAACAGAAATATTCTTTTTTAATTATCGCACACAATTAATATTAAAAAAATAGAAATATTATAAGAAATATCGCGTAAAAAACTATTCATATATTAAAAGTAAATATCCGTATACATTACATTTCACTATCTTTTTCTGGTTTAATTGATTAATTAACCAAGTATTTTTTAAATATATCATCAATCTTGTATAAGATATCGATATTCGTACAGTTGAGTCTTTATTTGATGCCAACGTAATTCTAACTTGTGGTTTACATACATTATTATACTCTCCATATCCATCTGATGTTGCGAGGATAGAGTATTCCTTTCATAAGCGAGGATAGAGTTATCCTTTCCTTGCTACAAAAGTCAGTCATAATTTTTGGCTATTAACATAATTGGCATAAAATAATTATATAAATGATATAAAAATAAATATATAAATAAACTTAAAAATAAGAAAATTATAACTAAATATGTATAGTTAGATTTCTAAAATTTACCACGTTATTGATTTCATTATATGCAATACTACTCAGAAATTTTGAATAATGCATCTTGAAATTAAATTTCATGTATTTATTTATCTAAAACAAATTATTTTTTTAGATTAATATGTAAGTGATAATTTTGCCTCATAATGTAACATTAACATTTAATAGCATATAATTTTTCTTAATTATAATTATACAATAGACGGCTATTTAATAAGATTTTGGATTAATGTAAGAAAAGATCAATTAAATTAAAAGCTTTCTACATATAGTATTGTGTAATAGATACATTATTATAATAGATTACATAATAGAATGTAATTCCTTTTTTTTCTATACTTTATTAAGTGACAGCTTTCAAAAAACCATTGGAGAAAGACTGTTAAATATTTATTCTGAAAATTATTTCTGAAATTGAGTTTATGATAACTAGAAATAACATGCAACTAACAAAAATAAGAATAGAAAGAGTTTTATAATTTATATAAATATCCCGATGTTGTCCAATAATCGGCTATTCTAATACATATATCACAGTACAAATAAATCTAAAATATTTTCAGATAGACGGCATATGCATTGATAATTGAGATTCAAAACAAGAGATTAATAAACAATTGTATATGTGTGCATATACATATGTATTAATATAAAAACCTAATATAAAAACCTACATATAAGTTTAAAAAATTTACCTTATTAATTTGTTGTTGAGAATATAAATGATTAATGATCATAATTAATGCTTTAATAAGACTGATTTCTCTATAAAAACAAAATTATAGATTTATATAATTAGATAATGGAGTAAATCTTCATAATTGCACAAGTATTACATATTTACAAAAATGTAGTCATTACTTGGGTCTTATTTTATCTAAATTGGTTAAAATGAAATCAAGTACTGCAGCATTTCTTGCATGTCTTGCAACAATAAAACAAAAACTGTTTATATGATCGATAGCTGTTACATTTGTCATATTTGCCATTAAATTTATATAATGGACAATGATTGAAGAACTTTTGGAGCATGCTAAATATTTTAAAACGTTAGAGTCTGATTCTTTCAAATATATATCAAATACTTCCATCCAAGTTTTGTTTCTTGCTGTCATCAAACCTTTACAGAATGTCCATTCTTTCCATCCCGGCCAAAGTCTATGATATTCGGGATGAAATGTAAATAGATTATTAAAATTTATAATTTTATTTCTTTATCACATTATATTATTTCATAAAATATAAAAGAAATGTATTTATAAAAATTAAAATAATTAAAGATTAAAATAATCGTGATAGAAACAATAATTGCAAAAAGTAATTACTTGTATGATGAAGATCTGTCACTATTGTGGAGATACCATTCTAATTCATTTTTTGCATTTGGTAAGCAATAATCATGATCTAAGGTACATAACCATCTTGCAGCCTCTTCTCTCAAACATTCAGTGAAAATGCTCCCCCGATTGATTATATCTGGTTCAAACTTGGGATATTTTAGTTTCCATAAAATATTATTCAATGGTTGCTCTATTTGTTTCTAAAAATTATTAAATAATATATAGAGAGGGAAATATATTTATATATTTATATATTTATTTAGACATTATAGAAGAATTGGTAGAATTTGTGCACAAGCATATGTTATTATTTTAAAAGCTATGCAAATAATATAATAATTTTTTTTTTAAATTGAAAAGAATAATAATGAATGGATGATTATATTACACTTAAATAATAGTACAATTTGATATTAATTATTAGACTACTTAATATTAAAAGAAGTTGCATAAAAAATTTAGAAGCACATGTTTCACTTGTTGTGCACTTTGGAAAGTTACATTGTGTATACTCATTTGTATCTTATCAAAAACATTTTTAAAATATAAATAAACAATTTTAAAATATATTGTGTATATTGTCAATATACATATCTAAATTATTTAACAGAAAACACACGTTTTTTTAATTATACAACTAATATTATTTATACTTTTATAGGTAGACTTTCTGGAAATGCAAAGAAACCCGATATACATTCCAAGCTTTTGAACATAGGATACCATGCGATATAATCTGTTTGTTTCCACATGTAGTGTGAAATATTGAAGAATATATCACGTTGTAATTGGCCTGTCATCACAAAGTGAAATGCGTCGTCGATGAGTTTAGCACGATCGATTACATGTATTTTTCCGAAGGAATTAGTGTGCAGGTATCTCGCAAATCTTTTCCAATTCTCGGCATCATAATTGATGCGATAGCATCCTGCCGAATGTTAAATAAATTCTATCAGTGAATTAATTTAAATTTTTTATTGAATTTGCCAAGTAATAATTTGAAATACCGTTAGCTCCTTATATTCCAAGCGTATAAAAAATGTATTAGAAATTACGATTATGCATTAAAAATTACGATTATTATAAGCAGCAAATTGTGGGTTGACAATATTGATAAATTACGTCACGCTGATAATTCAATGTATTAAGAATATTATGTCAACTTAAATTCATTTGAACATTCATAATAAAAAATGATAATAAAACTATATATGCCTTGTTGCGTGCATTATAATGTATGTACAATTTTTCATCGTGCGTAAAATTTTATTAAAAGAGTATATAAATAAGTATAAATAGTACATAGACAATTTAGCAAATATAAATATAAATAATTAGGCAATAAAATAACCGTTTTGTACAAATTTATGTATAAAAAATTGTAGATTATCAATATTAACTAAAATTATCCAATAATTAAATTTTTCAATATTAAATAATTTTAATTATTGTTAGTTATTATTCAAGAAAAATTTTCTCTAGTATGTACAAAAATTTAATACTTATATAATATAATTTGAATAGCATACATTGAATTATATATATACGAGTTCCAGTGATAATTCGAAAACAGAAGTTTTAGAAAAAATATTTTATATAAATGTTGTAAGATTTAGAAAGTGAAAAAAGATAGGAATATTAGTTGGATTTTGGATCTAAGGTCAATGTCTATCTAGTATCCCTTATTTTTTAAATGAAACTATTCTAATTTGTCTATATAAATCAATTCCTCACAATATTCCTCGTAGAAAGTTATAGAAGTAAAATAGCCAAAAATTGAATAGTTTACGAGATATTTTATTTTTTTAAGTTAAGACAAAATTTTATACAAATCATAAAATATCTCGTAAAATATTTATTTTTCAATTATTTTACCTTAATACTTTGATGTACAGATTAATAAGAATCAAGTAATAAAAAAATACGCAATTATGTCTAAGGAAAAGTATGAATTTGCAACGAATAGTTATATATGTAAAAGTATAATAAATTTATCGATAAATATTTACCACTTTGTTGTAAATTGAGCAATATCCAGTCATTCTCGTCTATGAAATCTATAGTTAATATATGATTCGAAACCTGTGGTGTTAGCAATATTGCAGGATAAAATCCCTTCAAATTGGATTCCGTAATAATGTTCCCAAAAATCGGCATATTTATATCAAAATTTTCTATTGATATATTCAAGCGGCTAGTAGTATAATTTCTTTTCATATTTATCACAGGATAACGATTTAATAGTGTCCAACTTGTTATCCTGTCTTTTAAATTGTATTTAAATTCGAAAGATGATTTATCCATGATAGGTTGTATACCATTCCAGAAATCACTACTGCTTGTATAGCTAAAAATCCAAACGGGTAAATAATAAGAAAAAATTGATAAAAGAGAAAGAAAAGAAAAATTAATAAAAGAAGTTTTCTTAAGAAAAATATTGGAAAGCAATTAAAATCTTCAAAGAACGAAGTAAAATAGTGGAAGAGCAGTAGTGATGGTAGTGTAAATTATATTTAATAAGATTGGAACGAAAGTATAATTGGTAAATGGCAGAAAAGAATACATAGAATTCTAATTAAAAAAGATAAATGTGTAATAGAAAAGTCATAAAAAAAAGTATATAAGAAGAAGAATTAAAAGACAGAAGTAGAGAACATATGAAAAGATATAAAAAAACAAGAAATAAAAATGTAGATAAATAGATAGAAATGTAGATAAAAAATGAAATTAATTATTTATTTAATATGTAGATGAATAGATAGAAATGTAGATGAAAAATGAAATTAAGGAAAATTGAAAGAAGACGAAAATTGAAATAATAGATAAATAGAGAAGAAAATTAAAATAATAATAATACGTATGAACACAATACAATAGGAAGTAAAAGTTAACAAAGGAAAAATTAACAAGTCTTGAAATTACTATAGTAAAAATTAAATATAAATAAAATTAGAAGCACACAAAAGAATAAAGAAATAGAAAAGAAGGTTGAGGAGTAAACAAAAATAAATTTCAAAAATAAAAAAAAACAAAATATAATTATAAGAAAGGCAAAGTTAAAAAATATGTATCACTTAAAAATATGTATTTAAATTTATAATATTATGATATTGTAAAATCTGTATTGCTCACTTCTTATTTAAATATATTTCGATACCATTCCGGAACATTTTTTCGGTGAATGTAGCTTGCAATGTGTGGAACATAATGATTGCTACGAAAATGATGACATTTTAAAGCAGAAATGTAGTATATATAAAATAAATTTGTTATACATCATTCGGATATATAAATTTATGAATATAACTGATTTATTTGTATGATAAATTAAAATTAATTTTATTTTTCTAATAAACGTTAATATTTATTTAAACAATAATATAAATAAATTATATAAAAGAACTAACTTATATATAAAACAAGTTATTTTTTATAATGTTTTTTACACGAAGCATTAAAAAATTTACCGACAATGAATTATTTGCTCGTTTATACCTTTAATGTAAATAGGAATTTCAAAAGATCTGTTGAATTCTGATTCGATTGTGAACGGCCATGTATCCTTAGTACTCCAATGAAGAAAATCATGTTGCATTTGAACCACAAAGAAATCTTGTATCCGAAGATCCGGGAATATCTGGGCGCAAAAGGATTTTAATATAATTAAATAAATATTTAATTAAAAGAAGTGCTCACACATTAGCAACATACATTAGAATCGTTGCAATATATTGAAAAAAATTTACACACTTTGTTCACTAAATTTTTCTTATTAAGTTTAAAAATACATATATTCAAGTATTTAATGATATTCAATGATATCATTTCAAATTATATATATTAAAAGTTATTTAAAGTTATTTAAAGTTATTTAAAAGTACATATGTCAATATATATATAAATTATCATATTTTAATTTAATGTTGCTTATGTGCTTATATTTGGCTATATCGTTTAAAAATCGGAATATTTTTAAATTTCGATTATTTGAGTGTGATTGAAATAATTAATGCTAAATATAAAATAACCTTATCGGCGGCGTAAATTGGAAAAATCGTAACAAAAGTTTTGCTTAACCAAGATTCCCACTTATATGGATCGATTGCATTATAAAACCATTCGTGCACCATCTTATGTGTTATTACTTGTATTATTTCAATTTTTCGTATCTCAGAATCTATTTTTTCGTTATAGATAATATCTTCTTCTCTGAAAATAATTCAGAAATATTACAATAAAGTAGAGAATCTCTATTATAAATATAAAAATTGGTTACATTATAGCTAAATTAAATAATTAAATTATATATAAATAGATAAAGAAGAAATGTAATTGCTGTAAACAAGAAATAATAATATGTGTTCATTTATAAAAACACACAAAACACAAATACACATACGCAAATTATTCTACATGTAAATATGTTAAACTATGATACATTATTATTATTTATTGAAATTACAAATATAAAAATATACATATCATTTTCTGTAATAGCGAGTAGGGAGAAGAAATATTATCTTTTGACATATATTAACATTTCTCTCTATAAATATATTTATCTATATTAAAATATATTTACATATAAAGAACGAATCCCAATATTATATTTTCCTCCTCTAATGACTTCGGAATCGCGATATGATTTGCTTTTGCAGTTTTTTTTATGTATGGCAATTTTGTTTCTGAGAACAGCGAAATATTTTTAGCAACTGTGTACGCAAATTGCATATGCGATAACGTGTCTGTTCTGCACCACAATTTGACTGTGTGATTTGTTTCTGAAATAGAGGCGACATGGACTACACCAGCTGCTATGAAATAAATAGGAATCACGGGAGTAATACTAAAGCGTGTCCATTGCATATTATTTTCATCCACATTTACTTCTTGCACGGCCTCATTTGATATAACTGTGTAACTTTTAGGATGCTTTATAGAAATGTTATAACTAGCATGTGTAGTGTTCTTCAAAAGTGGAAGCAATTTTCGAGTCGTAAATTTATAATAATGCGTTGCAGCCAACCATCTAGCATATATAATATATTTTAAATAAAAAGTTTTCAGTTACTACTGAAATATTAGAAATTAAAAGAGAAAGAGAAAGAAATGGAAAATATACAAATGTATATTAAGACTGTTAAGGATACTGTTAAAATATATTTATATTATATAATTTATTATATAATATTTTATTATATAATATTATAATTTTACTATTATGCTATATTTTTATTTTATATTTTTATTTAATATACACGTACGTTATAAAAAATATTTGCAATGTCTATAATAAATTTACATAAAATAATATATACACAATATTTTCTAAAATATATACTAAGACAATAAATATGTGAGGATAATAATATAACATATAACAGCATTTTTAATATTTAAGATTTCGTTATCTATGTGGGATCAATATCTGTCTTGTATTAAAAAGTTTTTAATAATAGGAATTTTATGTATACTTTCAATGTAAAAGATTTTTCCTGAATTAATTACTTAAAGGGAAATTTTTTGTAAATTATAAGAGAACTATTTATAAATCATAATTTATTGAATCATATGATATATGTTTAAACTATGTCAACTGTAGCAATAATAATAATAATACGAATAGTTTGCAAAAATTAAAGCAAGAATGGCATTTATAGAGCCTAAGTTATTTAAACTACTTTAGCTTTAAACTACTTACATTTTATCATTTTGTTTATTCATGTACATTTTAAATCCTCCATCTTCAGCTACAAGCCCGGAAAACTTCATATTCAAAGTGTACATTCCTGGTGATAAATTATACGGGAAAGAAACGGTAGTTTTATATGTTTCAATGTCATAGATAAATTTGTTAGGCTCATGGACAAAAATTTTTTCTTTATTTTCTTTAGATATTTGTGTATTGTTTGTTAGCATAATTTCAATTATCGACAAATTTTCAATATAAAAATATATGTCTTGTGTTTCATTAGAAATATAAATGCGGACATTATATTCGCCGTTGAAGATATCATCATTTTCATATAGTTCAAAATAAATATTATAATGTGGTGATATTATAGTAATTTGTGGTTCGGACAATTGTGCATCAATAAAAGAAATCGCCGCAACAATGAATATTAGACTATAACTTAATACTTTTAGGAATGCCATGTTACTCATTTTCTCTTTGTCATTTGTCTTAAATAAGCATCTTTTCTTCTTGAAAAAAGAAACAAATAAAATAATATATATATAATAAAATATTAATAAAATATTTGCTTCAATTATTGCCTTTGTTTCGTATAAAAATAAAGAAAATAAGTAAAAAATATCACATTTATTATTAATGAAATATAGCCTTAGAATAAAAGAATTGTAATCTTTCCATATACTTATGTATATTTTAACAAATATATTAATCCTTTGCACTCCAAGTCAGCTAATCTTGTTATATGACTTACCAGCAGCTCCATTTTTATAGTACCTTTGATGAACATTAAAAAATGTTATTATATCAAATAAAAATAAAATTCTACTAATAATAAATCTATCTAATAATAAATAAAATAATAATAGATCAAATAACAAATAAAATTTAATAAACAAATTTGAATAAATATAATGAAAAATATTTATAATGAAAAATATATTTGATTTTTAAATATAATAAATTATAAAAACTCGATATAATCACTATTTTCTTTAAATTTTATCGAAATTCTTTATTAATTTTTAAAAGAATTTGCTGTTCAACTGTGTCATCATTTAGCTGCTCTCTTTGTGGCGTTAATACAGATTCACCGACACTGAACATCTTCACTGAACTTTTTCTTTTACATGTGTCCAATGACGCGTTTACGTACATGTGATTCTGCATTCCACACTCTTCTTTGAAAATTACATCGAGTAAATTTGCAAAAAGTAGCGATAAAAGTAACTGTTAAGTTACTGTTAAGTGTTAAGTTCGTTACTCGTTACCGAAAAATGTAACGAAGTTACTTTTTTCGTTACAAACGAAATTTGTAACGTCGTTACCGTTACACTTACCGAAAAAAGTAACTGTAACGATAATGATGTTACAAGTAACGCGTTACTTCCCAATCCTGATTAAAAGATTATAGACTTTTTCTATATTAAATGATTAAAATTAATATTTTCTTCTTCTATCATATAAATAAAATAAAACATTTCGAGAGAAGAAATCAACAGATATCAATTTCGCAATATTACATGTCGTGTAATATATGTTACATAATATCGTTTTTTTGTGTTACAATTAAAATATTATTCCAGTGAAAAATGTGCAAAAAAAGATATCGTTTTTAGCTAATTAATTTTCAAATTTATCAAGTTTTGACACATATAGGACTTATGTAGTAATATATAAGACTCTTATATAGTAAATTGTAATTAACTTAAATGACTTATTATTAAATTATTAATGCTTTAGTATTATGAATTATTAATATCAAAAATATACCTGTATTAACTTGATTTTGCTGTTCTGAAATACTATTGAGAAATGCTAACGTTCGACACGTGATATCATAATATGCATGTTATGAAAACAACCTTAAAAATAAAAAATAATATGAAACCAGACTAATACGTGTCTTGTCAGTTAATAAACACAATAAAGTGTCGATACATGTTTAAATCAACTCTCTTGTTCTATATATATTTAACTTTAAAGTAAAATTTTGAATTAAATTTTAGAGGAATTAAAAAATTGTATCTTATCAAACTTTAATTTTTTTTTTCAATAAATATGTCAATTTAATATGTGTCTTATCAGTCAATAAACAGAATAAAATGTCACATGATTAAATTAATTCTCTTGCTCTATATATTTAATTTTAAAGTAATTTTGACATATGTATATGTATATGTATTTTGACATTTTATATAATTTAAAATAATTAAAAAGTTGTATATCTCTCTATACTCTCTATTCTCTTTATTCCCTCTATTTTCTCTTATTTCTTCTTTCTCATGAGCAAACAATCCATCGCTATTTGCGTCTTAATTTATTAGCTTTAATTGTAGATTTATGATATTCAATGTCCAAAATCAATATTTTTTTACACTATAAATGAAATAAAAAAACAGCTTTTGAAAGAAAAAGTAGGTAGAAAAAATTTTGCAAATTATGTCGTATAATATGTTATATAATTTCGTACTTGTGTTTAAATGTTACATAAATGGTAAAATATTATACTAATAAAAAAATATGTGCGGAAGACACAACGTTTTTAATTAATTTCGAATTTATCAAGTTTTTTATGTTACATGTTCTTATACTTATGCCATTATTTAGTGTTATATCAGTCTTAAAAGGACTGATATATCAAAAGTTGTAGATACAAAATTTTTAACATTTCATAATATAATTTTAATTCTTAATCTTTCAAAGATATTATAATTAAAAATTTTTAAGTATTAATGTCATATGCATTATAGAGATCAAAGATGCAATTATATATAATTATAACATTTTAATTTAACGTTGTTTAGCTAGCTAATTTTGCCTGACTATTGTTATAAAATAAAAAATTTTATAACATAAAATTTATAAAAGAATTCCGATCTAAATTAGTGTATATTCATTAGTATATTTATTAATATATATATATATATATATATATATATATATATATATATACACAGGGTTTTCCATTTTTAACTTTGCCATCGAAATATCTCGTAAAGTCTGAAAGATACGAAAAAGTGCTTCAGACAAAAATTGTATGGTCTCAAGAAAGAAATAAGATGGTGCCATTAGTTTGATCTTGAAGAGTCACTTGGAGATCATGTAAAGGTCACCTTTAACTTTTTAAATGAGACACCCTATATGCTTTTGCATATTCTTGTAGATTATCTGGAGAGGTTTCCAAAACACTCTATAATGAAATTAGTTTTTATTAAGTACTTTCCGAGACTTGAAATCATTTCTCAATTTTAAATAAACCGTAAAATATTCATTTTTCGATTATCTTACTTTAATACTTTTATGTACAAAATAATAAAAGTATATCAAATAATGAAATCAATTAGTATAAAGAAAACACATAATTGTTTCGAAAAAAAATATAATTTGCAATTAACATTCACATTTAGTACGAGATATTTCGATGGCAAAGTTAAAATGGAACACTTCGTATACATAAATATAAAGTAGTTAATATATAATATAAATTAGTTTCCATTCTTCAAAAGGAAACACTCAACATATATATGTATATTTCACGAAAATGTAAAAGATCAGTCGAAAAAAATTAATTCATTAAGATAATGTTTAGCTTAATAACATATATTTTTTCGCTATTATGTTATAATTATTATATAAGATTTTAATAAATTTTTCTTTTGATATATGTCGAAATATAGGAAAGATGCTTTACAATAAAATATTTAATACAATAAAAATCCCTTATAGAAATCCAACGCTAAAGATCGAAATTTCCTTGAAGTAGATGTGAAAATAAAGCCGGTGGAGTTCTTCTCCAGAGTACATATATAGAAATTTCGACTAAGATAATTATGATTGATGAAGGATAATAATCTTCTCTGAAAAAGAATGACATTCTGGAACAAGTTAACATAATAAATAAAGTTTCGTGATGCAGATTAAGGGAATTTTAAGGAATTGTAGTTCTCAATCTCATTAATCGCGTACATTTTAATAAGTCGTGCGGGAAGATTTTTCAGTTTTTTTATTGCATAAACTCTAAAATATTGAAATCTCTTATGAAATCTTAAGAAATGATTTTTGAAAATTATATTTAAATCTCTTTTTAATGGAATATTCATGATTTCAATTAAAACATTATAAATTAGTTGAACTATGAACTTTATTATAAAACATAATATTAAAAATATTTAAACCCATGTTTCTCAAGGTATGAAATTACATACAAATGTTGAAATGAAATTACATAATGTTTTTGTAAAGTTTATTCTTTCTATTTTTTTAAGCCTATTAAAGTTTATTCTTTCTATTTTTTCTTTCTATTTTTTCAAGTATATGTATTTTTTATTTGTGAAAGCATATTTTTAATCAAAACGAATAAATAAAAATATAAGAACTATTCATGTGTTAAAAGTAAATATGTGCATACATTACATTTCGCTATATTTTCCTGGTTTAATTGATTAATCCGTGATTAATATACTCTAAAATTATCATTGAAATCTTTTATAAGATATCGATATTGGTACAGTTGAGCCCCTATTTGACACCAACGTAGTGCTAGCTTGCGATTTACATCCATTATTATATTCTTCATATTTTCTTTAAGATTCAAGAATTTAAATATCTAAAATGGATTATTTTAACAATTATTTCAACAATAATTTCTTTTCATACTATAAAAGTCGGTTACAATTTTTGATCATTAGCATAACTAGCATAAGATAATTATATGATATAGAATATTATATGATATAGAAATAAATACATAAATAAATTTAGTAATGAGAAATTCATAATTAAATATGTATATTTAAATTTCTAAAATTTACCGCGTCACTGTTTTCATCATGATATACATAATTAAATACAAATTCTAGATTGCACTTAAACTTAAATCCCAAGTATTTCTTTATCTAAAATAAATTATTTTTTTAGATTAATATGTAAGAGATAATTTTGTCTCACAAAATAAAAACAGTATTCAATAACATATAATTTATTCTTAGTATAATTATGCAATAAAACGCCGTCAGGTAAGATTTTAGACTAATGTGAGAAAAGATCATTTAAGTTAAAAACTCTCTACATATAGTATTATATAATAGATACATTATTATATAATAGATCACATAATAGAATCTAATATCTTCTTATTTCTACACATTATTAAGTTTGTAACAGTTCTAGAAAACTATTAGAAAGAGAAACTATTTAATATTCATCTTCCGAAATTGCATTGAGTTTAAAAGTAGAAAAGGCTTTATAATTTATAATTTAAAAAGGCTTTATAATTTATATATGATTGTCCCGATGTTGTCCAATAATCGGCAATTCTAATACATATATTACAGGACAAATAAATCTAAAATATTTTCAGATAGACATATATTATATATTGATAATGAGACAAAGAAGCTAAACAAGAAATTAATAAATAATTGTATATGTGCGCGTATATGTACATGTATATACATTAACATAAAATTTACCTTGTTAAATTGTTTTTCAGAATATATATGATTAATGATAATAGTTAATGCTGTAATAAAACTGATTTCCCTATAAAAACAAAATAATAGATTTATAATTAGAAAATGGAGCAAAGCTTCATAATTGCACAAAGATTACATATTTATTAAAAAGTAGTCATTACTTGGGTTTTATTTTTTCCAAATTGTCTAAAATGAAATTAAGTACTAAATTATTATTTGCATGTCTCGCAACAATGAAACAAAAACTGTTTATATGATCGATAGCTTTTACATTTGTTATATTTGCCATTAAATTTATATATTGGAGAATGATCGAAGAATTTTTGGAGCATGCTAAATATTTTAAAACGTTAGAGTCTGATTCTTTCAAATATATATCAAATACTTCCATCCAAGTTTTATTTTTCGCTATCATTAAACCCTTGCAGAATGTCCATTCTTTCCATCCCGGCCAAAGTCTACAATATTCAAAATGAAACAAAAGTATATTATTAGAATTCATAATCTTATACCTTGATAAAAAATTATCAAATATTTCACAAGATAAAATGTTTTTATAAAATGATTGTGATTGAAAAATAATTGCAAAAAGTAATTACTTGTGTGATAAATTTCTATAACGCTTGAGATATGAAATTAATTTATCATTTGCTTCTGCCAAGCAATGATAATAATCTATATTACAAAGCCATCTTGCAGCCTCTTCTTTCAAACATTTAATGAAAATGTTCTCCTTATTGGACATATATGATTCTTCAAAACGGGGATATTTTATTTTCGATAAAATACCTATCAACGGTAGCTCTATTTCTTCCTAAAAATTGTTAAATAATATGTAGCGAGAGAAATTTATACATGTTGTGTATACAGAGTGTCAAGAAATTTTTCGCAGTTCCGAAGTGTGAAGGTAGATTGGTTCAAATTAAGAAGTCCTATACTATTTTGCGGTATTTCGCTACAATTAACGAAAAATTAAATAAAAAAGATCGTCCAATGCACGTGGCTAGAAGCGTGCGCCTTTGCTGTGCGCCTACACACTCATCGCTCCTTCCCTCCTCAATCACCGTTTCATCGCGCCGCCATTATGTTACAGTGAGACCGTCTTCGCCGCCGCACACTTCTATTCACGTAGATTGGCTGATTTTCTTCAATTTATTTCTCGTTAATTATTGTGAATATTGCATAACTGTACAAGGCTTTTCTTCTAACTTTGAGCCAATCTATCTTAATTTTTAAGTTATGCTCACTTTCATGACACCCTGTATATATATAAATTATTTAACATAAAACACTCGTTTTTCTATTTATACAAACTAATATTATTTATACCTTTAGATATACGTGTTCTGGAAATGCAAAGAAACCCGACACATATTCTAAGTGTTTGAACATAGGGTACCAGGCGGTATAATTTGTATCTTGCGATAGATAGTGTGAAATACGCAGGAATACAGTAAAATTTAATCGGCCTGTCATCACAAAATGAAATGAGTCATCGATAATTTTAGCACGATCGAGAACATGTATGTTTTCAAAGAAGTTGGAGTTCAGATATATCGAAAGTCTATTCCAATTCTCGGCATCATAATTGACGCGATAGCATCCTGTCATTTGATAAATAAATTCTGAATTAAATTAAATTTTTTATTCAATTTTTGTTAAATAATTATTTAAAATATCTTTTATCTTCTTTTTATATTCAAAGAATAAAATATACATAAGAAATTATGTATTAAAAATTGTGATTATTATAAGAAACAAATTATGAATTGACAATATTAAATAATATTACACTAACTAAATCAACGTATTGCTATACTAAAGACGTTAACTTAAATTCATTTTGATTACATTCAATAATAAAAATTAATAATAATAATAATAATAAAAAATAATAATAAAATTAATATATGTTTTGTTGAGTACATACATTTTAATGTACGTATAATCTTTACCTCGCGCGTAAAATTTTAATAAAAAAATAACAGTATGTAAGCTATTTAGCAATATAAATATAAATTATTAAGTAATAAAATAGCTGTCTTGTACATATGTACAGTACCGAAAATATATTGCCTTTGTTTTTTGAGGATAACTTAATTTAAAGTGTATATATTTAATTAATTTTTCTTGAGTTGCGCTGCTTTCATTATTAAATAAAAAGTTTATTGTTCAGTAACTTACATACTTAATATTAATATATTTGACTAGATAGAAATATATGCGCTTTGAATTAAGTTGTCCTCAAAAAACATAAAGGCATATTTTTTACCGGTATTGAATGTGTCAAAAATTGTAAATTATCGATATTAACTTAAATATATTAATTAAATTTTCCAATAATTAAATTGTTCAATATTAAATAATTTTAATCATTGTTGGATATTGTTTAAGATAAATTTTCTCTAATATATAAAAAACGTTTATTATTTATATAATTAGAATAGCATGCATTGAATTATATATGTATATATATAATTCAATGCATGCTATTCTAATTATATAAATAGTAAATGTTTTTTTATATAAATACTAGAGAAAATTTATTTTAAATAATAATCAACAATGATTAAAATTATTTAATATTGAAAAATTTAATTAATATATTTAAGTAATATTGGTACTTTACAAATATATATATACAAGTTCCAGTGATAACTCGAAAATAGCAGTTTTGAAAATAATATTTCAGGTAAAAGTTGTAAGATTTAGAAAGAGGAAAAAAAATAGGAATATTAGTTGGATCTTGGGTGTAGGGTCAATGTCTATCTAATTACCCTTATTTTTTTAAATGAAACTATTCTAATTTGTCTATATAAATCAATTCCTCACAATATTCCTCGTAGAAAGTTATAGAAGTAAAATAGACAAAAATTGAATAGTTTACGAGATATTTTATTTTTTTAAGTTAAGACAAATTTTATACAAATCATAAAATATCTCGTAAAATATTTATTTTTCAATTATTTTACCTTAATACTTTAATGTACAGATTAATAAGAATCAATTAGTATAAAGAAAATGCGGAATTATTTCTAAGAAAAAGTATGAATTTGCAATGAACAGCTATATATGTGAAAGTATAATAAATTTATCGATAAACATTTACCACTTTGTACATCTACTAATATCCAGTCATTCTCGTCTATGAAATATAAAGATAATGTAGCATACGTTAAAATTTTTGGTCTTAGCCACTCTTCAAACAAAAATTCCTTCAACTTGGAGTGCGTCCTCGTAAAAATGTTTGCAATTATCAATATATTTGTATAAAAATTTTCTGCCGATATATTCAAGTGGTTAATATTATAATTTCTTTCCGCATTTATCACAGGATAATAATCTATCTGTATCCAATTAGTTATTTTGTCTTCTAAATTGTATTTCATTCTGAGAGGTAATTTATCCAGGGTAGATTCCATAACGTTCCAGAAATCACTACTACTTGTTTCGCTAAATATTCAAACGAATAAATGATAAGAAAAAATTAATAAAAAAAGATATTTTAAGAAAAATATTGAAAAGTAATTTAGATTTTTAGAGAACAAAGTAAAATATTGGAAAAACAATAGTGACAGTAATGTGGAAAAAAAAGTCGAAAAATAAACAAAAATAAATTTAAAAAATTTAAAAATAAAACAAAATGTAATTATAAAAAATTAAAAAATTACTTAAAAGTATGTATTTAAATTTATAATATAATTATGTTGTAATCTATATTTATATAATTATGTTGTAATCTATATTATATATTACTCACGAATTATTTAAATACATTTTGACACCTTTCTGGAACACTTCATCTGTGAGTTCATTTTGCAATTTGTGGAACATAATGTTTGCTACGAAAATTGACATATAATATAAAAATGTAGAAAAATATGTATGTATAAAATAAATTTGCTATACATTTCATTTTGATATATAAATTTATGAATACAACTAATTAATTTGTATGATAAATAAAAGTTAATTTTATTCTGGTCAACGTTAATATTTATGTAAACAATAATATAAATAATTATACAAAACACAACTAATTCATATACATAAACCAACTGAGTTATTTTTTATTATTATGTTTGTTATTTGTAGTATTAAAGAATTTATCGACAATGAATTATTTGTTTGATTATACCCTTGATGTAACGAGGAATTTCAAAATAGCTATTGAATTCTGATTTGATTGTGAACGGCCATATGCCCTTGGTGCTCCAATGAAGAAAATCATGTTGCGTTTGAACCACACAGAAATCTTGTAATTGAGAATGTGGAAATACCTGGACGCGACAAAATTTTAATATAAATAAATATGTAACAAATAACTTAATCAAAACAAATGCTCACATACATCAGAACTACAATAAACAATAAACGAAATTTACACACATTTGTTTATTGAAATTTTCTTATTAAATTTAAAAAATATATTCAATAATATCTAATGATATTCAATAATATCATTTCAAATTATGTATTTTTAAAGTTATTTAAAAGTATATATGCCAATATATATATTATTTTAATGCTGCTTATGTGACATGTTTTGGCTGATTACAGAGATCATAAAGATTATAAAAAAATTTCGATCTAACTTACGTTAATATATTGAATGGTAGAAAATATTTACAAAGCTTTAGGAATATTTTACATTCTGAACATAGAAATCTGAATATTTTTATATTATATGTGTGTGAGATTGAAATAATTAACGTTAAATACAAAATAACCTTATCGATGGCGTAAATTCCAAAGAACATAGCGAAACCTTTGCTTAACCAGGGTTCCCATGTAGATGAATTGTAGATGAATACATTATAAAGCCGTTCCTGCACCGTCTTATATGCTATTATTCGGCTTATTTCAATTTTGCGTATCTCAGAATCTGTTTCTTCATTAAAAATAATGTCTGCTTCTCTAAAAAATAATTCGCGAATATTGCAATAAATTCGAGAATTCCTTTTTTACGTTAGCGATCACTTTTCAGTTGTACAATCACTAGACACGCTTTTAGAGAATCCATGTTATAATATAGTTAAATATAGTTACATCAGAGATTAATTATATCTCATCAATATATTTAATCAATTCGTGTAATATTCACATTGTACGACTGCGAGAATTCTGTTTAAGAATACAATTCAAAAAAATACGACAAAGAAAGAAGAAACGAAAAATGTATCATACAGATGTCTCATAATTCGCAATTAAAATTTAAATAACATTCCTGAGCAAAAACTGAGACGAAAATCCTAATATAAAAATGTTAAAACTACAATAGTTTTTTAGTTATAAGCAATCAATTTGCTAATGATATTGTACAGAGTTCTTATTATTTTTGTATTAGAATTTTTATCTTTTCTCAGGAATATGTTATTAAAATTTTAATTGAGATTTGTGAAACAACCTGTATATGTTACAGTTTCATACACATAGATATCAAACTTTATGATTTTGAACATATCGAGAAAAAATATTGATTTTAATGTATAGATTAGCATCTCTCTCTCTCTCTCTCTCTCTCTCTCTCTCTCTCTCTCTCTCTCTCTCTCTCTCTCTCTCTCTCCTCTCTCTCTCTCTCTCTCTCTCTCTCTCTCTCTCTCTCTCTCTCTCTCTCTCTCTCTCTCTCTCTCTCTCTCTCTCTCTCTCTCTCTTCTCTCTCTCTCTTTTTCTCTCTCTCTCTCTCTCTCTCTCTCTCTCTCTCGTTTAAATCAAAATATATTTACTTATAAAGAATTAATCCCAATTTTATCTCTTCTTCGTCTTCGGACAACAACTTCGGAATCACGATATTATTTCTTTGTTCAATTCTCCAGATGTACGGCCATTTCGTTTCTAAGAACAGCGTAATAGATGTAGCAGCTATGTGTGCAAATTGCAAGGAACTTACAATGCCTGTTCTGTACCAGAAGTTGACAATCGGATTTTGTTTCAACGCGAGTTGAACTAGACCCGCCGTTATCATGTTAGCAGGCATTTTCGGAGTATTTTGAAAATGTGTCCACATCATATTATTTGTATCTATATTCATTTCCTCATATTCCTCTACGGGCATATTTGATAAAGCCGTATAATTTTTATGATGCTTTATAGAAATGTTATAACAAGCATGCCTAACAATAAACTTCAATAGTGGAAATAATCTTCGAGTTGCAAATGTGTGATAATGCGTTGCAGCCAACCATCTAGCATATGTAACAATATATTTTAAATAACAAAATGTATTCAGTTAAAAAAAAGAGAAATAGAAAATATATTAATGTATATTAAGACTATTAGAAATACTGTTAAAACAATAATTGTAATATCTATATTTTATATTACGTATTTTATCATTATGCAATATTTTTCTTATATAATATGATCATACGTTATAAACAATTTTTGTAATATCTAATACATGTAGAATATAAAATAATATATTCACATAATTTTCTAAAAAATGCACTTACAAGATAATAAATATGTGAAGATAATAATATAACATATAACAGCATTTTTAATATTTAAGATTTCGTTATTTATGATCAATATGTATCTCCTAAAAATTTTTGATGTTAAAAATATTATATATATATTTGTAATGCAAAAGATTTTTTCAGAATTAATTATTTATAGGGAAATATTTTGCGAATAAGAGCCTAATGTTCAAATAGTAATTTATTAAATTATATGTTAAAGCTATACCAATCATACTAATGATAATAACCTGAATAGTTTGCAAAAGATGAAGAAAGAATCGTATTTATAATGCCTAAGTTACTTAATGTTTTAAAAATTACTCACACTTTATTATTTTGTTCATTCATGTAGGAAGTTCTAAATCCTCCATCTTCAGCTAAAAGACCGGAAAATTTCAAATAGAGAATATAATTTCCTGGTGATAAAACATACGGAAAAGTAATGGTAGTTGTATACGTTTTAGTTTCATAGAAAAAATTTTCAGGCCTATGTGTAAAAACTTTTTCTTCAGATATTTGTGTATTGTTTGTTACTATAGCTTTAATTATAGACAGATTTTCTGTATAAAAATGTATATGTTGTGTGTTAGAAAGAATATAAATGTTGATATTGTATTCGCCGTGGAAAACATCTTGATTATCATGTAGTATAAACTGGACGTTATATTGTCGCGCTGCCAATAATTGTGCATCAATAAAAAAAGCCCCCGCAACAATGAATATTAGACTGCAACTTAATACTTTTAGGAATGCCATGTCACTCTTTTTCTTTCTCTCTTTGATCTTAAATATCTAAATAATCACCCTTTTTTCTTGAAAAAGAGATAAATAAAATAATATATATGTGAAATATATATGTATGTAAAAATTTATTTTAATTATTGCTTTTATTATATATAAATAAAGAGAGAGTAAAAATTATTATATTATTTTTTTATTAATAAAATATATATAATAAAATATGGTAAGACTTCCGAATAGCCAGTCCCTACCTCCGAATTTGACGAAACTTCCAGCATTTGAAGACTATAACAGAACACATTCACACCATAAAAGATTTTTTGCAGAACCGAGTAGAAGCAAAGAAACTCAAAAAAGAAAATTTTCATATATTTCGCAAAAGATACTTATATAAATATCAAAAATGTATGTGTACACATACACACACGCGCGGGGGGTGCAAGGGGGGGCCTTTGGCCCTCCTCCCGCTTCCACCCCGCTGATAAGCAAGGTACCTAATCTTAACTTTAAACTTTAAATTTCACTGAGCTCTCCAAATCCACTTATAAATATTTCAAAATTCAAAAGTCACAAACTCATGTAGAACAAAACAACTATAAACCTTGTTCAGCTCAAAGCACAAGAGGATGTGGAGTGGATATTGCTTCACGTGAAAACTCGCAAACCATATAGAAACATATACAGGGTGACCCATTTTAACTTAGGCAGCCAAATAACTCGAAAACAGCACTCTTTAGAAAGAAATGTTTCAAATAAAAATTGTAGGGTGTGAAGGGGGACATAAGATGGTAGCATTGGTTTGACCTTGGAAAGTCATTTGAAGGTCACATAAAAGTCACCTTCAATTTCTTAAATTGAACCCACTATTTTTCATTACATATTCTTGTAGCTTATCTCGAGAGCTTTCCAAAACACTACAGACAAATGTTTTTTCATTAAGTACTTTTTGAGTTATAAGGCTTCAAAGTTTGCAGTACTTCGATATAAAATGCAAAATATCTCGTAAAATATTTAGTTTTCGGTAGTCTTACCCTAATACTTTTATGCACAGAATAATGAGACAAAACTATTGGTGCAAAGAAAACGCATGATTGTTTATAATAAAAAATGTGTAATTTGCAATGCACTTTTTGTTATAAACAATCATGCGTTTTCTTTGCACCAATAGTTTTGTCTCATTATTCTGTGCATAAAAGTATTAGGGTAAGACTACCGAAAACTAAATATTTTACGAGATATTTTGCATTTTATATCGAAGTACTGCAAACTTTGAAGCCTTATAACTCAAAAAGTACTTAATGAAAAAACATTTGTCTGTAGTGTTTTGGAAAGCTCTCGAGATAAGCTACAAGAATATGTAATGAAAAATAGTGGGTTCAATTTAAGAAATTGAAGGTGACTTTTATGTGACCTTCAAATGACTTTCCAAGGTCAAACCAATGCTACCATCTTATGTCCCCCTTCACACCCTACAATTTTTGTTTGAAACATTTCTTTCTAAAGAGTGCTGTTTTCGAGTTATTTGGCTGCCTAAGTTAAAATGGGTCACCCTGTAGAACAAAACATTACAGATCTCACACAGTTTATACCTTTCAACAATCAAAAGAACTCCTATATTTTTCAAAATTTTTTTCTTTTAATAAATTTTTAACAAACAATAAGCAACGGTTAAAACCTTCTGAAAATTACTTACAGTTATGACCTTAACAAGATATGTCAAAATCAAAGTTGTCGGAAATGAATCCTAAAAGGTAGTTTTACCGTCTTCCTTTTGAATTTCTTGAAGTTCTTAGTCGTTTCCGCAAAAAATCCTTTACGATATAAATGTGTTCTTTTATGATATTTAAATGCTATAAATTTTATCAAATTCGGAGATAGGGTCTATTCGGAAGTAGAGCCATTTGATTAAATTTTCTCACGCTTTTACATTTAATAAAGAACTTCTTTATTAGACATTTGATTTTAAATTAAATTGAGTTTTAATTAAAAAATGATATAATAATACATGCTTCAAATAACAATTTTAACTCTTTAATAATTTTAAAATAGACAACTTCAGACAAAAAGATTTATACTTATTATGTTTGCACTTTAAAATTATTTGAATTGTTCTCAACGTACATAATATATATTTTATTTTATTTTTAAACTGCTATGTATTCTGTTTTGTTATAACTCACCTCGTATATTATGATGTGTTAGCCGGTCCGAATTTAATTCTTTGATAATAATTAAGTGTAATTAACTCTTCATTACTACAAATTATTAACATCGAAAATATGTCTACATTAATTTGATTTCTCTTGCCGTTCTGAAATACTACCGAGAAATGCCAATGTTGGACAAGATATCATAATAAGCATGTTATGAAAACAATCTTTGAAATCAAAATAAAATAAAACCAGATTAATACGTGTCTTATCAGTTAATAAACGTAATAAAATGCTAATACATAATTAAGTAACTCTTTGCTTTATATATTTAATTAATAATATATATAATTATAATATATATAATTATAATATATATATAATTAATAATATTTGAAATGCATTTTAGTGCGATTAAAAAGTTATATTCTCTCCTCTCTTATATTTCTCTTATAAGCTAATAAACCGTCCCGGTTTGTATTTTAATTTATTGACTCTAATTGTAGATTTATGTGTGGTATTCAATGTCCAAAATATTTTATGAATATAATAAAAATGCCGCGATTTGTCGGAGAGGATTCTAAAAAGACTGAAAGAGGAAAAAAGGCTAAATTTTATTAATAAGACATTTTTATAATTAACATAAATTTTAACAACAAAATTTTTAAAACAAAATTGATCTCTTTAAAATACTAAAAAATATATATTTATGTCCTCTTATTCATTCAACATTTTCTTATTTCAAGATTTTTATATCAAGAATCTTATGAAAACACATGGTATATATTAAGAATTTTTATATCAAGAATCTTAAGAAAACACATAGTATATTCAATGGTTATGCAAAATTTTGAATACGGAAATGGATTCGAGCATGTTGATATTAAAAGACAGAAAGTCGCCACAAATAACACAACAATAATAATAGCGTAAATTATCAAATCACGAAAAATCTTTTAAAAAGATCTATCTGTAATATATTATTATATATTTTATTAGAAGTCTGCAAACTTTATTCTTTCTATTTTTTTAAGCCTGAACCCTTTTGTATATATTATTGTCAATACATATTTTTATCATAGACATAGTAAGATTTGTAATTTTTATTGTCTTTCGATTAAAAATAACTGCAAAATAAATATATGCTTTAGTATTATATTATTAACTTTTTTAAATACAGTAACAATATTACAATTTGTGCACAATTTTTTTATCAGTTTTGTCATCGTTTGTATTACAATTTAATGATCGGCATATGTAAATACTTATGATATATTGATCGCCTAAAATTAATCATTCCTTTTTTATTTAAAGAAATAGAATTTAATAAAAAATAAGTTTCAAAAGAAACAAATTTCATAATATTATATGTCGTTTTATCAGTGTTGCATGAACACTAAGATAATATATCTATATCTAATGATTACAAAAAAGATATTTATTATAATATTTATAGATAATCAATTCTCTTGTATTTCTGAAATTTCATGACATTCATGAAATTTTTCACAATTTACAAGATTATACATACATAAGACACACACATATACATCGAATTGATAATTAATAATTATATTATACTAATTCGAATAATATATTAAATGTGTTTATAAGTTTTATTTAATTTTAATACCACCTTAATTGTTAATTAATTTTCTATAAGAGACGTCAAATTACAGATTTTGATTTTTTGCACCATATACATTACATATAATTACGTCTACTGATACCTTGTGTGCTACAAGTACGATCAATTTTTGACATCAATATAGAACTTTAAAAGCCTTAGATGTGTTCGAATTACGAGAATAAATTGTTTTTCTTTATGTTAAAAAATCTTTCTATTTTGTTCCATTGTTGTTATCGTATATATATAATATATTTTTACTCGTGAATGCACATTTTTAATCAAAATGAATAAATGAAAATACAAAAATTCTTTATATATTAAAAATATGTGCACCCATTACATTTCGTTTTTCCTCGTTTGATAGATTAATCAGCCGAGTATTCTTTAACTACATCACGAAAATCTTGTATAAACTGTCGATATTGGTATAGCTGAGCCCTTATTTGTTGTAAACGTAATTCTAGCTTGCGATTTAGACGCATTATTATAATTTCCTTATACGTTTCGTTATCATTTTTAGATGAAAAATTGTTGAACTAAAACAGATTATTTTAACATTTATTTTCAACAGTAATTTCTTTTCGTAAAATCAACTATAAAAGTCTGCCACATTTTTTAATTGTTAAAATAATTAGGGTAATAATATGATATATAAAGATAAATAAGCTTAATAATAAGAAATTAATAATGAAATATATCCAAGTTTATAAAATTTATTTACCTTATTATCGTTTCGATGATCATAATTATTCAGAGAAGGCGCTGGATATGTAAAAAAATACCGGATATTATCTTGCACATATTTCTTTATCTAAAACAAATTGTCTTTTTCAATTAATATGTAAATAGCATATTTTACTTTATAACATATATATAATAATTGAATTTTGATATAATTTATCTTTAACATAATTATGCAAACGTCTGTCTGAAAAAATTTTAGACTGGTGTAAGAAAAAATCAACAAGATAAATTATGAAACTTTTACATCTAGTATTCTGCAATAGATAAATTATTATGTCATAGATCATATAATACTCTCTCATTTACACACATTACTAAGCGTAATTATTATTAATTATTATAAAATTTACCTTATTAAATTGTCGTTTAGAATACACATGATTAATGATCATAGTTATTGCTGTAGTAAAACTGATTTTTCTATAAATACAAAATAATAGATTCATTTAATTTAAAAATGTAGTAAATATTCATAATTGCACAAATATTACATATTCATAAAAATTACTTGGGTTTTATTTTCTCCAAATTGTGTAATATAATATCAAGTACTTCGATATTGTTTGCATGTCTCGCAACAATAGAACAAAAACTGTTTATATGATCGAAATTTGTGATTACTTTTTCCAGAGCAGTGCTCAATGTCATTAATTCTATATATTGCAGAATGATTGTAGAATTTTTGGAGCAAGCTAAAAATTTTAAAACACTAAAATCTGATTCTTTCAAATATATGTTAAACACATGCATCCATGTATCGTTGCTCGCTGTTATCAAACCATTGCAGAATGTCCATTCTTTCCATCCGTTCCAAATTCTACGATATTCGGAACAAAATAAAAATAGATTATTAAAAGTAAAAATAGATTATTATAATTTTATCTCTTGACCACATAAATTATCAAATATTTCACAAAATACGAGGAAAATGTATCTATAAAATAAACATGATTGAAAAATAATTGTAAAGAGTAATTACTTGTATGGCGAAGATTCGTTACGACTTAAAAGATACGATTTTAATTCACGATTGGCTATTGAAAAGCAATAAGAATCACTTAAGATGCATAACCATTTTGCAGCCTCTTCCCTCAAACATTTAGTAAAAATGTTTCCTTCAATGTTTCTATCTAATGTAAAATTAGGATATCCTATTCCCCATAAAATTACTTTCAATGGATACACTATTCTTATCTACAAATTGTTAAATAATACATAAAAATACATTTGTCAATTTATATATTTATTTGTATATTATAGAAAAAATAAAGAAATTTGCGCGCACACATATGCTGTTATTTAAAAAGCTATGCAAATAATACAATAATCTCTTTAAGATTAAAAAGATAGTAATAAATGCATGATTATGTTACTTAATTAATACAATTTGATATTAATTATTATTCTTCTTGATACTAAACAAATTATTCCATAAAAAATTAAAAAACTGAAACAGTTTCCCGAACTTCGGACAGTTAATTGTGTAAACTCATTTATATTTTATGAAAAATAATTCTAAAATACATTAATTTTAAAATATCAATGCGTTCAGTTTGTTATTAAAAAACATACAAACATAAATTACAACATACATAAACCACACATCTTTTTTTATTTATACAAATCTTATTTATACCTTTACAGATGTGCTTCTTGGAAATGCAAAGAAACCCGACATATATTCCAAGATTTTGAACATAGGATACCATGCGATATAATCTCTATCTCGCCATAGATACTGAGAAATATTCAAGAATACATTAGAATTTAATTTGCCTGTCATCACAAAGTGAAATGAATCGTCGATGAGTTTAGCACGATCGAGTACATGTATTTTTCGAAAAAGTTTGGAGTTCAAGTATTTCGAAAGTCTATACCAATTCTCGGCATCATAATTGACGCGATAGCATTCTGTATGAGAAATAAATTGTACCAGTAAATTATTAAATTTTTTTGATTGAATTAATTAATTCAAATTCACAGGAATTATATTCACATTTATCACAGGATTTTTCTGTAAAAATATATGCGCAACTTTCTCTTTGCATATATTTAAAGTGTGTAAAATGATGTGTGATTTAGGAATCGTGTTTATTATAAGTTACAAAATGCAGATTGCCGATTAAATTATGTCATATATTGATAAATCAATATATTTATAGAATATTAAAAGAGCATTAAAGTGAACTTAAATTTATATGACTATATTCATGATAATCAACAATAATGATAATTAAATTATACGATATACTTCGTTGTGTGTAACATATTAATGTATGTATAATCTTTAAATCGTGCAAATTTTATTGTAACATAATATGTAGATAAAGTGTATTGTAATATGTATAATATGTAGATATAATTTATCAAATATAAATAATTAGGTAAAAAATAATAGTTTTATGTATATATATATATATGTAAAAAACTGCAAATTATCGACGGTAAATTAAATATTATAATTAAAATCCAATAATGAAGTTATTTGATATTAAATAATGAAATAATGAAATTATTCGATATTAAGTAATTTTAGTTATTGTTGGATATTTAAGCAAACTGTTATTTAATTAATATATAAAAGAAATTACTACTTTCATAATATAAATAATATATATTATATATTATAGATCCCACTTTAATTTTAACACAATAATGAATTCAAAAACAGACGGTTTGGAAAAAATATGTTTTAAATAAAAATTGAAGGATTTGGAGAGGGAGAAAAGATAGGAATATTAATGGATGGGCTTTGGATATCAAGGTCAACTTAGTTTTTCTTTTAAATGTGTTTTCTTTTAAATTATTTTAATTTGCCTATATAAATCAATTTCTTATAATATTTCTCGTAAAAAGTTAAAAGGGTAAGATAGCTAAAAATTGAATAGTTTATGAAATATTTTATACTTTAAGTTTGATAAAATTTTACATAAATGAAAAAAAATATTTTATAAAATATTTATTTTTCGATTATCTTACCTTAATACTTTTATGCACAGAATGAAAAATATCAATAGATATAAAGACGTAATTATTATTAGGAAAAAGTATGAATTTGTTACGGCAGTTATGTAAAAGTATAATAAAGTTATCAATTAATATTTACCACGTTGTTGTAAATTGACTAGTACCCAGTCATTCATGTCTATGAATCTAGTTGGTAATTGGTACAAAATACCTTGTGCTATCCATTCAACAGGGAAAATTTTTTTCAAATCGGAATGCGTCTGCGTAGTAATGCTTACAGGTATCTCTATAGTTGAATTAAAATTTTCTACCAATAAATTCAAACTGTTAACATCATAATTTATATTCACATTTACCACAGGATAATGATTTAGCTGTGTCCAATTAGTTATTCTGTCTTTTAAATTATATTTCATTTCGAGAGATGTGGTATCCAAGATGTGTTGCATAACGTTCCAAAAACTACTGTTTTCGTATCTAAAATCCAAACGATTAAATGATAAAAAAAGTTAATAAAAAAAATGTCTTTAGAAAAATATTGAAAATAATTAAAAATTTTAAAGAACGAAGTAAAAGTAAAAATAGAAGAAGTGATAGAAGTAGTGATAATATAAAATATGTCCACTAGAATTAGAATAATAAGAAAGAAATTAATGGTAACATAAAAGAATGAAGAGAAGAATACGATTGGATACAGTTCTTTTGCGTATTTGACGTACGCTTCCGAATCGCGTTTATTCTAAAATTTGTAATTAATGGAATAATGTAATTACATTGTAATCTGTATTACTTACTGATGACGTAAATATGTTTCGATTCCATTCCGAAACACCTCTTCGGTAAGTGCATTTTGAAACGTGCGGAACATAATGCTTGCTACAAAAATTTACATCATAATGTAAAACGTAGTATTATACATATAAAATAAATTTACTATACATTATTTGGATATAAAAATTCCTGAACATATTATTTGTTTGATCGTACCTTTTATGTAACGGGGAATTGCAATGCTGATATCCAATTGCAAATAATCCGGCCATGTATCTTTTGTAAACCAATGAAGAACTTCATATTGCATTTGAACCACAAAGAAATCCTGCATCCGCAAATGTGGAAAGCTCTGGGTGTAAAAAAATTTTAATATAATTAAATAAATATTTAACGAAAGAAATGCACACATTAGCTTTTTGCATTTTAGGATAGTTACAATTTATTAAAACAAATTACTTTCGCTCATTAAAGTCTTCTTATTAAGTTATAAAAAAATATTTTCAAGTAATATTCAATAATGTTGTTTCAAATTATACATATATTTTTAGAACTATTTAAAAAGTATGTATAATACATATGCTGATATATAATATGTTATTATATTTTAATTTAATTTAATGTTTTGTGTATTTATATGCTAATTTTTTTGGTTAACTATCATTATAGAGCAAAAATATAAAAAAATTCTGGAATCTGCATAACCAATATAGCTCGATTGACGAAAAATATTTATAAGATTTAAAAATATTTTATATTATATACATGGGAATCTTAATATTTTTATATCACTTTATATCAGTATGATTATGACTAAAAGAAATAATATTAAATATAAAATAACCTTATCGGTGGCGTAAATTCCAAAAAATGTAGCAAAACCTTTGTGTAACCACGGGTGCCACTCAGATAAATTGATTTTATTATAAAACCATTCATGTACCATTTTATATCCTATTTGTCGCGTTATTTCTATTTTGCGTCCTTCAGTATCCGTCTCCTCATTAAAGATAATATCTGCTTCTCTAAAAATAACTCGCAAAAATTAATAAAGTAATAAAGCCGAGAATTCCTGTTATAAATATGATTAGTTATAATTATGAATTAGTTACATCATAGATAAATAAATAAATTAAATAGATAAGTTAACAAGAAAATGTAATTGCTTTAAAATAAACAAGACATTTAAAATAAACAAGAAATAATATATTATATGTGTTTATTTGCAAAACACTTACACATACGCAAATTACTCTATGTTAAACTATGATACATTATTATTATTATTTATTAAAACTACAGATATACCATAAAATATATATAATTTTGAATTTTATAATATTAAGTATCAAGAAAAGGTATTATATTTTAATGTATATTGATATTTTTCTTTACTTATAAAGAACGACTCCCAACATTATATCTTCTGCGTCTAACAGTTTCGGAATTGCGATCTGATTTGTTTCCGGAGTTTTCCTGATATATGGCAATTTCTTTTCTAAGAATTGCGTAATATTTTTAGCAACTGTATAAGCAAATTTCACATGCGGTAACATTTCTTTTCTGCACCACAATTTAGTGCTCTGATTTGTTTCTGAAGTAAAGACGAGATGACCCACAATCAAAGCTATGAAATGAACAGGCATCACGGGAGTTGTTTTGAATTGTGTCCATTGCGTATTATTTTTATCCAAATTTACTTTTTGCACGGGCATATTTGATAAAGCCTTGTAGTTTTTAGGATGTCTTATAGAAATGGTATAACTAGCATATGTAGTGTCCTTCAAAAGTGGAAATAATCTTCGAGTCGCAAATTTGTAATAATGCGTTGCAGCCAACCATCTAGCATATATAATAGCATATTTTAAATAACACAAAAAGTTTCCAGTTACTGCTAAAATATTAGAAGTTACAAAGAAAAATAGAAAAAATTAAAAAAGAAAAAAGAAAACATGAAAGAGTAAAAGATACATCTTAACAGTAATGTTTAAAGAATAGTAACATATTTTATATTACAATTGTGCGATGCAAAAAATACTTTTTCTAAATTTATTATTTATCAGGCAACTTTTTACGAACTGTAAGAGAAAGAGAGAACTGTATTTAAGTAATAATTTATTAAATCATACACAAACACATATATTAAGACTATGCCTTGGTAATAATACGAATATTTTGAAAAGAATTGAAACAAATAATGTAATTATAGCAACTAAATATGTATTTAACGTTTTAAAAATTACTCACACTCTGTCATTTTGTTGATTTATGTAGGAAGTTCTGAATCCTCCATTTTCACTTACAATTCCCATAAATTTCATATTCAGAGTGTAAAATCCTGATGGTAAATAGTACGCGAAAGAAATGGTGGTTATACGTATTTCAGAATTATAAGTAAATCCAATAGGCTCATGGGGAAAAAGTTCTTCATTATTTTCTTCAGATATTTGTGAAGCGTCTGTTACTATAACTTGAATTACAGTCAGAGTTTCTGTGTAAACGTATATATCTTGCGTATCATAAGGAATATAAAAGCTGACATTGTATTCGCCGTAAAAGACATCATGGTCAACACTTAATATAAATTTAATGTCATAATGTTGCTGATATAATATGTCGAATTTCGATAGGGGCACATGTTCATCTGTAGAAAGAGCCGCCGCGATGAATATTAGATTGCAACTTAACACTTTTAGGAATGCCATGCCACTTTTCTGTGTCTCTCATTCGTCATAAATATCTAAATAAACATTTTTTCTTCTAAGTAAATTATATATATATACATATATATATATATATATATATATATATATATATATATATATATAAGAAAGAGGGAGATATTGTTTTCAGATAATCAGTTTTCAAATTTGACATGTCTTAATACATTATATATTTAATACAATTTTTTATCTACATTATTATAGTGGAAAATGTTTTTTAATTACTACCATTATTTCGTATAAAAAAGAGACAGTATAACTATTACATAACCTTTTATTAAAGAAATCTAGCTTTAAGATAAAGAAATCGTAATTTTTCAGTATATATTTTAATAAATACAACGTATAAATTTAATTTGATTAGATTTAACCACATTGACATAATTTAATAAAAAAGTTTCTTTATTAAATGTTTGATTTTAAGTCAAATTGAATTTCTAAGAGAACAATACATACGCTCTTGTGAAATTAAATTCTTTTTTCTCTACTATCTTTACGAAGACGATAATTTTGAGAAAAATGATCGTCCCTGAAGACAAATTATTTAAATTGTCCTCGACGTATCTAACGTACACATTTTAATTTTTTTGATGGCGATTATATATTCTGTTTTGTTATGACTCACCTCGTATATTATGATGTGTTAGCCGATCCAAATTTAGTTCTTTGGTAATAATTAAATGTAATTAACTCTTTATTACTACAAATTATTAATATCGAAAATATATCTTTAATTTGATCTCTCTTTTACAGTTCTGAGATACTACCGAGAAATGCTATTGTTCGATAAGCGATATCAGAATAAGTATGTTATGGAAACAACTTCCCAGGTAGCAAGATGACATCTAAAGACGTCTTAAAGACGTCTATGACGTCATTAAGACGTTATTAAGACGTCATTTGACGTCATTCTGCTACTAGGGCTTGAAAATCATAATAATATGAAATCAAATCACTGCGTGTCTTATTATCATATAAACACAATAAATGCCAATATTTATTAAATTATATTTATTAAATTATTTCTCTACTCTATACATTTAATTAATTATTTTTAAAATGCATTTTAGAGCGACTAAAAGATTGTATTTTCTCCACTTTTATTTTTTTTCTTATTAGCAAATAATCCATCGTTGTTTGTATCTTAATTTTGGCCCTAATTATGTAGATTTATAGTATTCAATGTCCAAAATTAATATTTTTTTTATTTTATAAATACAATAAAAATAGATTTAAAAGAGGAAAACGAAGTAGAAAATAAATTTTTCTGTTTTTTAACCTTTTTTATAGACATTACTATCCATGTATATTTTTATCGCAAGTAAGATTCATAAATTTTATAAACTTTCTATTGAAAGTAATAGCAAAATGATTATATGCTTTGATATTTTTATTTTTTTTAATACAGTAATAATATTACAATTTATATACAATTTTTCTATTAGTTTTGTCATCGCTTGTATTACAATTTAATAATCGGCATATGTAAATACTTTTAATATATTGATTGTTTAAAACTAATAATTCTTTTCTCCATAATAAAAGAAATAGAGTTTAATAAAATAAAAAATAAATCTCGAAAATGTAACAAATTAACAATATTAATATTTTATGTCGCAATATTTTTTGTCAGTATTGCATGAACACATTAAGATAATATATCTATGTGAAAGAAGGAAGACGTAATATTTATAGATAATCTAATTGTAGATAATAATAAATCTAAATAATAATATTTATAGATAATAAAAAATATGTAATATTTATAGACAATTCTTTTGTGTTCATTAAATTTTTCACATTATAAGTTTATACATATATAAACACACATATACTTATCTAATTGATAATTAATAATTATTTTATATTATGTCAATTCTCTCTCTCGAACATACTAAATGTGTAACATTTAAGCGTTTTGTTTATTTTAATATAAACTTAATTGTCAATTCATTTTCTATTAGAGATATTAAGTTATAGGTTTTAAATGTTGCGCCATATACATTACATTTGATGAAATATCACTGTTATCTTGCGTATAGCAAGCACGATAAATTTAAAATAGAAACTTATTAAAATAAAACTTTAGAAGCCTTAGATGCCTTCGAATTAAGAGAATAAAGAGCTTCTTTACATTAAAAAAATTTTTTATTAATTAGAAAAATTAAAATATGTAATTTGTTATAAATTTTTCTTTGAATAAAATAATCAGTACCATCTGTATTGAATTTAATTTGGCAACAAAACTTTTAAACCCTATTCTTAAGCTCTAAATTTAACAAAGGAATGTTACATTCAAGTCAATTTGTTGAAACTAATTCAATACAGAACTTCTGATATTTCATTTGAACTATTTATTTTAGCATATGATTCTCTAATTTATATATCATCCGCATGTTCATTTCTTTACTCTCTTTATTTTCTAGAGATATTACAATTATCATAAAAAATTATTAAAGATTTTTACCACCCCATTGCACCACTAGTTAATTATAACTAGCGGCGCAATGGGGTAGTAAAAATCTTTAATAATTTTTTATGATAGTTGTAACTATTATTGTCCTTTGTTTCTTTTATAATTCCTTTTTGTACATTGCGTCACAAATGTAATTCACTCTCTATTTTTTACATTATTTTATTGGTATCGTTGTATTATTTCTGTTGTAATTATTATTGGACGTACATTCAATATACTGTATCGTATATTATTTTCTTCTTGTGTCAAGTACAATAAAGTTACATCCACCAGCATATTGTTTCTCATACTCTATTTAATAAAAATAATTATCATTAATTATCATTTATCTTTGCATTTATGTTTATCTTAAGAATGTTTTATAAAATTTATATAAATTGTGAATGTGTATATTTCATATGTGCATTAAGCACATTATACATATCAATTCATCTTGAAAAGAATATTCTTTTTTAATTATCGCATAAAACTAGTACTTTAATTGCATAAAAATAATACTTTAAAAAATAGAAAAATTGTAAAAAAAAATCGTGTAAATCTCATAAATAAAAGAAGACGTGATGTTTACTTTAAATAAAACTCATTAATATTTTATTCTATTACGATTTTATTCTATTTTATTCTAGTTTATTCTATTATTCACTCGCTATATTGTCTTTATATGTATCTTTTATTTGTGAGTGCATATTTTTAACCGGAATAAATAAATACAAAAACTATTCATATATTAAATAAGTGAATGCATTATATTTCGTTACCTTTTCCTGATTTGATTCATTAATCATTTAAGTTCTTTTCTAAAATATCACTCAAGTTTGTTGCAAGATATCGAAATTCGTATAACTGAGTCTTTATTTGATGCCAACGTAGTTCTAACTTGCGGTTTATGTACATTATCATACTCTCTATATTCTCTTTAAGCAGCAAGGATTTAATTACCTAAAACAGATTATTTTAATATTTATTTCTACAGTAATTTCTTTTTATATATTATAGAAATCAATCACAATTTTTGGCTATTAGTATAACGTAAAATAGTTATATGATATAAGATAAAATAAATACACACACACACACACACACACACACACACACACACACACACACACATATATATATATATATATATATATATATAAACTTAATAATAAGAAATTCACAACTAAATATATATATTTGATTTCTAAAATTTACCACGTCGTTTTCATCATGATATTCATCATTAATCACAAGTTTTAGGTTATCCTTAAAATTAATTTCCACGTATTTCTTTATCTAAAATAAATTTTTTTTAGATTAATAATTTGTAAATGGTAAATTTTGCTCATAATGTAAAAATTAATAACATATAATTTATCTTTAGTATAATTATGCAACGAAACACCTGTCTAGTAAGATTTTAAAATGATGTAAGAAGAGACCAACAAAATAAGTTAAAAACTTTTTATATATAGTGTTATGTAATAGATGCATTATTATTTAATAGATCACATATAATAAAATATAATCTCCTCTCATTTCTACATTATTTTTGTAACAGCTTCCAAAAAACCATTTTAGAGAGAACCTATTTAATATTCGTCTTTCGAAATGAATTAAGTTTAAGAAAAATGAAATTGCTTTAAGTTAAAAAAAAATAAAAATAATGTTAACTAAATAATCGCAGTAACTAGCAAAAATAAAAATAGAAAAAGCTTTATACATAGACATATTTCGATATTTCCCAATAATTTCGACAATTCTAGTACATATGTCATGGAAAAGATTAATCTAAAATAAGTTGACAGACAACATATATACTGATAAATGAAATTCAAAATAAGAAATTAATAAACAATTGTATTTCTATGCATATATGTGTGCATAAATCCACACAGCACATGAGTTTATAAAACTCACTTTATTAATTTGTTCCTTAGAGTACACATGGTTGATAATAATAGTTAATGCTGTAATAAGATTGATTTCTCTGTAAAAAACAAGCAATAGATTTATATAATTAATATATGAAGCGAATCTTCATAAGTATATAAGTATTATATATTTATAGAAAAGAATTACTTGGGTTTTATTAGCCACAAATCCTTTATTATAAAATCAAATATTGTGTCATTCTTTGCATGCCTAGCAACAATAGAAGTAAAAGTGTTTATTAAATCAAGGACAGTTGCTATTTTTGAAATAAAGTTAGATCTCATCATTCTTATATATGATCTAATGATATAGTTATTTTGAGAGCAAGCTAAAAATTTTAAAACATCATTATTAAATTCTTCCTTATACATATAATACACTTTCATCCAAGTATTATTATTCGCTGTTTTCAAACCGTTGCAGAATGTCCATTCTTTCCATCCCGTCCAAATTCTATAATATTCAAAATGAAATAAAAATCCATTATAAAAAATATTCGTAATCTTATGTCATGAACATATGAATTATCAAGTATTTCATGAGATATGAGGCAAAATGCAAATGTAAAAACATTGTGATTAAAGAATTATGAAAAATAATTACGTGTTTGATAAAAATGTATCACGTTTTGAGAGATACGATTTTAATTTATAATAGGCTTTCATTAAGCAATCAGTATAATCTATAATACACAACCATCTTGCAGTCTCTTCTCTCAAATATGTCAGGAAGCCTTTTCCCTGATTGATTTTAGACCGTTCAAAATTGGGGTATCTTATTTTCGAAAGAATTTTAATCAATGGTTGCATTATCATTCTCTACAAATTGTTAAATAATATATAAAAACATATTTATATATTTATTTATCTACATATTATATAGAAAAATTTAAAAAATTTGCATGCATACATATTTAAAAACAAGCTAAATAATTTAATCTTTTAAATCTGTAAATAATTTAATTTTTTTAAGATTAAAAAGATAATAATATTTGTATAATTATGTTACACTTAATTATTATAGTACAATTTGATATTAACTATTAGTCTTCTTAATACAAAATGAATTATTGGATAAAAATTTGAAAGTGGAAGTTGTTTCGTGAACTTTAGAGAGTTAAACATTGTGTGCTCATCTATTTTATCAAATATACTTTTAAAATATAAATGTAATATACATACAGGGTAAATGTAATATATAGGGCAACATGGGAGCCAAAATTTAAAAGGTGATTTTTTATTCTATACAGTAATATTTTTCTCTACACGAGCCTACCACGCCGAATATGTAGATTTTTACATTAGCTGCTGCGGGATAAGCTTCTGTACTTATGTATCACGTTGTATTTTGGCAATGACTTTACTGACGTAACTAACATACGCCTAAGATCGACGAATTGCCATGCTTGAGGCGCCTCTTATGCGAATTTTTAAACATATATAACTAAAAAAGGAAACTTTTAGCGCAATTTTCATATTCTTTTTCGCTTTATTTTATAATGAAGAATCACTTTTTAACTTTTGGCCTTCCTGTTGTCAAATATTCTGCATATATATATATATATATATATATATATATATATATATATATATAAATTATTTAACATAAAATACCCGTTCTTTTATTTATACAAACTAATATTATTTACTATATATTATTTATACCTTTATAGGTGCGCTTTCTGGAAATGCAAAGAAACCTAACACATATTCCAAATTTTTGAACATAGGATACCATGCGATATAATCTCTATCTCGCCATAGATAATATGAAATATCCAAGAATACAGTAAAATTTAATCGGCCTGTCATTAGGAAATGAAATGTGTCATCGATGATTTTAGCACGATCGAGAACATCTATTTTTTTAAAGTAGGTGGAGTTCAGGTATTTCGAAAGTCTGTTCCAATTCTCATCGTCATAATTGACGCGGTAGCATCCTATTGTGTGAGAAATAAATTAAACAAATATCATGAATCATTAAATATTTTGATTGAATTTATCAAGCAATGCTTTGAAATATCTGAAGATTTACCATTTTAATGATAGTAGCACAAAATATTTAATACTCTATATATATACAGGGTGACCCATTTTAACTTAGGCAGCCAAATAACTCGAAAAATAAGACGACACTACGAAAAAATGGTTAGAATCAAAATTTCGTCATTTCGAGGGGGACGTACAATGACGTTAAAATCAGCCCCCCCACCCCTCCCCCTGGGCGGTGAGGGGAGGCAAGTTTGAAATCTTAAATGGAACCCCCTATTTTTCATTGCATATTCTTGTAGCTTATCTCGAGAGCTTTCCAAAACACTATAATTAAGTACCTTTTTATTAAGTACTTTTTGAGTTATAAGGCTTGAAATAATTTCTTAATTTTATCATAAAATAAACCATAAAATATCTAGTAAACCATTCATTTTTCGATTATCTTACCTTCATACTTTTATGTACAAAATAATGAGAGGAATCAATTGGTGTAAAGAAAACACATAGTTGTTTCTTAGAAAAAATATGTAATTTGCAATTAACAATTCCATATTTTTTCTTAAAAACAATTGTATGTTTTCTTTACACCAATTGATTCCTCTCATTATTTTGTACGTAAAAGTATGAAGGTAAGATAATCGAAAAATGAATGGTTTACTAGATATTTTATGGTTTATGTAAAATTAAGAAATTATTTTAAGCCTTATAACTCAAAAAGTACTTAATAAAAAGGTACTTAATTATAGTGTTTTGGAAAGCTCTCGAGATAAGCTACAAGAATATGCAATGAAAAATAGGGGGTTCCATTTAAGATTTCAAACTTGCCCCCCCTCACCGCCCAGGGGGAGGGGTGGGGGGCTGATTTTAACGTCATTGTACGTCCCCCTCGAAATGACGAAATTTTGATTCTAACCATTTTTTCGTAGTGTGCTTATTTTTCGAGTTATTTGGCTGCCTAAGTTAAAATGGGTCACCCTGTATATATATATATATATATATATACATATATATATTTTTGTCGTATATAATTAATTAATTATTCTAAATAATGTAATAATCTAAATTTTGTAAAATAAAATTCGTAACAGACCTTGAATTTTTATAAATAAAATGTAAATATAGTAATAAAAATAATATAAAGACAGAGATAAATATTAAAGTATAATAAATTTTTCGATTATATTTACCAATTTGTTGTAAATTGACCAATACCCAGTCATTCTTGTTTATAAAATCTATATTTAATATATGATAAGAAATATGTGGTGTTAGCCATACTGCAGGCAAATATTTTCTTAAATTGTAATGCGTTTGCGTAGTAATGTTCATATATATCCATATATCCGTATCAAAATTTTCTACTGATATATTCAACCTGTTATTATTATAATTTCTTTTCACATTTATCACAGGATAATATTTTAACTGTCCCCAATTAGCAATTCTGTCTTTTACGTTGTATTTGATTTCGACAGATGATTTATCAAGACTAGATTGCGCAATGTTCCAGAAATCATCACTGCCTGTGTAGCTAAAAATTTAAACGGATAGTGATAAAAAATATTAATAAAAGAAGATATCTTAACAAAAATATTGAAAAGCAAGATTTTTAAAGAACGAAGTAAGAAAGTATGAAAGAGAAGAAGTATGAAAGAGAAGAAATGATAGTAATATAAAATATATCAAATAGAATTGAAACGATAAGAGAAGTATTAATGTTAAATATCAGAAAAGAATAAATATAATACTAAAAAAGATAAATATGTGATAAAAAAGAAATGTATAAATAAAAAGAAATAAAAGATATAAGTAGATAACATATAAAAAAATTCAAAAAACAAGAATTAAAAATGGAGATATAGGTTTCAAAAATTAAAAAATATAACAAAAGATAATTTATTCTTTTCTGATATTTACCATTAATACTTCACTTATTGTTCCAATTCTACTTGATATATTTTATACTATCATTTATACTATCATTTCTTCTGTTTCACTTTACAAATATGTATTTAAATTTATAATATAATTATATTGTAATCTATATTACTCACTGAGCTAGTATATATTCTTGGATACCAGTTTGAAATATCTCTTTCATAAATATATGATGCAATGTACGAAACATAATGCTTGCTACAAAAATTGACATCATAAAGTAAAATGTAGTATGTATAAAATAAATTTTCTATACATTATTTGGATATATAACTCCATGAATATAACTGATTTATATGTACGATAAATAAAAATTAGTTTTAATCTTAACTTTTTGGTAAACGTTAATACTACGAAATCATAACTTTTTTATTGTAATGTTTTTATATGAATTAAAAAATTTATTTGGTAATAATCATTTGTTTGGTTATACCTTTGATGAAACGAGGAATTTCAAAAGAACTATTAAATCGTGATTTAAGCGGCCATGTGTTCTTGGTATTCCAATGAAGAACATCATGTTGCATTTGAACTACAAAGAAATCTTCTACCTGATACTTTGGAAATTTCTGCACACAAAAAGATTTTAATATAATTAAATAAATATTTAATCAAAAGAAAAGCCCACACATTAGCAACATACATTAGAATTATTATAATATTGTTATATATTAAAAAAATTTTACATATTAAGAAAAATTTACATATATTCGTTCGTTGAATTTTTCTTATTAAGTTTAAGAAATATATTCAAATATGTAATAATATTTGGTAACATCATTTCAAATTATGTAATTTTAAAGTTATTTAAAATAAATATAAATATATGTAAATTAAATATATATAAATTACGATAGTTTAATTTAATGCTGTCTGTGTGAAAATTTTTGGCTGATTATCGTTATAGATCACATATTTTATAAATAAATTTCGATCTAAATTAGTATATATTGAATGAAAAATATATCTGAATGTTTTCATATTACTCTTACTGATTAATGTAAAATAATTAATGCTAAATATAAAATAACCTCATCGGCAATGTAAATTCCAAAGAACGTAGCTAAACCTTTGCTTAACCAAGGATCCCACTTAGATGGATCGATTATATGGAAAAACCATTCGTGTGCCACTTTATATCCTATTAATTGTGTTATTTCAGTTTTGCGTATCTCAGAATCTTCTTGGTTAAAAATAATATCAGATTCTCTAAAAATAATTCGCAAATATCGCAATAAAGTCAAAAATCCTTATAACAAACATGCAGATTAGTTATATTATATATTGTAATTATATTTCATAACTAATTAATGAGTTCAACATTCTTGAGAATACAGATAAAGTGCGATAAAATGAAAAGAAATGTAATTAGAATAAATAAAAAATACTTATTATATGTATTTTAGTTACACACACACTTAAATGTCGGATTTTATAATATTGAAAATCGAGAAAAAAATATTGTGTTTTAATGTAGAGATTAGTATATCTTTAAATCAAAATATAATATTTACCTATGAAGAACAAATCCCAACTTTATCTCTTCTTCTTCACCTAACAAATTTGGAAGAGTGACATGATTTATTTCTGGAATTTCTCTGATGTATGGCCATTTCGATTCTAACAACACCGTAAGGCCATTAGCAACCAATAATGCTAATTTCGAATAGGATATCACGCCTTTTCTGCACCATAATATGACTCTATAACTTCTATTTAATGTAGAGGTGAGAGGAGCTACACCTGCCGCTATCATGTTTTCGGGCATTACGGGAGTACTTTCAAAATGAGTCCACTTCATATTATTTTTGTCTCTATTTACTGCCTGCATGGGCATATTTGATAAAGCCGTGTAATTTATATGATGCTTTATAGAAATTTTAAAATTAGTATTTATATTAATGTCCTTCAAAAGTGGAAATAATCTTCGAGTTGCAAATTTGTGATAATGCGTTGCAGCCAACCATCTATAGCATATATATAATAGTATATTTTAAATAACACTAAAAGTTTTCAGTTACTGCTAAAGTATCAGAAATTATAAGAGAAAGAGAGAAATAGAAAAATTACAAACGTATCTTAAGAGTAATATTTAAAGAATAATTGTAACATATTTTATATGTTACAATTTTATCAGTATACTACTCTTTTATTATGTAATATAATATATTATAAAAAATTTCTGTAATATTGATTATGAATAAAATAATATATATATTCATAATCATTCTCAAATTCCTAAATTCTTTAAAGTATTCACGTATAAGGTATAAATGTAATAATATGAAATGTATTTCATATTTTTTAAATTATAAGGTTCACATTTTACATTTATGTATGATTAATATCTGTCTTGCATAGAAATATTATATACACTTGTGAAATGCAAGAATAAAATGCTTTTTCTGAATGTATTATTTATCAAACAATTTTTTACGAACTAAAAGAAAGAAAGAGAGAATTATGTGTAAAAATAATTTATTAAATCATACACATATGTGTTAAAACTACACCTTAGAAACAATAATGAGAATAATTTGCAAAGAGTTGAGGCATTGATGGTCTTTAAATAATATCTAAGTATTTAAAAATTTACTTACATTCTATTATTTTGTTGAAAATATTCATTATTTTGTTGATAATATCTATTAGGTTCTAGAAAGTTATTGATGTAAAAACTTCTAAAGCCTCCATTTTCAGCTAAAAGTCCGATAAATTTCATATTTATAATGTAGCATCCTTGTGATAATTCGTATGGAAAAGAAATTGTGTTTATATATGTTTCAGTGTTATACATTAATTCCTTAGGCTTATGGGCAAAAACTTCTCCCTCATTGTTTTCGGATATTTGTGTATCATTTATTACCATAACTCCAGTTATACCCAGATTTTCTGTATAAAAGTATATATTTTGCGTTTTGTAAGGAATATAACTGTTGACATTGTATTCGCCGTAGAAAATATTGTCGTCGATATATAGTGCAAACTTTATGTCGTAATATGTTTTCGATAATAGGTTGATATTTGAGGAAGGCAAACATTTATCAGTAAAAAGAGCCTTCACGATGATGAACATTAGATTGTAAATTAATACTTTTAGGAATGTCATGTCACTTATTTGTCTCAAATATCTAATTAAACATTTTTTCTTTCTGGAAAAAAGACAAATAAAGTAATAAATATATGTATATACATGTGGAAAAAAAATATATATATATATACATAATAAAAAATTTTCTTTAATTATTACTTTTAATACGTATAAAAAGGAGAGAGTAAGTAAAAAATAATCTTTTATTAATAAAATATAACCTTAGGATAAAAGAATTAGAATCTTGCAGGTTATATTTTAGAAAACGCAATGTATTAATTTAATTTTATTAAATTCAATGAAATCACAATGACACATTTAATAAGTAACTTCTTTATTTAACGTTTGATTTTAAATTAATTTAAATTTTGTTTTCGAATAACATAATAAAATACACTTTTCTCTCAAATTAGAATCCTCTCCTCTTAATAATTTTAACAATTGTAGAAAAGACTGTCTTTTTTGGCGAAAATTATACTTGTCATGTTTGTACTTTGAAATTATTTAAATTGGCTTCAACGTATATAACGTACACATTTTATTCATTTTTAGAAGCAGTTATATAGGTATTTGTGATAACTTACCTTGTATATTAAAATTGTCTGCTGATCAAGATTTAATTCGTTGATAATAATTCACTGTTATTATCCTTTTATTACTATAAACTATTCACATCAAAAATATATATCTATATATATATTTTAAATTAATCTTGCTGGTCCGAGATACTACCGAGAAATACCAGTGTTCGATTTTCATATGTTCGTTCGACGGTCGTTCGCGATATCATAATAAGCATGTCATGGAAACAACTTTGAAAATCAAAACAATACGAAATCAAGTTAATAAATATCTTATCCCAGGCAATAAGCGCAATAAAATGCTAATATATAATATGATATGATTAAATCAATTCTCTTGCTTTATATATTTAATTTTTAAGTAATTTTAAAATACATTTTAGAGGAATTAAAAAGTTGTATTCTCTTCATACTTTTATTTTTTTTCTTATAAGCAAATAATTTATCTCTGTTTGTGTCTTAATTTATTACTGGACGTAGTTGTAAATTTATTCAATGTCCAATATTTTCTTCTTATGTATATATATCTTATATATAGTATATATATATATATATATATATATATATATATATATAATAAAAAACAGGTTTTCGAAAGGAAAACTACATAAAAATAAATCTTGCAGAATTATGTCTTATAATATATGTTATATAATTTCATACTTTTGTGTAATTGTATTATATATAAATAATAAAATATTATATTATCTAATAAAATATGTATAAGAAAGATATAACGATTTTATATAATTAATTTCAAATTTATCAAATTTTTTATGGATTACAAATGTTTATATTTACGTGTTAAATTATTTAATATTATACTAGATTATATTATATTAATATTATATTAATATTATACTAACTTCTCCGGAAATATGTCAAATTTTTTTCATTAATTTGGATATAATCTTAATTTTCTAAAAAGAAAAATATTGCAATTTAAAATTGTTAAATATTAATGTCAAATAGTGTTCAATATTAGTGTTTGCATTATCGAAGTCTTTTTAAGACATTCGATTTTCGACATCAAAATGAAACTTTAAAAGCTTTAGATGTCTGAAAATTAAGGAAATAAATTGCTTTATTACGCTAAAAACTCTATTAATCGGAAGAATTGAAACGTATACTTAATTGTATGTTTGTAAAAACCAGAATAATCTGAATTAAATAATCTGATGGTTGTACAGTTAATCTAAATTCAATAAAGAAATGTTGAGTTTGATTTAAATCTAAACCAATATAAACCTCCTGATTTTTAATTCTAATCTATTTATTTAGCATTTGATTTTAATCTATATGACACGTGTTTATTCATTTTTTACTCTCTTTTTCTTTTTAAATAATTAACAGGAAAAATAATTAAGTATAAACTCTTTGGATTTATGATTGATATCTTAAAAATATTTTAAAATTTGTATGGTAATTAAAATATTTTATATGTATATTAATATGTATAAAAATATGTGAAATTTTAATGTTAATATAAGAATATAAAATAGTAATATAATATACAAGGATAAATAAGTTTAATAATAAGAATTAATAATAAATATCTAAGCTTAGAAAATTTACCTCATCACTGTTTCGATCATAATTAATCAAAGAAGGTACTGAATATTTTAAAATATACTGCAAATTTATTTTCACATATTCCTTAATCTAAAACAAATTAGTAGTCTTTTTAAATTAATATGTGAGTAGTAATACCTCATAATGTATTATAGTACAATTTATATGATATAATTTGTCTTTAGCGTAATTATGCAATAATTCTATCTAAAGAAACTTTAGACTTATGTAACAAAAGATCAAGAAGTTAGATTAAAAAACAGTTATATATAATATTCTGCAATAGAGACATTATTATAGAATGGAACATACAATGGAATATAATATCCCCTGTCATTTCCACACAGTATTAAATGTAATTATTATTAAGTGCCTTCAAGAAGTCATTGGAAATAGTTAATATTCGGCTTCCGAAATTGCATTAAATTAAAGAAAAACAAAAATAACATGTAATTAACAAAAATAATAGACTTGAAAAATCTTTATAATTAACATATAAACGAATTTTATTATAAAATTTTACATTAAAATTATTTTAAATACATATTTTATAAGGTATAAATATACAATGTTTGTGCACTTTTGCAAAGTTTATTCTTTCTATTTTTTAAACCTAAACCTTTTTTTATAACTATTATTATTAAAACTAATAATATATTTTTTTATAGTAAAGGAAATAGAATTCAGAATAAAAAATAAATCCTGAAAAAGAAACAATTTCATAACATTATATGTTATATTTTTGTTAGTATTGCATGAGCGCACACTAAAATAATATATCTATAATAAATAGAAGGAAAATATAATATTTACAGATAATCAATTCTCTCTTTTGTATTCATTAAATTTTCACATTATAAGTTTATACATACATAAACACACATTATATAATTATAATTGATAATTATATTTATCAATTCGAATAACATACTAAATGTGTGACATTTGACTTTCCTTTAATTTTAATATAAACTTAATTGTTAATATTCATTTTCTATAAGAAACATTAAATTACAGATTTTAAATATTTGCTCCATATACATTATACATAATGACGTACCATTGATATCTTGCATGCTGCAAGCACAGCAAATTTTTTATATCAAAATAAAACTTCGATATCTTCGTATTAAGAAAATAAATAGCTTTTTTATATTAAAAAGTCTTTCTATTAATTAGAAAAATTAAAACATATAATTTGTTCTAAATTTTTTAAATAAAATAAATATCATCGGTACATATCATTTGTATTGAATTTAATCTGACAACAAACTTTTAAACTCTAAATTGGACAAAAAAATGTTAAATCCAAATCAATTTGTTAAATCTAAGGAATTCTAAGGTTTTTTTTAGGGGATTTATATATCATCCGCTTGTTCATTTTTTTATTCTTCTCTTTTTCTAGAGTTATTATCATAAAAAATTAAGTATTTATTTTTACCACCACTGCGCTACTATAGTGTGCATATGTTATAATTGCCCTTTTCTATTTCTTTTCTAATTCCTTTTTGTCATTGTGTCACAGGTGTAATTCGCTCCCTATCTTTTGCATTATTCAGCCGACACCATAGTATTATTTTTGTTGCAATTATTTAACACTCATTCAATATATATTAAATATCTTATTTTTTTCTTGTGTTTACAAAGTTACATCTACCGGTACGTTGTGTCTTATAATCTCCATTCATAAAAATCTATCAATAAAAATAGTTATTATTAAGCATTACCTTTTTTGATTAATATCTTAAGAACGTTTTATAAATTATGAACGATAATTATGATATTTCATATGTGTGCGTTATATAATATATGTACATATTGTGAGATGAACGTGATACCAAAGAAAAACCAAATTACGCGCCCAGATTATTGTAGGGTACATGACCCTGGTACGCCATGGAAGGCGGGGGCGCTGGCAAGACAAGAGGGTAGTGTTGCGTCAGCGTGGCGTCAGCGTGGCGTCAGTCGGCATATATACACGAGGGAGAGCGCGCGCGGGAAGAAGCGACCACGTGTGTCGAGGTAGCGTGGCGTCGGTCCGGCCGCACAGTTTTAAGTGTACCTCTATCAAATAAATAATGTTCTCATTAAGTCGGAGTACATGATTATTGCCGCTCGACAACCTTACAATATCAATTCATCTTGAAAGAAATATTCTTTTTTAATTATTACTCACAAATAGTACTTTAAGAAATAAAAAAATTGTAAGAAAAATTGCGTAAAAAGCTCACAAAAGAAAGAACAACAATATTCACTATAATTGTTTAAATAGACCTTATTAACTTTTTATTCTATATTACAACTCAACCGCTATATTGTCGTTATCATATGTGTATTTTTTATTAATGAATGCATATTTTTTAATCAAAATGAATAAATGAAAATACAAAAACTATTCATATGATAAAAATAAATATATGCATGCATTACATTTCTCTATCTTTTCCTGATTTAATTGATTAATTGGCCTAGTATGCTCTAAAAACATCATCAAAGTCTTTTATAAGATATCGATATTTGTACAGTTGAGTCCTTATTTGATTCCAACGTAGATCTAGCTTACGGTTTACATAAGTTATTATACTTGTTATTTTCTTTTTACGCAAGGATTCAATTACCTAAAACGAATTATTTTAACATTTATTTCAACAGTAATTTTTTTTCATAAAAGTCAGAATTTGTGATTATTAGAATAAGAAATAAAATAGTAATATGGAACGTAAATATAAACAAGCTTAATAATAATAAATGAAATTAATAATTATGTAAATATACCTAAACTTATAAAATTTACCTTATCATCGTTTTTACCATCATTAGTGGGAGGAGAAACTGAGTATTTTAGAACATCCTGGATATTATTTTTCACGTATTCCTTTATCTAAAACAAATTATCTTTTAGATTATATAAGTATTAATTCTACGTTATAATGTAGTAGAACTTTAGATGATATTATTTGTCTTTAGTGTAATTATACAACAAAATGTTCGAAGAAATTTAAACTGTTAAAGATTAACTAGTTAAATTAAAAATTTTTTACATATATTTTGCAATAGATACATTATTATATAATATACATCATATAATAGAATATAATTCCCTTTTTCCCATTTCCATTATTAAGTTTAATTATTATTAAATGTTTCCGAGAAGCTATTAGAAATAACGTTGTATTCGGTTTTTAAAATTGCACTGAATTAGAGAAAAATAAAAATAACATGTAATTAACAAAAATAATCCAATAGAAAAAGCTTTATAGTTTTTATAAATGTCCCGATGTTGTCCAGTAATTGACGATTCTAATACATATATCATAGAACAGACAAGTCTAAAATTATGTTGAATCTCAATTAATTATGTGTATACAGGGTGACCCATTTTAACTTAGGCAGCCAAATAACTCGAAAAATAAGCACACTACGAAAAAATGGTTAGAATCAAAATTTCGTCATTTCGAGGGGGACGTACAATGACGTTAAAATCAGCCCCCCCACCCCTCCCCCTGGGCGGTGAGGTGGGGCAAGTTTGAAATCTTAAATGGGAACCCCTATTTTTCATTGCATATTCTTGTAGCTTATCTCGAGAGCTTTCCAAAACACTATAATTAAGTACCTTTTTATTAAGTACTTTTTGAGTTATAAGGCTTGAAATAATTTCTTAATTTTACATAAACCATAAAATATCTAGTAAACCATTCATTTTTCGATTATCTTACCTTCATACTTTTATGTACAAAATAATGAGAGGAATCAATTGGTGTAAAGAAAACACATAGTTGTTTCTAAGAAAAAATATGTAATTTGCAATTAACAATTCCATATTTTTTCTTAAAAACAACTGTATGTTTTCTTTACACCAATTGATTTCTCTCATTATTTTGTACATAAAAGTATGAAGGTAAGATAATCGAAAAATGAATGGTTTACTAGATATTTTATGGTTTATGTAAAATTAAGAAATTATTTTAAGCCTTATAACTCAAAAAGTACTTAATAAAAAGGTACTTAATTATAGTGTTTTGGAAAGCTCTCGAGATAAGCTACAAGAATATGCAATGAAAAATAGGGGTTCCCATTTAAGATTTCAAACTTGCCCCCCCTCACCGCCCAGGGGGAGAAGTGGGGGGACTGATTTTAACATCATTGTACGTCCCCCTCGAAATGACGAAATTTTGATTCTAACCATTTTTTCGTAGTGTGCTTATTTTTCGAGTTATTTGGCTGCCTAAGTTAAAATGGGTCACCCTGTATATATTCAGACATATGGTATATATAAATAAATATATATATATATATATATATATATATATATATACGTATATATATATATACATGTATTGATAATTGAGATTCAAAAAAAGGAATTAATAAATAATTTTATAAATGTGCATGTACAGGGTGTTTCCGCAACATACACATCACTAAGTCAAGATGCTCATCGTCAGGGGCATACTTTATTAGACTTGTTGAATAAGATTAGAATGCGAGTTCAACGAGAAGTAAGGAAAAGGAAATCTTATCATTTTATTATAGTAAATAATTGGAAAATTTAATAATATAGATAAAATATATATTATTAAATTTAATTTAAATAATATATATTTATACGTAATATATTTTTAATAATATAGATAATAATAATATATATAAAATATTCAAATCTAATAAATTGACAAATTTGTTTAATAACACATTATAACATTTAATTATAATATATTAATAATAAATATTAATATATTATATATTAACATATATTAATAACGTAAACTTAATAAATAAATTTACACAAATATAGTAAAGAATGTAATAAAAGAATATAATATATAATAAAATATACTTATAATAACAAATATTTTTGATCTTTAAATGTAATATATTACAATAAATGTTCAATATAACCACCATCTTCTTATTCTAAACATAAAACAATTCTGCGCTATAAAATTTTTTTTCACGTAACTTATCATGAGAGAAGTGATCTCCGCACATGTATTACAAATTCTATTTTGAAGAATTTCTACATTTTCCGGCAAGATGTGATATATTTTATTTTAAGATGTTCCCCACATAAAAAAGTCTATAGGCATAAAATCCATGGGCTGAGATCACTCTTCTGATAAAACAAGTGGGAGACATTTTCAGCAAGATTGCTCTATGTTTAGAAGAAAATAATGATTATATCGAGTTTTTATAATTTATTATATTTAAAAATCAAATATATCTTTCATTATAAGTATTTTTCATTATATTTGTTCAAATTTGTTTATTAAATTTTATTTGTTATTTGATCTATTGTTATTTTATTTATTATTAGATAAATATTTTATTTATATTATTAAATTTCACAACTGTTCATTATAATAGAGTCATAAAAACAAATTCCTTTTTCCTTATTCTCATTTTGATCTTATTCTACGAGCCCAGTAAAGCATGCCCCTGAGTGGGCAGATAAGTAACCCGACTTAATGATGTGTTGCTGTACATGTATACAAACCTATATATAAGTAAAATTTACCTGGTCAATTTGTTGCTTAGAATATACATGGTTAATGATCATAGTTAATGCTGGAATAACATCCATATGTCTATAAAAACGAAACAATAGCATTATTATATAATTTTAACAAATTGGAGCAAATCTTCACAATTGCACAATCATATTTTTATAAAAGTAATATTATTACATAGGTTTCATTTTTTCCAAATTGTATAATATGAAATCAAGTATTCGGATATTATTTGCATGCCTCGCAACAATAAAACAAAAACTGTTTATACGATCGATAACTGTTTTCACATTAACCATTAAACGCATATATTGGACAATTATTGAAGAACTATTGGAACAAGCCAAAAATTTTAAAACACTAAAATCGGATTCTTTCAAATATACATCAAACACCTGTGTCCAATTATAGTTATTCGCTATCATCAAACCATTGCAGAATATCCATTCTTTCCATCCCATCCAAATTCTACGATATTCGAAATAAAATATAAATAGATCATTAAAATTTTTAATTTTATCTCTTGATTAAATAATTTATCAAGTATTTCACAAAAGAGAGAGAAATATATGAGAGAAATATATTTATAAAATGATCTTGATTGAAAAACAATTGCAAAAAGTAATTACTTGGATTGTAAAGATTTGTTACGATTGTAAATATACAGCTTTAATTCATTATATGCTTTTAGCAAGCAATAATCATGACCTAAAATACATAACCATCTTGCAACCTCTTGCCTCAAACATTCAGTGAAAACGCTTTCCTGAATGATGGTATCTGATTTAAAATCGGGATATTTTATTTCCAATAACATCTCATTCAATGATTGCATTATTTCCTTCTAGAAATTGTTAAATAATATAAAAAATATATATTTTTGTATTAATTTATATACTACAAAAAAATTGATAAAGTTTGATAAAGTTTTACGCATGCATATGCTATTATTAAAACGTTATTTAAATAATATAATAATATTTTTATAAGGTTAGAAACATATAATAATAAATACGTAATTATATTACACTAATTAATATATTCTGATATTTATTATTATTCTTCTTAATATTAAAGAAATGATTAGATGAAAATTTAAAAGCGGAAACAATTATATATATTATTTAACATAAAACCTGTTTTTTTATTTATACAAACTAATATTATTTATACCTTTATAGGTGCACTTTCTGAAAATGCAAAGAAACCCGACATATATTCCAAGTTTTTGAACATAGGATACCATGCGATGTAATCTCTATCTCGCCATAGATAATGTGAAATATCCAAGAATACAGTAGAATTTAATTGGCCTGTCATCAGAAAATGAAATGTGTCGTCGATGATTTTAGCACGATCGAGAACATGTATTTTTCCAAAGGAATTGGAGTTCAGATATTTCGAAAGTCTATTCCAATTCTCGGCATCATAATTGACGCGATAGCATCCTGTTTGAAAAATAAATTCTGAATTAAATTAAATTTTTTATTAAATTTATCAAGTAATTATTTGAAATCTTTGTCTTCTTATATTCAAAGCGTATAAAATATATGTTAGAAATTGTGTATTAAAAATTGTGATTATTATAAAAAACAAATTATGGATTGACAATATTAAATTATGTTACACTGATAAATCAATGTATTTGAAGAGCTATACTAAGAACGTTATGTCAACTTAACTTCATTTTCACTACATTCATGATAATAAAAATGATAAGGAAATTAATTATGCTTTGTTGAATACATACATTTTAATGTAGGTATAATTTTTACATCGCGCGTAAAATTTTATTAAAAGAATATAGTATGTAGACAATTTAGCAAATATAAATAATTAAGTAATAAAATAGCTGTTTTGATATGTATGAGTCAAAAATTGTAGATTATAAATATTAATTTAAATATATTAATTAAATTTTCCATCAATTAAATTTTTTAATATTAAATATTATTAATCATTGTTGGTTATTATTTAAAAAAAATTTCTTTAGTATATTGAAAAATTTACTACTCATATAATTGGAATAGCATACATTGAATTATATATATACATGAGTTCCTACTTTCACACAATAACTCGAAAACAGGAATTTCGAAAAAAAACGTTTTGAATGAAAGTTGTAAGGTTTAGAAGCGGAAAAAGGATAGAAATATTAGTTGGATGTTGAGTCAAAGTCTATCTCATTTTATAAATAACACTATTCTAATTTGTCTATATAAATCAATTCCTTAAATATATAAATCAAATATATAATTAAATATATAAATTCAATAAATTAAATATATCAATTCCTCACAATATTCCTCGTAGAAAGTTATATGAGTAGAATAGCCCAAAATTGAATAGTTTATTAGATATTTTATACTTTAAGTTAAAATAAAATTTCATACAAATCATAAAATATTATAAAAATGGTAAAATATTTATTTTTCAATTATTTTACCTTACTTTGATGTACAACTAATAAGAATCAATTTAGTATAAGGAAAATACGCAATTATTTCTAAGAAAAAGTTTCTAAAAAAATAGCTTTATATGTCAAAGTATAATAAACTTATCGATAAATATTTACCATTTTGTTCTAAATTGAACAATATCCAATCATTCTTGTCTACGAAATCTATAGTTAATGTATGATACGATGTATGTGGTGTTAACCATACTTCAGGCAAAAATTCCAAATCGGAATGCGTCCGCGTAATAATGTTCCCATGTATCGATATATTTGTATTAAAATTTTCTATCGATATATTCAAACTGCTAATTTTATAATTTCTTTTCACATTTATCACAGGATAATTATTTAATAGTGTCCAATTAGTTATCCAGTCTTTTAAATTGTATTTAATTTTGAAAGGTGATGCATCCACGATAGATTGCATAATATTCCAGAAAATACTACTGCTTATGTATCTAAAAATCCAAACGAATAAATAATAGGTAAAAATTAATAAAAAAAGATATCTTAAGAAAAATATTAAAAACCAATTAAATTAAAATTGTTAAAGAACGAGTAAAAGTAAAAGAGAACTGATAGTAGCGTAAATTATATCAAATAAACTATAATTATATCAAATAAACGATGAGAAAAATATTATTAGTAAATAGCGAAAAAGAGGAAAATAGAATAGCAATTAAAGAGATAAATGTATCACAGAAAAGAAATAAAGTATGAATAAAAAGAATTAAAAGACATAAGTAGAGAACAGACAAAAGACATAAGAACGAGAAGATTTAAAAAACGGAGATGTAGATAAAGAAAGGATTAAATAAAATTGGAAGAATATGAAAACATTAAAATAATAATAATATATTAAATACAAACACCAAAGAGAAGATAAAAAAGAAGATAAAAATTAACAAGGGAATAATTAAAAAGTCCTGAACTGTCCCTACTGATAAAAATTAAATATAAATAAAATTAGAAATACAGAAAAAAATAAAGACATATAAAAGAAATTTAAAAAATAAATAAATTTTAATAATAATTAAATTTCAAATATAAAATAATAACACAAACAATAATTATAAAAAATGCAAAAGTAAAAAGTTATTTAAACGTAATGTTAATCAATATTTAAATTTATTATGTAATTATAATGTAATCTATATTACTCACTGATCTTGTAAATACCACTTGATTGCAAACATCTGTTTGATGAATATAATTTGCATCGTGTGGAACATAATGCTTGCTGTAAAAATTTATATTACAAAGTAAAAATGTAGTATGTATAAAATAAATTGACTATGTATCATTTAGATATATGTATAAATTTATGAACATAACCAATTTATATGTCTAATAAATAAAAATTAAATTTTATTTTATTTTTCTGATAATCGTTAATATTTATGAAAACAATAATACAAATAAAATACATAAAATTAAATACACAATTAACTTACATGTAAAACAACAAGTTATTTTTTTATCGTAATGTTTTTTGCATGCATTAAAGAACTTATCGATAATCAATTATTTGCTTGCTTATACCTTTGATGTAACGAGAAATGTCAAAAAAGCTATTGAATTCTGATTCGATTGTGAGCGGCCATGTGTCCTTAGTGCTCCAATGAAGAACATCATGTTGCATTTGAATAAGAAAAAAATCTTGTATTCGCAGATGTGGAAATATCTGGACGTAAAAAGATTTCAATATAATTAAATAAATATTTAATCAAAGGAGGTCCACACATTAGCAACATAGAACTGTTACTATATATTTAAAAAGTTGCACATATTCATTAAATTTTTCTTCTTAAAAATATTAGTTTAAAAAATATATTCACGTGTATAACGATATTTAATAGCATCATTTTAAATTATGCATTTTTAAAGTAATAAAGTACATATGCCAATGTATAAATTATGATATTTTAATTTAATGTTGCTTGGGTGGCAAGTTTTAGTTGATTATCGTTATAGATCACAAATAGAAAAAAAATTATATTAATATATATTGAATGATAGAAGATATTTACAAAGATTTAGGAATATTTTACATTGTGTAAAAATCTGTATATCTGAAATCTGAATATTTTTATATTACTCTGATTATGTGTGTGGAAATAAGTAATATTAAATATAAAATAACCTCATTAGCGATATAAATTCCAAAGAACGTAACAAAACCTTTGCTTAACCAGGGTTCCCACTTAATTGGATCAATTGCATTATAAAGCCATTCACGCACCACCTTATATGCTATAACTTGTGTTATTTCAATTTTGCGTATCTCAGAATCTGTTTCGTGATTGAAGATAATATCTGCTTCTCTAAAAATAATTCGCAAATATTACAATGAAATAGAGAATCCTTTTTATACGTTAACAATCGCTATTCAATTATACAATCACTAAACACGCTTTTAGAGAGAAAATTATATGTTTTAATTATATATACTTAGATTTTATAATTGAATATCGAGAAAAAATATTGAGTTTTAATGCAAAAATTAATATTTTTTTAAATTACAATACAATTACCTATAAAAAATGATTCCCAACTTTGTCTCTTCTCCTTCAGCTAATAATTTCGGAATCGCGACATGATTTACTTCCAAAATTTTCTTACTGTTTGGCACTTTATTGTTTAAGTACCGCGTAATATTTTTAATAACTGAGTATGCAAATTGTACATGTGATATCATGTTTGTTCTACACCACAATCTTGTGCTCTGATTTGTTTCTGAAATAAAGGCGAGATGGATTATACCTGCCGCTATGGAATACACGGGCATTGCGGGAGTAATTTTGAAACGTGTCCATTGCATATTATTTTCATCCATATTTATTGCTTTCATATCCATATTTGACAAAGCTGTGTAGTTTTTATGATGCTTTATAGAAATGTTATAACTAGTATGTAAAGTACTATATAAAGTGTCCTTCAAAATTGGAAATAATCTTCGAATCTCAAATGTGTGATAATCAGTTAACCATCTAGTATGTAAGAATACATTTTAAATAACAAAAAGTTTTTAATTACTGCAAAAGTATTAGAAATTAAAAGCGAAAGAAAGAGAAATAGAAAATATAGAAATGTATTAAGCTATTGGAGATGCTTTTAAAAGAATAATTGTAATATTTTATATTATTATATGATGTAGTAATTTATATTTTTATATTATAATTTTATCATTATAGAATATTTTTTATTATGTAATATAAATTTATTGGAAAAAAATTTTGTAATATCTATAATAAATGTATAGAATTTTCTTGTAATATCTATATAATATTCATACAATAACATATTACAATATAAAATATTCACTTATAAGGTAATTAAGTGAAAATGATAATATAACATATAATAGCATACTTTTTAGATTTAAGATTTCGTCATTTATGTATGATCAATATCTATCTTATATTAAAAATTTTTTTATAATAGGAATATTATATTACATACTCAATACAAAAGATTTTTCCGAATTAATAACTCATATGAGAATTATTTGTAAACTATGAGAGAACTATGATTAAATAATAATTTATTATTATAAATTATACGCATATATATTAAACTGTGCCAATCATAATAATAATATAAATAGTTTGCAAAAATTGAAGCAAGAATGATATTCAGCGCCTAAGTTACTTAAATGTTTGTACAGGGTGTTTCCGCAACATACACATCATTAAGTCGAGTTGCCTATCTGCTCACTCAGGTACACGCTTTACTGGGCTCGTAGAATAAGATCAAAATGAAATAAGAAAAAAGGAATTTGTTTTTGATTCTATTATAACGACCAATTGTAAATATAATGAAAAATATATTTGATTTTAAATATAATAAATTATAAAAACTCGACTATAATCACTATTTTCACTTATATTCTAAACGTAGAGCAATCCTGCTGAAAATGTCTCTCACTTGTTTTATCAGAAGAGTTATCTCTACTCATAGATCTTATGTCTATGGACTTTTTAATGTGGAACATCTTAAAAAATAAAATATATCATCCCCTACCGGAAAATGTAAAAATTCTTAAAAATAGAATTCGTAACGCATGTGCGGAAATCACTTCTCTTATGATAAGTCACATGAAAAAAAATTTCATGAGCAGAATTTATATTTAGAAGAAAATGATAGTTATATTGAACTTTTATTGTAATTTATTACATTTAAAGATCAAAAATATTTGTTATTATAAGTATATTTTATTATATTCGTTTATTACTATATTTTTGTAAATTTATTTATTAAGTTTACGTTATTAATATATGTTAATATATAATATATTAATATTAATATATTAATATTTATTATTAATATATTATAATTAAATGTTATAATGTGTTATTAAACAAATTTGTCAATTTATTAGATTTATATATATTATTATTATCTATATTATTAAAAATATATTAAATATAAATATATAATGTATATTATTAAATATATATTTTATCTATATTATTAAATTTTGCAATTATTTACTATAATAAAATGATAAAATTTCCCTTTACTTACTCCCCGTTGAACTCGCATTTTAATCTTATTCAGCAAGTCTAATAAAGTATGGCCCTGAGGACGCGCATCCTGACTTAAAGATGTTTTGTACCTATTTTCAAAATATTGAGAATTTAGTGAAAATTGTACAGAATGTCTTTAAATATGTTTAGAATCTTCAGTACAATTTTTAAATCAATTTACTAATGCATTCACAAGTTATAAGGATTTTAATTTGCACCAAATTAACGTGTGTTCTTATGGGAAACGTATAACTACGTCGATTCAAATGACAAAAACACGTGGAAATAATATTCAGAATTTGTTCAAAATTTCCAAAAGTTTAGATACAGAGGAAATATTTGGTCAAATAATATTATACAAGTACTACCTGGTTAAGAAGATATTAAATATAATTTAATGAAGTTAGCCATGTATCTGTCACAAGGCGAAATTCTCTGTCAAAAGTTAATCATTTTGATTAACAAAATTCGAAATATTTCAGTAAAAACGCAATAAATATTAAAAAATACATCTCTGCACTGTAGCTAAGATCAAATTGTAAAATTCCACACAATTTTTCATACTCAAAATACATCAAAAGTGGATATTCGTCAATATTGATTTTCAGCTACTTTTTGCTGGGATACATACAAAACATCCTTAATGATGTGTATGTTGCAGAAACACCTTGAATATATTTATATTTTGAAAATTACTCACACTCTGTCATCTTTATTTATGTAAGTTCCAAATCCTCCATCTTCAGCTAAAAGACCGGAAAATTTTATATTCAGATTGTAATATCCTGATGATAAATCATATGGGAAAGAAATAGTGGTTATATATGTTTCGATGTCATAAATAAATTTTTCAGGGTTATGGACTAAAACTATTTCCTCATTTTCTTTAGATCTTTGTGTATTGTTTGTTACCATAATTTTAATTATAGACAAATTTTCTGTATAAAAATATATATTTTGCGTTTTATGAAGAAGATAAATGCTGACATTATATTCGCCATCGAAGATATCGTCATTAACATATAGTACAAAGTGGATATTCTGCGATTCATCAATCTTTGGATGTATGAGCAATTGTGTATCAAAAGGAGTCGCGACAATGAATATTAAACTGCAACTTAATACTTTTAAGAATGCCATGTCACTTTTTTTCTCTCTCTCGTCTTAATTATTTAACAATAAGCATCCTTTTTTCTTGAAAAAAAAGACAAAATAATATATATGTGTATATATACGTGCAATACATATATATATATATATATATATATATATATATATATATATATAAGAAACTTCCTGTAATTATTGCTTTTATTACATATAAAACAAAGGGAGTAAAAAAATATATCATTTTTTGTTAATAAACTATAGTCTTAAGGTAAAAGAATTATAATCTTTCAATATATATTTTACCAAACGCGAACAATATATTAATTTGACTAAGTTTAATCACGCTTACTTTAATAAAGAACTTCTTTATTAGATGATTTTTAATTAAATTATGTTTTATTTCAAAAATAATATAATAATATACGCTTCAAAAATTAGAATTCTATCTTTTTAATATAATAATAATTTTGAAAAAGACAGGTATTTTTGACAAAAATAATTATATTTGTTTTATATATATGTGATTATATTTTAAAATTATTTAAATCGTCCTCAACATACATAATGTACACATTTTGATTTTTTTTTAAACCGTTATGTATTCTATTTTATTGTAACTTACCTTGTATATTATGATGTCGATCAGAATTGAGTTCTTTATGTTAAATAAAAATGTTAGATAAAAATTAAGTAATTAACTCTTTATTATCCTAAATTTTATTAATATTAAAAATGTATCTGTATTAACTTGATCTTGCTGTTCTGGAATATGACCGAGAAATGCCAACGTTCGGCACGATATCATAATAAGCATTTAATGGAAACAACCTTAAAAATCAAAATAATATGAAATCAAGTTAATACATGTCTTACAATACACACAACATGTCTGCAATAAACGTATGTCGTCAATAAACATAATAAAATGTCAATACATGATTAAATCAACTTTCTTGCTCTATGTATTTAATTTTCATATAATTTTAAAATACATTTAAAAACAATTAAGAAGTCATATTCTTTCTGTACTTTTATATTTTTTCTTATGAGCAAACAATCCACAATTGTCGTTTATATATTAATTTACTAGCCTTAGTTGTAGATTTATGGTATTTAATGTCTAAAATTAATTATTTCCTTATTCTGTAAATAGAATAAAAAGAAAATTTCAACAAAAAACTCGATAGAGATAAATTTTGCAAAATTTTGTTGTATAATTATGTTATATAATTTAATACTTTTATGTAAATGTAACATAAACATTAAAATATTATACAAATAAATAAATGTGTATAGGAAAAATATAAGTTTTTAAATAATTAATTTTCAAATTTATCAAGTTTTTCACATTACAAATATTTATACATATATGCAATTATTGTATAATATTTATATTATATATAAAGTGGAAGCCGATAAAAAGTTCCTCAGGGGAATATCTATACACAAAAAATTTGATAATTACTGGATAATAATTTTCTCTCTGTGAGAAAATGACATCCATGAGCTAACATATCGAATGAAGTTTCATGGTACAGACTAAAGAAATTTTAAGAAGGAATTGTAATTCTCAATCTCATTGCTCGAGCACGTTTTTATAAATCGTATGGGAAGATCTTTCAATAATTGTAAAAAAATGCTAAGATTTCATATGAAGTCTTAAGAACTAATTTTTAAAAATTATTTTTAAATTTCTTCTTATTAAAATATTCATGATTTAAATTAAAACTTTATAAACACACACACAACTTATGAATTTTATTATAAAATTTTATATTAAAATTATATTAAAATTATTTTAATATAAAATTATTTTAAATACATGCTTTTTAAGGTATGCAATAACATATTTTCGCAAAGTTTATTCTCTTTTTTTTTTTAAGCCTGAACCTTTTACAAAGACTTTTTTTATATTATTAACAATGCATATTTTTATCGTGGATAGAGTAAAACATATTCGTAATTTTTACAATCTTTCTATAAAAAATAATTGCAAAATGAGTACATATTGGATATTATTAATTTTTACAGAAACAATACAATATTACAATATTACAATTTGTGCGCAATTTTTCTATTAGTTTTGTCATCATAGCTTGTATCACAATTTAATAATCAACGTAAGTAAATATTTCTAATATATTTTTTTTTATTTTCTAAAACTAATAATACTTTTTTAATAATAAAAGAATAGATATTAATAAAAATTAATAGAATAAAAAACAACTTTAGAAGAAAACAAATTTCATAATATGATATGTCATATTTTTGTCAGTATTGTGTGAACACTAAGATAATATATCTATAGTAAATGGAAAGAAGATATAATATTTATAGATAATAAATTCTCTTGCTTATCAAATTTTTCACATTATACGTTTATACATAGATACATATACATATACATATATCTAATAGATAATGAATAATTATTTTATATTATACCAATTCGAATAACATACTAAATATGTAACATTTAAGCTTTTCGTTAATTTTAATATAAACTTAATTGTTAATTCATTTTCTATTAAAGACATCAAATTACAGATTTCAAATATTTGCGCCATATACAATACATACATATGATGACGTACTTATATCTCGTGTGCTACAAGCACAATAAATTTTTTACATCAATATAGAATTTTAAAAACCTTACAATTAAATGTATTCGAATTAAGAGAATAAATTGCTTCGTAAAAAGTTTCTTTTTCTTTTAATTAAAAGGAATAAAATATGTAATTCGTCCTAAAATTTTAAAAATAAAATAATCAGTACGATGTATTGAATTTATTCTGACAACAAAACTTTAAATCTCTAAATTCGACAAAGAAATTAAGTAACGTCCAAATCAATTTGTTGAATCTAATTTAATACAGAATTTCTGATATTTTATTTTAATCTATTTATTTATTTTAATTATAGTTTATGTATCATCTCCGCTTGATCATTTTTTACTTTCTTCTTTTTCTAGAACTAATGTAATTATCATAAAAAATTATTGGAGATTTATTTTTTACTATCACTGCGCTATTATAATTATAACTATGATTGTCCTTTCATGCCTCTTTTTTATATATTGCGTTACAGGTGTAGTTCACTACCTTTTACATTATTCAATCGATATCATTCTGTTACTTCTGTTGTAACGATTATTTAGGACACTTATTCAATATATCATATTACATACTTCTTTCTCAAGTAGAATACAATAAAGTTACATCTACCAGCACGTTGTACTTCATACTCTGCTCAATAAAAATAATTATCATTAATCATTAACTCTTTGAATTTATAATTATTAATATTTTAAGAACGTTTTATGAAACTTGTATATGATAATTGTGAAATATTTCATATATGCATTACATAATAAACATATCAATTTATCTTGAAAGAAATATTATTTTTTAATTATCGCACATAAGAAATACTTTAAGAAATAAATAAACTGTAAACCGCGTATGTTGTTGTTACAGTATATGTATTTTTTATTTGTGAATGCATATTTTTAATCAAAACGAATAAATAAAAATATAAAAACTATTCATGTGTTAAAAGTAAATATGTGCATACATTACATTTCGCTATCTTTTCCTGGTTTAACTGATTAATCCGCGATTAATATACTCTAAAAATATCATCGAAATCTTTTATAAGATATCGATATTGGTACAGTTGAGCCCCTATTTGACACCAACGTAGTGCTAGCTTGCGATTTACATCCATTATTATATTCTTCATATTTTCTTTAAGATTCAAGAATTTAAATACCTAAAATGGATTATTTTAACATTTATTTCAACAATAATTTCTTTTTATACTATAAAAGTCGGTTACAATTTTTGATCATTAGCATAATTAGCATAAGATAATTATATGATATGGAAATAAATACATAAATAAATTTAGTAATGAGAAATTCATAACTAAATATGAATATAAATATGTATATTTAAATTTCTAAAATTTACCGCGTCACTGTTTTCATCATGATATACATAATTAAACACAAATTCTATATTGTACTTAAAATTAAATCCCAAGTATTTCTTTATCTAAAATAAATTATTTTTTTAGATTAATATGTAAGAGATAATTTTGTTTTGCAAAATAAAAACAGTATTGAATAACATATAATTTATCTTTAGTATAATTATGCAATGAAACGCCGATAAGATTTTAGACTAATGTGAGAAAAGATCATTTAAGTTAAAAACTTTCTTCATATAGTATTATGTAATAGATACATTATTATATAATAGATCACATAATAGAATCTAATCTCTTCTTATTTCTACACATTATTAAGTTTGTAACAGTTTCTAGAAAACTATTAGAAAGAGAAACTATTTAATATTCATCTCCCGAAATTGCATTAAGTTTAAAAATAGAAAAGGCTTTACAATTTGTATATGATTATCCCGATGTTGTCCAATAATCAGCGATTTTAATACATATATCATAGGACAAATAAATCTAAAATATTTTCAGATAGGCGGCATATATATTGATAATTGAGACAAAGAAGCTAAACAAGAAATTAATAAATAATTGTATATGTGCGCATATATGTACATGTGTATACAAACCTACATTAACATAAAATTTACCTTCTTAAGTTGTTTTTCAGAATATATATGATTAATGATAATAGTTAGTGCTGTAATAAAACTGATTTCCCTATAAAAACAAAATAATAGATTTAATTAGAAAATGATGCAAAACTTCATAATTGCACAAAGATTACATATTTATAAAAAAGTAGTCATTACTTAGGTTTTACTTTTTCCAAATCGTCTAAAATGAAATCAACTAAATTATTATTTGCATGCCTCCCAACAATAGTACAAAAACTGTTTATGTGATCGATAGCTGTTACATTTGTCATATTAGCCATTAAATACATATATTGCAGAATGATTGAAGAATTATTGGAACAAGCTAAAAATTTTAAAACACTAGAATCTAATTTCCTCGAATACATATGAAACACTTTCATCCAAGTATCGTTACTCGCCATCATCAAACCATTGCAGAATGTCCATTCTTTCCATTCCGTCCAAATTCTACGATATTCAAAATGAAATACAAAAAAATTATTAGAATTTATAATCTTATATCATGATTACATAATTTATCAAGTATTTCACAAAATAGGAGAGAAATGTATTTATAAATTGATCGTGACTGAAAAAAAATTGCAAAAAGTAATTACTTGTATTGTAAAGATTCGTTACGATTGAAAGATGAGTGACGATAGAAGAGATACCATCTTAAGTCTTTATTAGCTGTTGACAAACAATGATAATCACCTATAATACATAACCATCTTACAAGCTCTTGCCTCAAATATTTAGTGAAAACGTCTTTATCAGTGATTCTATGAGATTTAAAATTGGGATATCCTATTTTTGATAAAATTTCCTTCAATGATTGCATTATTTCCGTCTACAAATTGTTAAATAATATATATTATAAATCTATATATTTTTAAATTTAATTATACATTCTAGAAGAATTGATAAATGTGCGCGCGCATATGTTGTTATTTAAAACGTTATATAAATAATATAACCATATTTTTATAAGGTTAAAAACATAATAATAAATGAGTAATTATAATACAGATAATTATTATAATTTAATATTAATTACAGAGAGATTTAATATTAATTACAGAGCGAAATTTTAGGATTGGTTAGCTACCAAAGCAGCATAGATAAATCTGATTTTTTAATGCCGAAAACGAATCTGGAAGAATTATTGAACCACTATGTATAACCAGCCTTATATCTTCTATATCCCAGCAAAAAGAAATCGAGCGGTGACAATCAGAAGTGGATTTGAAAGGTGAAGACTAATACTATACGATGTCATTGACAGAAATATATCAAAAAATTAAGTTCTCTTATAATAAATTCATAAAATTTGTTGAAATAACCATTTTTGGACTATCACAAATGATTCAAAAACCTGATGTACTGAAAAAATTCTGCGGCCAAATTCATTTTCGGCATCAAAAAGGCTATTACATTCACCTATTCTTCGCTTTTTGTAAATGACTCTCGCAATCCTGTGTGATTATTTTTCTTAATGCTAAACAAATGAATCTATAAATATTTAAAAGCAGAAGCAGTTTCATGAACTTTGAACAGTTAAACATTATGTATGTTCATCTATATTTTATCAAAAATAATCTTAAAATATAATATAAATGCGTTGTATATTGTTGATATATATATATATATATATATATATATATATATATCAACGCGTTTTTATATATATCAACAATATACAACGTATTTTAAGATTATTTTTGATAAAATATAGATGAACATACACAATGTTTAACTGTTTATTAATTTACATGTGTTGATATATATATATATATATATATATATATATATGTATATATATATATATATATATATGTATATATCAACACATGTAAATTAATAAACATTAAATGCACGTTTTCTTTACTTACACAAACTGATATTATTTATACCTTTATAAGTGCGCTTTCTGGAAATACAAAAAAATTCGACATATATTCCAAGTTTTTGAACATAGGATACCATGCGATATAATCTGCATCTCGACATAGGTAATGTGAAATATCCAAGAATACAGTAGAGTTCAGTCGGCCCGTCATCAAAAAATGAAATGTATCGTCGATGATTTTAGCACGATCGAGTACATGTATATTGTCAAAGGCGTTGAAGTTCAGGTATTTCGAAAGTCTACTCCAATTCTCGGCATCATAATTAACGCGATAGCATCCTGTTGTACGATAAATTCTATCAATGAATTAAATTAATTTTCCTGATTGAATTTGTCAAATAAAAATTTAAAACATCTTTTATCTTCTTATATTCAAAGCGTATAAAAAATGTATTAGAAATTGTATATTAAATATTGCTATTATTATAAGAAGTAAATGTGGACTGACAATATTAAATTATGTCATGCTGATAAATCAATGTATTAAGAATGATATGTCAACATAAATTCATTTTGATTACATTCATGATAATCAAAAATAATAATGAAGTTAATATATGCTTTATATCTCTTTTTTTCGACATGCTTGGTTGCGTGTAACGTTTTAATGTATATATAATCTTTACACGGTGCGTAAAATTTTATTATAACAATACAATATATAGACATAATTTATCAAATATAAATAATCAAAAAATAACTGATTTATACACGTATATGTGTAACAAGTTACGGATTATCATATTAATTCAAATATAATAATTAAATTATCCAATAATTAAATTTTTCAATATTAAATGATTTCAATCATTGCTGGTTATTTAAGAAAAATTTTCTTTACCTAACATATAAAAAAATTTACTACTTCTATTATTTAAATAACATACACTGAATTATATACACGAGATAAAAGATTTTATACAAATCATAAAATATTTCGTCAAATTTTTATTTTTCGATTATCTTACCTTAATACTTGAATGCTTAGACTAATGAGAATCAATTAATATAAAGAAAATGAACAATTATTTTTAAGAAAAATTATGAATTTCCAAGAGCAGCTATATACGAAAAATATATTTATATAAAGTTATCTATGATAAATATTTACCACTTTGTATATTCGCCAATACCCAATCATTCTTGTCTATAAAATCTATAGTTTGTAATTGGTACGGTTTATGTGGTAATAGCCACACTTTAGGCAAAGTTTTATTCAAATTAGAATGTGACTGCGTAGTAATGTTCACAAATATCCACATATTTGTAGAATTTTCTATCGATACATTTAACCAGTTAGTATTATAAGTTCTTTTTATATTTATCACAGGATAATGATTTAGCTGTGTCCAATTAATTATTTTATCTTCTAAATTGTATATACTTTGAATAGATACATCCAGGACAGATTGCATAATGGAAGAAAAATTACTGCTTATATAGCTAAATATCCAAAAAAGTAAATGATAAGAAAAAATTAATAAAAAAAAGATATCTTATAAAAAATATTAAAAAGTAATTTAAAAATTTTTAAAGAACAAAGTAAAATTGGAAAAAAAGTAATGTAATAGTTAAAATTATATTAAATAGAATTGAATCGATAGGAAAGGTATTAATATAAGGAAAAGTATTAATGGGGTAAGTGGCAGAAAAAATAAACAGAATAGGAATCAAAAAAGATAAATGTGTTACAGAAAAAAAATAAAATAATGTGTGATAAAAGAAATTAAATGACATAAGTAAAAAACACATAAGAAAATATAAAAAATAAGAATTAAAAACGGAAATGTAGATAAAAGAAAAAGTTAAAAAAAATTAAAAAGAAGATGAAAATAGAAATAACAGACAAATTAGAGAAGAAAATTAACATTATAATGATAACATGTACGAACACAAATAGGAGATAAAAATTAAGAAGGGAAAAATTAACAAGTTTTGAAATTACTAGTAAAAATTAGAAACATAGAAAAGAATAAAGAATTAGAAAAGAAAATCGAAAAATAAATAAAAATAAACTTCAAAAATTAAAAAATAAAACAAAAAATAAAAAATAAAACAAAAAATAAAAAATAAGAAAATTAAAAAATCATTTAAAAATATGTAATAATTAAATTTATATTATAATTACGTTGTAAACTGTATTACTCACGGATTTCGTATATACCACCTCATATCAAACTTAAACAACCCTTCGGTGAATATAATTTGCAATAAGCGGAACATAATGCTTGCTACGAAAATTGACATTATAAAGTACATTAGAAATGTAATAACTATAAAATAAAAAACTATAAAAACTATAAAAATTGCTATACATCATTTGGATATAAACATAACTGATTTATGTGTATATGATAAATAAATATTAACTATGTAATTTCATTATTTCGATAAACATTAACATTTATATAAATAATATAAGTAATATAAATAAATTATTTAAAACTACTTATATAGCAACTAAATTATTTTTTTATTACGATGCTTTTTATATGTAGTATTAGAGAATTTATCGACAGTGAATTATCTACCCTTGATGTAACGGGGAATTTCAAAAGAACTATTTAATCCTGACTCAGTTGTGAGTGGCCATGTATCCTTGGTGCTCCAATGAAGAACAGCCTGTTGCATTTGAACCAAAGAGAAATCGTGTATTCGAAAATGCCGAAATATCTGGACGAGAAAAGATTTTAATATAATTAAACAAATATTTAATTTAAAAAAATGCTTACACATTAGCAACATACATTAGAACTGTTACAATATGTTAAACAAAATTTATACACATTCGTCAATTGAATTAAATAAAATAACGCTAAATACAAAACCTTATTAGCGACATAATTTCCAAGGAACGTAGCAAAACCTTTGCTTAACCAAAAGTCTAACTTTTTAGATGGATCGATTGCATCATAAAGCCACTCGTATATCACCTTATATGCTACTACTTGCGTTATTTCAAATTTGCGTATCTCATCATCTATTTCTTGATTAAAGATAATATCTGCTTCTCTAAAAATAATTCGCAAATATTGTAATGAAGTCAAGATTCCTTTTTACACGTTAGTGATCGCTGTTCAGTTATACAATCACTAGATACGTTTTTAGATAATTGTTGTTGTAAATATAATTAGTTACATAAAAGATAAATTACATTTTATAATTAATTCGTATGTTAATCAGATTGTACAACTGCAACATCCTTAATAATATAGTTAAAAAATGGGATAAAGGAAAAAGGAATAAAAAATGTATTACACATGTTTTAGTTAGATACACACATACAGATACCAAATTTTATAATGTTGAATATATCAAGAAAGTATATTGTTTTGATATGTTATAAAGATTAGCATTTTTTTAGATTCAAATATATTTACCTATAAAGAACGATTCCCAATTTTATGTCTTCTTCATCTGACAATTGGAATGGAATCGCGACATGATTTACTTCCAGAGTTTTCTTGATGTACGATGGAAATTTGTCTTCTAAGAACAGCGTAACTTTAAGAGCCACTGAATATGCAAATTGTACATGAGGGATCAAGCTTGATCTGCACCACAATTTTGCGTTTTGTTTTGTGTCTAAAATAAAACCGCGAATCACATTTGCTACTATGAAATAAACGGGCATTATAGGAGCAGTTTTGAAACGTGTCCATTGCATATCATTATCATCCGTATTTATTTCCTGCACGGGCATATTTGATAAAGCAGTGTAGTTTTTATGGTGCTTTATGGAAATGTTATAACTAGCAAATATAGTATCCTTCAAAAGTGGAAATAATCTTCGGGCAAATGTGTGATAATGCGTTGCGACTAACCACCTAGCATGTATAACAATATATTTTAAATAATAAAAAGTTTTCGGTTATTGCTTAATTATTAGAAATTAAAAAAGAAAGAAAAGGAAATAGAAAATGTACACAAATGTATGTTAAGACTATTTAATATACTGTTAAAAGAATAATTATAATATATATATATATATATATATATATATATTTTTTTTTTATATTACAATTTTATATCATTATACTATATTTTTTATTATGAAATATATATTTATGTAATATAAAATTTATGTAATCTCTTCAATAAATGTATATAAAATAATATATTTACAATATTCTCTAAAATATACACCTTACAAGGCAGTAAATATGTGAAGATAATAACATATAACAGTATTTTTAATATTAATATTTATTTTATTTCTATGTGTGATCAATATTTGTCTTGTATTAAAGAGTTCTTAATATTATAATAGGAATGTTATATATACTTGCAATGCAAATTTTTTTTTAATTACTTATAGGGATTTTTTGTGAATTACGAGAGAATTACATTAATAATAATTAAATAACAATTTATTAAATCATACGCATATATGTTGAAACTATGTTAATCATAATAATAATAATAATAATATGAATAATTTGCAAAAATTGAAGCAAAAATGGTATTTATAGTGCTTAAGTTACTTAATAATTTAAAATTACTCACATTCTTTCATTTAGTTCATTTATGTAAGTTCTAAAGCCTCCATCTTCACCTAAAAGTCCGGCAAATTTCACGTATAGAGTGTAATATCCTGATGATAAATAATACGGAAGAGAAATGTTAGTAATATATTTTTTAGTGTCATAGGTAAATTTGTTAGGCCTATGGACGAAAATTTTTTTCTCATTTTCTTCAGATATTTGTGTAGTGTTTATTATCACAATTTTAATTATAGACAGATTTTCCGTATAAAAACATATATCTTGCGTTTCATAAGGAATAGAAATGCTGATGTTGCATTCGCCATGGAAAATATCGGCATTGACATATAGCACAAAGTGGATATTATAATGTTGCGTTTCGTCAAGCTTCCGTAGTTCAGAAGAAGCCGCTGCGACAATGAATATTAGACTGCAACTTAGTATTTTTAAAAATACCATGCTTCTCAAAAGATAAATAATCTCTCTTTTTTTCCTAAAAAAGGAAAAAAATATATAAAATGATACATATGTGTAATATACATATATAATTCGCTTTAATTATTGCTTTTATTACGTATAAAAATAGAGAGAAGATAAGTAAAAAATATCATCATTCTTTGTTAATAAAAGATAGTGTTAAGATAAAAGAATTATATCTTTCAATACATATTTTAAAAATATATTAATTTGATTAAGTTTTATTACACTTATATTATACTTCATAAGTTCGGTTTTAAATTAAATTGCATTTTATTTTAAAAATAACATAATAATATGCACTTTAAATTAAAATTGTCCCTTTAATAATTTTAGGAACGATAAACATTTTTGATGAAAATAATTATATTTGTTTTATAATTGCAATTTAAAATTTATTAAATTCAACATACGTAATGTATAGATTTTATTTATTTTTAAAATTATGTAGGTTATGTAAGTATTTTTTTGATACTTACATAACTCACTTCTCGTATATAGTTATTAAGTGTAATTAGCTCCTTGATATTATTAATATCGACAAAAATATCTACATCTACTCGATTTTGATGTTCTGGGAAACTACCGAAAGTAACAACGTTCGATATCTGAAATCATAATAAACATATTAAAACATTGATTTTCAAAATCAAAATATTGTGAAATCAGGTTCAATAAGCATCTTATTAATCAATAAATAATAAAAAATTGTGAATATTTGATTAACTTAATCACCATACTATATATTTAATTTTTAAGTAATTATTTTTGAAAAACGTTAGTGTTTGATCTTTTCTTCATGCAATACTCTATGCTTAGTTGCCGATTAGAAAATCAACCAAAAGAGGCAAGAGACACTATTATTTATTATTATAACACAATTGTATTTATTTTTAAGATAATATAATAATACATACGCTTGTGAAATGGAAATTTTTTTCCTCTAATATTTTTATAAAGATCATAAATTTGAAAAAAAACGGTCATTTCTGAGAAAAAAGTGCTTTATATTTTACTTCAAAAATAATGTAATAAATACTTTAAATTTAAGTTTTGTGTTTCTAATAATTTTGAAAAAAATAACTTTTTTTACGAAAACAATTATGCTTATTATGTTTCGATCTTAAACTTATTTAAATTGTCTTCAACATTGATATACATATTTTATTTTCTTTTTTTAAAAATGGTTATGTATTCTGTTATAACTTACCTCGTATATTATGTCAGCCCATCAGAATTTAGTTCTTTAATAATAATTAAGTATAATTAACTCTTTATTACCATAAATTATTAACATTGAAAATATATCTATATTAACTTGATCTTGCAATTCTGAAATACTACCAATAAATGCCAACGTTCGACAAGCGATATCATAATAAGCATGTTATGGAAACAATCTTGAAACTCAAAATAATATCATACCTAAAACGTGTCTTATCAATTAATAGACACAATAAAATGCTACTGTACGATTAGGTTAACTCTCTCCGATATATTTAATTAATTATTTTTAAAATGCATTTTATAACAATTAAAAAGTTGTATTCTCTCCATACTTTTATTTTTTTATTAGAAGCAAATAATCCATCATCGTTTGTATCTTAATTTATTGGCTCTAATTGTAGATTTATGTGTGTATTCAATGTCAAAAATATTTTATAAATATAATAAAAATAACGCGATTTGTCATAAAAGAAAGAAAACAGAATAAATTTTTTAAATAGAACATTTTTATAATTAACAACAAAATTTTTAAAACAAAATTCTCTCTGAAATACCAAAAAATATATATTTATGTGTTCTCTTATTCGTTTAAAATTTTTTTATTTTAATATTTTTACATTTGTAGAAATCTTGTGGAAGACACATGGTATATTCAATGGTTATGCAAAATTTTGGATGAATATGGAACAAAAATGGATTTGAGCATGTTGACATTAAAAAAGAGTAGCCACAAATAATACAAAAATAACTAAAGCGTAAATTATCAAATCACGAGAAATGTTTTAAAAAGATCTATAATTTATTATTATAAATTTTATTATTATAAGTCTATAAAAGTTTTGCAAATTTTTTCTATTTTTTAAGCCTGAATCTTTTTACAGACATTATTGTCAATGCATAATTTTACTGTAGATATAGTAAGATTCGTATATTTCAGACTATCTATTAAAAGTAATTGTAAAGTGAGTATATATTTTGGCATTATTAATTTATTTAAATACAATAATAATATTACAATTTTTCTATTAGTTTTTCATCGCTCTACAATGATCGGCGTATGTAAATACTTTTAATATATTTTGATATATGTTGATTGTCTAAAACTAATAATTCTTTTTTTATTAAAATAAATAGAATTTAATAAAGTAAATAAAATAAGTCTTGCAAGAAACAAATTTCATAATATTATATGTTTCATAATATTATATTTCATAATATTATATTTTTATCTCAGTATTGCATAATCACTAAAATAATATATTTATATCTAACGAATAGAAAGAAGATAAAATATTTAGACACTCAATTCTCTCCTGTGTTCATTAAATTTTTCATATTACAAGATGACATGCGTATATAAGACACACACATATATATCGAATTGATAATTAATAATTATCTCAATTCGAATAATATACTAAATGCATTTAAGCGCTTTTTTTAATTTTAATACAAACATAATTGTTAATTAATTTTCTAGAAGAGACATCAAATTACACATTATAAATATTTGCGCCATATACACATTACATATAATGACATATTATCGATATCTTGTATGTTTTAAACACGATAAATTTTTTACATTAATAGAAAACGTTAAAAGCTTTAGATATCTTCAAATTAAGAGAATAAGTTGTTTTTTTATATTAAAAAATCTTTCTATTAATTAGAAGAGTTAAAATATATAATTAGTTCTAAATATTATTTTAGATAAAATAATTAGTACTATCTGTATTGAATTTAAACTATCAACAAAATTTTTAAACTTTATTCTTAAACTCTAAATTCGACAAAGAAATGTTAAGTCCAAATCAATCTGATGAATCTAACGTTCAATACAGAACTTCTCATACTTTATTTTAATCTATTTATTTAGCATTTTTTTATTCTAATTTATATGATATCCGTTTGTTTATTTTTTTAATCTTTTTAAACTATCTTAAAAAATTGTTAGGGATTCACTTTTACTACTGCGCTACTATGATTATAACTATGATTGCTCTTTTCTATTCTCTTCGAATTTTTTTGTATATTGCCGTTTGTCAAAGCCGTAGTTCATTCTCTATCTTTTGCATTATTCAGTTGATATCATTTTGTTACTTCTGTTGCAACGATTATTTGACACTCATTCAATATACTGTATTCTATATTATTTTTCACATGTGCCGAATACCCAGCATGTTCTATCTCATACTTTGCTCTATAAAAATAATTATAATTAAGCATTAATTCTTTCGATTTATTATTAACATCTCAAGAATGCTTTATAAAATTTCTATGATAATTGTGAAATATTTTATATGTGCATTACATGAACACATATCGATTTATCTTGAAAAAAATATTCTTTTTTAATTATCATATAATATTTACTTTAACTGTGTTTAAATAGAACTCATTAACTTTTTATTCTTTTATGACTCAATCACTAAGTTATCGCATATGTATTTTTTTTAATCGTGAATGCATATTTTTAATCAAATATATGAATAAGTGAAAAACTATTTATATATTAAAAGTAAACATGTGTATGCATTACATTTCGCTATCTTTTATCTGATTAGATTTATTAACCATCCAATTTTTCTTTAAAAATATCGCCAGAATCTTTTATAAGATGTCGATATTGGTACAGCTGAGTCTTTATTTGATGCCAACGTAATTCTAACTTCAAGTTTAGCTGTATTATTGTAATTTCCTTATCATTTTCAGATAAGTATTTGTTCAACTAAAACAGATTATTTTAACATTTATTTTTAAAAGTAATTTCTTTTCACACTATAAAAGTCTGCCACATTTTTTGATTATTAGGATAATTAGGATAAAATAGTAATATTGTACGTAAAGATGAATAAGCTTAATAATTAGAAATTAATAATGAAATATATATCTAAGTTTATAAAATTTACCTTATCATTGTTTTGATCATCATAATTAATCAGAAAAGAAGATGGATATTTTACAAGAAAATGCAGGATATTATTATTCACGTATTGCTTTATCTAAAACAAATTGATTTTTTAGATTAATATGTAAATAGTAATTTTATATTTTATCTTCTACTTTATAATATAGTAGAATTTTTGTATGATATAATTTGTCTTTAACATAATTGTGCAACGTAACGTCTGTCTGGAGAAACTTTAGACTAATATAAGAAAAGATCAACAAGTTAAATTAAGAAATTTTTACAAAATTTTTATAATATTCTGCAATAGATACATTTTATTATATAATAGATTATATAATAGAATATAATTCCCTTTTATTTCTATTATTAAATGTAATTATTATTAAATGCTGCTAAGAAGCCATTAGAAATAAATTTATCTTCAAATTCTGCAATTGCATTAAATTAAAAAAAATAAGAATAACAAGTAATTAACAAAAATAATAGTATAAAAAGAAGCTTTATAATTTATATAAATGTCTATCCAATGTCCAATAATTGGCGATTCTAATACATACATCATAGAACAAATAAATCTAAAATATATTCAAACAGACGGTGTATATAATGATAATTGAAATTCAAAACAAAAGAGTAATGAATAATTATATTTGTGTACATGTACATGTGTATATACAAACCTACATATAACTTTATAAAATTTACCTTATCAATATGTTGCTTATAATATACAAAATTAATGATTACAGTTAATGCTGTAATAAATTTGAGTCCTCTATAAAAAAAAAAGTAATAGATTTATTTATTTAAAAAATGAAGCAGGTCTTTTCATAATTGTACAAATATTACATATTTATAAAAAAGTAGTCATTACTTAGGTTTTATTCTCTCCAGATTGTATAGTATGAAATCAAATACTTCCTTATTCTTTGCATGCCTTGCAACAATAAAATAAAAACTGTTTATATGTTCAAAATCGGTGATTACTTTTCCCAGAACAGAGCCCAAAGTCATTACATTTATATATTGGATAATAATTGAAGAATTTTTGGAGCAAGCTAAAAATTTTAAAGCATTATAATTTGATTCTTTCAAATATATGTTAAACACTTGTACCCAAGTATCGTCACTCGCTTCCTTCAAACCATTGCAGAATGTCCATTCTTTCCATCCCATCCAAATTCTACAATAATCAAAATGAAATAAAAATAAATTATTAGAATTCATAATCTTACATCTTGATCACATAAATATTTCACAAGATAAAATGTTTTTATAAAATTATCGTAATTGAAAAATAATTGCAAAGAATAGTTACTTGTATGGTAAAGTTTTTGTACAACTTATAAAATATGATATTAATCCATGATTGGCTACTGAAAGGCAATAATCATGACTTAAAGTGCATAACCATCTTGAAGCCTCTTCTCTCAAAGATTTAGTGAAAAAGCTCTCCTGCATGCTTCTATTTGATTTAAAATCGGGATAGTTTATTTCCCATAAAATCTCACTCAATGGTTGCATTATTTGTGTCTAAATAATATATATATAATGTATAAAATAATATATAAATATTAAATAATATGCAAAAACAAACTTCCGCTTGTAAATTTTTATAAAACCCTTTTTTAATACTAAGAAGAATAATAATTAATATCAAATTGTATTAATTAGGTTTACAATAATTACGCATTTTATACTATGTTTTTAATCTTAAAAAGATTATTATATTATTTGCATTTTTAGAAACTGCATAGCATTATAAAAATTTATATTTTTATATTTCTTTATATATTATAGAAGAATTGATAAAGTTTGTGCGCACGCATATGATGTTATTTAAAATGCTATGCAAATAATATAATAATATTATTATATAAAGTTAAAAATATAGTAATAAATGAGTAATTATAATACTTAATTAATAAAATTTGACATTAATTATTATTCTTCTTAGTACAGAAAAACTCTTTCATAAAAATTTAGAAGCAAAAGTTATTTTGTGAATCTTAGAGAGTTAAATATTATATATACTCATCTATATTTTATCAAAAATAAATTTAAGATATAAATATGTTATATATATGTTGCCAATATTAATATATAAATTATTTAAATTAAAACACGTTTTTTACTTACACAAACTAATATTATTTATACCTTTATAGGTGCGCTTTCTGGAAACGCAAAGAAACCCGACATATATTCCAAGTTTTTGAACATAGGATACCATGCGATATAATCTGTATCTTGCCATAAGTAATGTGAAATATCCAAGAATACAGTAAAATTTAATTGGCCTGTCATCAGGAAATGAAATGTGTCGTCGATGATTTTAGCACGATCGAGAACATGTATTTTTCCAAAGGAGTTGGAGTTCAGATATTTCGAAAGTCTATTCCAATTCTCGGCATCATAATTGACGCGATAGCATCCTGTCGTATGATAAATAAAATCTGTATTAAATTAAATGTTTTTTATTGAATTTCAAATAATAATTTGAAATATCATTTATCTCGTTATGTTCAAAGCGTATAAAAAATATATTAGAAATTATGTATTAAACATGAAATTATTATAAGAAGCAAATTGTCAATAAAAATTAAATTATGTCACGCTGAGAAATCAATAATGATAATCAAATTATACTTGGTCGCGTCTAAACAAATTTACAATTTTAATGTATGTTTTCGCGGAGTGTTTTCGCAACATACACATCATTAAGTCAGGATGCCCATCGTCAGGAGCATACTTTATTAGACTCGCTGAATAAGATTAGAATGCGAGTTCAACGGGGAGTAAAGAAAGAGAAATCTTATCATTTTATTATAGTAAATAATTGCGAAATTTAATAATATATATAAAATATATATTTAATAATATACATTATATATTTATACGTAATATATTTTTAATAATATAGATAATAATAATATATATAAAATATTCAATTCTAATAAATTGACAAATTTTTTTAATAACACATTATAACATTTAATTATTAAATATATATTAATATATATATTAACATGTATAACGTAAACTTAATAAATAAATTTGAACAAATATAGTAAAAAATATAATAAAATATACTTATAATGACAAATATTTTTTATCTTTAAATGTAATAAATTATAATAAATGTTTAATATAACCACCATCTTCTTCTAAACATAAAGCAATTCTGTGCATGAAATTTTCTTTTACGCGACTTATCATGAAAGAAGTGATATCCACACATGCGTTACGAATTTTATTTTTAAGAATTTCTACATTTTCCGGCAGAGTATGATATATTTTATGTTTTAAGATGATCCACGTAAAATGTCCATAGGCATAAGATCCATGGACAGAGATCATCTTCTGATAAAACAAATGAGAGCAGGATTGCTCTATGTTAAAAAAAATAGTGATTATATCGAGTTTTTATAATTTATTATATTTAAAAATCAAATATATTTTTCATTATAATTGTCCAAATTTGTTTATTAAATTTTATTTATGTTATTTTATCTATTATTATTTGATTTATTATTAGATAAATATTTTATTTATATTATTAAATTTCACAACTGTTCATTATAATAGAGTGATAAAAACAGATTCTCTTTTTCTTATTTTGATCTTATTCTGCGAGCTCAGTAAAGCATGCCCCTGAGTGGGCAACCCGACTTAATGATGTGTATGTTGCGGAAACACCCTGTACAATCTTTAGATCGTGTCTAAAATTTTATTATAATAATAGTACAATATGTAAACCAAATTTATCAAATATAAATAATCAGGTAAGAAAAATAGCTGTTTTATACATATGTATGTCTAGCAAATTGCAGATTATCATATTCAATTAAGTATAATTAAATTATACAATAATTAAATTTTTAAATATTAAATTTAAGCATTCAACAATGATTAAATAATTTTAATCATTGTTGAATGCTTAAGAAAAATGTTTTCTAACTAATATATTTAAAAAATTTACTATTTCTATCATTTAAATAACTTTGAATTATATACATTATATACAAGATACAATTTTTATATATGACTCGAAAACAAGTATCTTGAAAAGAGTGTTTCAAATAAAAGTTGTGTGGTTTTAGAAGAGAAAAGAAGATAAGAAAATTAGTTGCACCTTGAGTGTACATATTAAAGTCAACCTAGGTTTTTTTAAATGAAACTACTTTTGTCTCTGTAAATCAATCTCTTAAAATATTCCTCGTAGAAACTTATAACGATAGCCAAAAATTGAATAATTTACGAAATATTTCATACTTTAAGTTCACAAAATTTTATATAAACCATAAAACATGTTGTAAAATATATATTTTTCGATTACATTACCTTAATACACTTTTATGCATAAAATAATGAGAAGAATCAATTGATATAAGTAAATTATGTAATTATTTTAAAAAATATATATAAATGTGCAAAAAACAGCTATATATGTAAAAGTATTAGTAACAAATTTTTCGATCAATATTTACCACTTTGTTGTAAATTGGCCAATACCCAATCATTCTTGTCTATGAAATCTATATGTAATATATGGTACGAAATATTTGATGCTAACCACACTTCAGGCAATAATTTCTTCGAATCGGAATGCGTCTGTGTAGTAATATTCATAAATATCCATATATCCGTATTAAAATTTTCTACCGATATATTCAAGTTGCCATTATTATAATTTCTGTTTACATTTATCACAGGATAATGATTTAGTTGTATCCAATTAACTATTCTGTCCTCTAAATTGTATTTTTTTTCCAAAAGTGATGTATCCATGATCGTTTGCAATAAGTTCAAGAAAAACCTACTGCTTTTGTAACTAAAAATTCAAATAGGTAAATGATAGAAGAAACAAATCATGAAAGAAAGATATCTTTAAAAAAATATTCAAAAGCAATTAAGATTTTTAAAGAAAAAAGCAAAAATAAAAGGAAAAAAGTAGTAGTACTGTAAATTATATCAAATAGAATTAAAACGATAAAAAAGGTATTAATGATAAATAGCAAAAGAAAAAAAAATAGAATAGTAACTAATAAGATAAATGTGTTATAGAAAAAAAATAAGAGAATATGTGAGAAGATTTAAAAAACAAAAATTAAAAACGGAAATGTAGAAATAAAGAAAAGAGTTAAAGACAATTGGAAGAAGACGAAAATTTTAATATTAAATTATAATATTAAAAAGTATAAATATAATAATATAGAAAGTAAAAATTAACAGTTTTGAAATTACTAGTAAAAATTAAGTATAAATAAAATTAGAAAAACAGAAAAGAATAAAGGAATAGAGCACTGAGAAAAATGTCCGATGAAATCCGATGAAAAGGTAACGAACGGATGTTATCCGATTATTAACCGATCACTTTAATCGAAAAAAAAGAAATCGATCAGATATCCAATCAGAAAATATCGATCGATCGGATCAGAAAGTTCAACATTCGGAACTTTCCGATCAGATATCTGATTAAAATGATCGGTGTAATATCTGTTCGTTACCTTTTCATCGGATTTCATCGGACATTTTCCTCAGTGAAAGGAAATTCGAGAGGTAAACATAACTAAATTTCAAAAATTAAAAGATAAGGCAAAAAATAATTAAAAAAGTAAAATTAAAAATCATTTAAGATTGTGTATTTAAATTTATAATATAATTATATTGAAATCTATATATATTACTCACAATTCTCGTAAATACCTCGTCACACCACTCAAAAACAAATCTTCGGTAAATATAATTTGGAACGAGCGGAACATAATGCTGACTATGAAAATTGACATAAAGTAAAAATGTAGTATGTATAAAATAAATTTGCTATAGATTATTTGAATGTGTAAATTCATGAACTTAACTGATTTATATATATGATAAATATAGGTTAACTTTAATATTATTTTTCTGATAAACGTTAATATTTACGTAAAAAATAATATAAATAAATCATAATTAAATTATTTTTTTATTATAATATTTCTTATATGTAGCATTTAGAAATTATAAACAACAATAATAAACAACAATTATAAACAACAATTTATTTGCTTGATTACCCTTGATGTAACGAGGAATTTCAAAAGAGCTATTGAATCCTGATTCGATTGTGAGCGGCCACGTATCCTTGGTCCCCCAATGAAGAACATCATGTTGCATTTGAACCACAAAGAAATCTTGTATTCGAAGTTGCGGAAATGTCTGGGCGCAAAAGAATCTTAATATAATTAAACAAATATTTAATCAAAAGAAGTGCTAACATATATTAGCAACACACATATTATATATATTATATTATATTAGAAGTATTACAATATAATAATAAAAATTTACACACATTTGTTCATTGAATATTTCTTAAATTCAAAAAATACATTCAAGTATCTAATGATATCCAATGCTGTCATTTCAAATTAAATATTTTTAAAGTTATTTAAAAGTATGTATGTCAATATGTATAAATTATGATATTTTAATTTAATGTTGCTTATGTGGTAAGTTTTGGCTGATTATTGTTATAGAAATCGAAATATTTTTAAATTCCGATTATTTGAATGTAATTTAAATAATTAACGCTAAATAAAAAGTAACCTTATTGGCGGCGTAAATTCCAAAAAACGTAGCAAAACCTTTGCTAAATGAGGGTTCCCACTTATATGGATCGATTGCATTATAAAACCATTCGTGCACCATCTTATATCCTACTATTCGCGTTATTTCAATTTTGCGCATCTCGGAATTTGTTTCTTCATTAAAGATAACATCTTCTTCTCTAAAAATAAATTCGTAAATATTGAATCGAGCAATGAAGTCGAGAAACCCTTTTATTACGTTAGCGATCGCTAACGTAAGAAAGTTTGTACAATTACTAGACACGCTTTTAAAAGAATCATTGTTGAATATAATTAGTATATTATATAAGAGATTAATTATATTTTATAATTAATTCGTACGTTAATCAGATTTTATAACTGCGACATCTTTCAGAATACAGTTAAAAGTTGTGACAAAGGAAAAAAGTAATAAAAAATGTATTATATATGTTTTAATTACATATACTGATATAGATATCAAATTTTATAATATGTGGATGAATATGTGGAGAAAAAATATTAAGTTTTAATGTAGAAATTAATTATTTTTAATCAAAATATGGTTACCCATAAAGAACAAATCCGAATTTTATATCTTCTTCATCTGTTACTTTCGGAATCACAATATGATTTGTTTCCGGACTTTTTCTGATATACGGAAACTCTTTATCTAAGAAATATGCAATATTTTCAGCAACTGTCTTTGCAAATTGCATATGTGGTACCATGCCTGTTCTACACAACAATTTAGCAGTCTGATTTATTTCTGAAATAAAAACGAGATGAACTAGACTAGCCGCTATGAAATAAACGGGCATTACAGGAGTAGATTTGAAGCGTGTCCATTGCATATTATTTTCATCCATATTTATTTCTTGAACGGGCATATTTGATAAAGCCGTGTAATTTTTATGATGCCTTATAGAAATATTATAACCAGCATATCGAGTATCTTTGAAAAGTGGAAGTAATCTTCGAGTCGCAAATGTGTGCGTTGCGGCCAACCACCTAGCACGTATATAACAATATATTTTAACTAAGTGTTTTGAGTTACTGCTGAAGTATGACAAACTAACAAAGAATGAAAGAGAAATAGAAAATGTGTATAAATGTATTTTAAGACTTTTATAAAAATACCGCTAAAAATAATTAATAATATAATTAATAATTAAAAATACTATTAAAAGAATAATATATACACGGTGGGCCATTTTAATCGATGCACTCGAATATCTCGAAAACAGCACTCTTCAGAAAGAAATGTTTCAAACAAAAATTGTAGGGTGTGAAGGGGGACATAAGATGGTGTCATTGGTTTGACCTTGGATAGTCGTTTGAAGAACACGTGAATGTCACCTTTAATTTCTTAAATGGAAACCCCCATTTTTCAATGCATATTCTTGTAGCTTATCTCGAGAGCTTTCCAAAACACTACAGACAAATGTTTTTTCATTAAGTACTTTTTGAGTTATAAGGCTTCAAAGTTTGCAGTACTTCGATATAAAATGCAAAATATCTCGTAAAATATTTAGTTTTCGGTAGTCTTACCCTACTTTTATGCACAGGATAATGAGACAAAACTATTGGTGCAAAGAAAACGTATGATTGTTTATAATAAAAAATGTGTAATTTGCAATGCACTTTTTGTTATAAACAATCATGCGTTTTCTTTGTACCAATAGTTTTGTCTCATTATCCTGTGCATAAAAGTATTAGGGTAAGACTACCGAAAACTAAATATTTTACGAGATATTTTGCATTTTATATCGAAGTACTGCAAACTTTGAAGCCTTATAACTCAAAAAGTACTTAATGAAAAAACATTTGTCTGTAGTGTTTTGGAAAGCTCTCGAGATAAGCTACAAGAATATGCATTGAAAAATGGGGGTTTCCATTTAAGAAATTAAAGGTGACTTTCACGTGATCTTCAAACGACTATCCAAGGTCAAACCAATGACACCATCTTATGTCCCCCTTCACACGCTACAATTTTTGTTTGAAACATTTCTTTCTGAAGAGTGCTGTTTTCGAGATATTCGAGTGCATCGATTAAAATGGCCCACCGTGTATATTTTATATTACAATTTTATCATTAAATTATATTTTTTATTATGTATATGTATATGTATATGTACGTTATGAAAACTTTTTGTAATATTTATAATAAATGTGAATCAATATATTCACAATATTCTCTAAAATATGCATTTATAAGAATAATAAATATATATATATGAATATAAAAGATGCATTTATAAGATAATATATATATATATATATATATATATATATACATATATATATATATATATATATATGAAAATGATGATATATAACATAACAGCATATTTTTTAATATTTAAGATTTCATCCTTCATATATGATCAATATGTGTCTTGTATTAAAAAGTTTTTGATAATAGGAATATTATGTATACTTGCAATATAACGATTTTTCATGACTTAATTACTTATACAAATATTTTTTGTAAATTATAAGAAAACTATGTTTAAAAAATAATTTATTAAATCATACACGTATGTTAAAACTATGCCATCATAATAATAATGATAATACGAACAGTTTGCAAAAATTGAAGCAAAAATTACAGAGCTGAAGTTATTAAATGTTTTAAAAACTACTCACATTCTATCACTTTGTTCATTTATGTAAATTATAAATGCTCCATCTTCAATTAAAATACCGGAAAATTTCATATTCAGAGTGTAATTTCCTGATGATAAATTATACGGAAAAGAAATGGTAGTTGTATACGTTTCCGTGTCATAAACAAATTTCTTCGGTCTATGAGCAAAAACTTTTTCTTCATTTTCTTTAGATATTTGTGTATTGTTTGTTACAATAACTCTAGTTATCGACAGATATTCCGTATAAAAATATATATCTTGTGTTTCATGAGGAATATGAATGCTAACATTGTATCTGCCATGGAACATACTAGTATTGACATGTAGTACAAAGTGGACGTTATAATTCGATAATACATTCAATTGTTCAACAAAAGAAGCCGCTGCAACAACGAATATTAGACTACAACTTAATATTTTTAGGAATGCCATGTTACTCCTTTTCTTTCTCTCATTCGTCTTAAATATAGCAAATCTAAATAAGTATTTTCTTCTGGAAATAAAAAGAGACAAATAAAATAATACATATATGCATATACATGTGCAATATACAGAGTGTCCCATTTTAAAGTTTGCAATAGAATATCTCTTTAGGAAAGTATTTTAGGAAAAAAATATTTCAGACAAAAGTTGTAGGGTTTTAAAATTTCTGTTGAATGATCATATCCGTTTGACCTTGAGTGAAGAGTCGAGATCATGAAGAGTGGAGTTCAACTTTGTTTTCTTAATATATATAATATGCAAGAAGTCTCATTTTAAAATTTCCACTAGACTATCTCTTCAAGAAAGCAAGAAAAAATATGTAATTTCCAATTAACAATTACACTTTTTTTTTAATATGTAAACAACTATGTGTTTTCTTTACATCAATTAATTCCTCACATTATTTTGCGTATGAAATAAGATAATTAAAAAATAAATATTTTACTAGATATTTTATGGTTTATGTTAAATTAAAATATTATTTCAAGTTTCATAACTCTGAAAATACTTAACAAAAAAATACTTTATTATGTTTTGGAAAGCCCTCAAGATAAGTTACAAGAATATGCAATAAAAAATAGGGAGTTCCGTTTAAGAAAACAAACAAGTTGACCTCCATATGATCTCGATCCTTCTTAATACGTTTCCGAAGGTTCATTTGCAAAAAATGATTCTTATGGTGCCTCCGACAATCTGTGAAAATTTGTCGGTTGAATTTCTGAACACCCTGTATATAATAAAAATTTGTTTTAATTATTCCTTTCGTTTTGAAGAAAAATAGTGAAAATATGTAAAAAACATTACATAATTTTTTACTAATAATATGTAGCCTAAGGATAAAAAAAATCATAATCTTTTCAATATGTTTTAGCAAACACAAAATATATTAATTTGATTAAATATTATCACACGTATACATTTAATAAAGAATCCTTTATTAAACGTTTCATTTTAAATTATATTGAATTTTATTTCAAAATTGTATAATACAATAATATACGCTTCAAATTAAAATTCTTCCCTTCTTTCCCTTTAATAATCTCAAAAAAGACAAACATTTTTGAATAGATTTATATTTGTTATATAATTGTACTATAATATTGTATAAATTGTCTTCAATGTACATAATGTATATTTTCTTTTAAAAACGGTTATATTTTGTTTTTATAATAACTCACCTCTCGTATGTATGTTGTTTGCAGATCAGAATTTAATTTCTTGATAATAATAAAGTTTAGTTAGCTCGTTATTACTCTATATTATTAATATCGACAGAACCTATATTTACATCTACTTGACCATCTGAAAAACTACCGAAAGATAATAACGTTCGATATCTGAAATCGTAATAAATATGTATATATCATTAAAACAACTTTTAAAATAACGTGAAATCAGGTTAATAAGCGACTTATTTATCAATAAACAATAAAGTGTGAATGTTTGATTAAATTAACTCCCATGTTATATTTTAAATAATTAATTTTAAAAAACGTTTTAAAACAATCGAGAAATTGTATTTTATACTTTCATTTTCTTTCTTCTAAGCAAACCATTCATCTCCACTTGTATCTTATAATTTATTGGCTAAATGTTGTTAAATTTTTTATATTACATATTTAAAATTAATACATTTTCTTCTTTTATCATATAAATAAAATAAAAGAGATTTCGAGAGAGAAATTCAACAGAAATGAATTTCGTAGTATTACGAGTATATGTATTGTGTGTAACATATGTTATAATGCCTCTTTTTGTAAGTGTTACACATTAATAATAAAATATTATCAGTAAATAAAATGTGCAAGAAATCATCTAGATAATCAGTGTTTAATTTTAGAGTTTTGACACATTATGTATTTCACACAAGTCTTTATATCACTTATCACATACACGCTACGGCGATAAATTTTCTTTAATTACTGCTATTATTATGTATAAAAAAAGAGATATAAAAAATATATAAAATATATTATACATATAATACTTTAAAGTAATCTACCTTTAAGATAAAAGAATTATTAGTATTAATTTAATTTGACTAGAATTAATCACATTGACATAATTTAATATAATTTTTTTCATTAGATGCTTGATTTTAAATTGAATTTTATGAAAATGACAATTTTGAAAGAAACAATCGTCTCTGAAGAAAAATACTATATTTGTTATGTTTGTGTATTAAAATTATTTAAATTGTCCTCAGCATATCTAATGTACACATCTTATTCTTTTTAAAAACGGTTATATATCTTGTTTTATTATAACTTACCTCGTATATTATTATGCCAGCTGATCAGAATTTAGTTTTTTGATAATAATTAAATATAATTAACTCATTATTTCTATAAATTATTAATATCGAAAATATACTTATATTAACTTGATCTCTCTCTTACCGTTCTGAGATACTATCCAGAAATGCCAACGTTCGACTAGCGATATCATAATAAGCATGTTATAGCAAGGAAACAACCTTGAAAATCTCAAAATAGTATAAAATCAAATGAATACGTGTCTTACCAGTCAATAAACACAATAAAATGATTAAATCAACTCTCTTACTCTATATACTTAATTTTTTAAAATACGTTTTAGAATAATTAAAATGTTTTATATTCTCTTTATACTTTCATATTTTTTCTTATGAGCAAACAATCTATCGTTGTTTGTGTCTTAATTTATTAGCTTTAAAGGATCATTGAAAAAAATGTAGTCGACCAAACTAGCCAGAAAATTTGTTTATTAATACGACGTGTTGATGTTTCTTGACGAAGTCTCACACGGACGCATCAGTTTCTCTTAAATTCGAATCTAGTTAAATAACGTTTTTTGTTAATGTGACTTGTGCAGTTTTATAAGATTATCGTCTATGCCTGTCTCCTGATTATTATTACATCGTATATACTTGATAAGGACCACAACCATATGGTCGAAACGTCGTGTTAATAAACAAATTTTCTGGTTAGTTTGGTCGACTACACTTTTTTCAATGATCCTTTGATTATTTGACTAGCGACATTAAGTTTTTTTTCATAATTATTAGCTTTAGTTAGATTTATGATAATCAATGTTCAAAATCAATATTTTTTCTATAAATAGAATAAAAAACAAATTTCGGAAAATAATTTGATAGAAATAAATTTTACAAATTGTCGTATAATATGTTATATAATTTTATACTTTTATTTAAGTGTTACATAAATAATAAAATATATACTAATAAGAAAATATGTGCAAGGAAGATATAACGTTTTTAGATTATTAATTTCGAATTTATGAAATTTTTTATATTACATGTTCTTATACAATTATTTAATATTATATCTTAAAAAAATATCAAAAGTTGTAGATTCAATAAAGTTCTTAATATTTCGATATAATTTTAATTTTTAATCTTTCAAAGATATTTTAATTTAAAATGTTTAAGTAATAACGTCATATGCATTATAATTATCAAAGTATTGCTATAAAATGTTTGATTTTTGATATTAAAATAACTTTAGAAGCATCAGATGTCTGCGAATTAAGAGAATAATTTATTACATTAAAAAATCAGTATTAATCGGAAGAATTATAACATATTAGTTGTAAGTATTATGAATTGAAAAATCAATATTATCTGTTTTGAATTTAATCTGATAACAAAACTGTACATTTGACCAATTCTAAGTCCAATTTGACATAATCAAATATAACATTTCTGATTTTTTAACCTAATCTATTTATTTAACATCTATTAATTTTGTTGAACAGTTTATATAAATTTCACAAGATCGGTAAAAGTAAAAGATCAGTGCAAATTAATTTATCAAAATAATATTGAAAAATTCTTATTTCATTTTTAAGCTTGAAGTCTGCACTTTAAGAAATATTTGTAAAATTTTAAATGTAATCCTTCGCTGCTCTCGCCTTTTTTCCAAAAGTAATTTAGTTTAATAACATATAACATATTTTTTCATGACTATGTTATAATTATTACCTAATAGATTAATAAATGTATAATACATTTTTCTTTTGATATATGTTGAAATATAAAAAAGATGCATCAATAAAATACACAATACAATATAAATCTCTTATAGAAATCCAGCATCAAAGGAGTTAAGTCCCCTTAAGGGGAAGCCAGTGAAAACGAAACCGATGGAGTATTTCACCGAAATATACATAGAAAATTCAACTAAGATAATTATGAATAAAAATCTTCTCTGAAAGAGAATGATATTCTGGGATGAGCTAACACATCAAATGAAGTTTCATGGGGCGGATTAAAGAAATTTTAAGGAGGAATTGTAATTCTCAATCTCATTAATCACATACATTTTTATATATAAGTAGTGCGGGAATAACTTTCAGTGATTGTAAGAAGACCAGAGCTGAGATCTCATATGAAGTCTTATAAATTGATTTTTAAAATATATTTTTAAATTTCTTTTTATTGGAATATTTGATTTCAATTAAAACTTTATAAACTACTTATAAATCTTATTATAAAATTTTGTAACAAAATTATTTTAAATACATGTTTCTCAAGACATGAAATCACATAATATTTTTGCAGAGTTTATTTTATTTTTTTAAACATAAACTTGTTTTATAAACATTATTAACAATACATATTTTTATTATCAAATAAAGTAAGATATATACGTAATTTTTAATCTTCTATTAAATAATCTATTAAAAATTGCAAAATAAGTACATGCTTTGCTACGATTAATTTTTAGACTAATAATATTATATAACAATAACAATTTCTGTACAATTTTTCTGTTAATTTCTCACCGCTTGTATCGCAATTTAATGATCGCCATATAAATACTTGTAATATATCGATTGTCTTTAACATATTAATTGTCTAATAATTTTGTTTTTTATAATAAAAGAAATACATCTTAATAGAATAAAAAAATGAATCTCCAAAAAGAAACAAATTTCATAAAACTTTATGTCATATTTTTGTCAGTATTGCATAAACACACTAAAATAATATCTATAATAAATATATCTATAATAAATAGAAATAAGATGTAATAATTATAAATAATTTATTCTTTTGTGTTCATCAAATTGTTTACGTTACAAGTTTATAGACACATATATATATATACTATATCTAATTGATAATAATAATTATATCAATTCGAATAATATACTAAACGTGTGCCATTTGGTTTTTTAATCTTAATATAAACTTAATTGTTAATTCGTTTTCTATTAGAGATATCAAATTACATATTTTAAATATTTGCGACACATATATATGATGATACACTACTGATATCTTGCGTATTGCAAAAACGATAAATTTCTGACATCAACATAGAATTTTAAAAACCTTAGATCTTTTAATTAAGAGAATAAATTGCTTTTTAATATTAAAAATTCTTTCTATCAACCAAGAAAGATTAAAATATGTAATTTGTTGCAATTTTTTTTGAATAAAATAATCAGTATCATCTGTATTGAATTTAATTTGACAATAAAACTTTGAAACTCTATTCTTAAACTCTAAATTCAACAAAGAAATATTAACTCTAAATCAATTTGTTAATTCTAATTCACTACAGAATTTCTGATATTTTATTTAAACTATTTATTTAGCATTTGATTCTAATTTATATATCATCCGCTTGTTCATTTTTTTACTCTTTTCTTATTCTAGAGTTATTGTAATTATTATAAAAAATTGTTAGATATTTATTCTTATGACCACTGCGCTACTATAATTGTAAATATGACTGCATGTATAATTGTAAATATGCCCTTTTCTGCTTTTTTAATTCATTTTTATACATTTCATAAGATGTAATTTATTCTCTATCTTTTGTGTTATTCAATCGAAACCATTATGTTATTTCTGTTGCAACGATTATTTAACGCCCATTCAACATACTGTATTCTATATTATTTTTTATTCGTATCGAATACAATAAAGTTACATCTGCTAACACATTCTGCCTCATACTGTGTACTATAAAAATAATTATTATTAAGCATTAACTCTTTGGATTTATGATTAATATGTTAAGAATAAAATTTTTATAAAATTTGTATAATAATTGTGAAATATTTCATATGTGCATACATAATACACATTACATAATATATCCATTCATCTTGAAAGAAATATTCTTTTTTAATTATGGCACACAAGTAATACTTTAAGAAATAGAAAAATTGTAAGAAAAACCGCGTAAAAGACTTCGAAAAGAAAGAAGACGTAATAATGTTTGCTATAATTGCTTGAATAGTACTTATTAACTTTTTATTCTAATATTAACCGCTATGTCATCGTCATCGTATGTATTTTTTATTCGTGAATGCATATTTTTAACCATAATGAATAAATGAAAATACAAGAACTATTCATATGTTAAAAGTAAATATGTGCATACATTACATTTCGCTATCTTTTATCTGATTAGATTTAATAACCATCCAATTTTTCTTTAAAAATATCGCCAGAATCTTTTATAAAATGTCGATATTCGTGCAGTTGAGACTTTATTTGAAGCCAACGTAGTGCTAGCTTGCTATTTATATACATTATTATATTCTCCATATGTGTTTTTCTAAATAACCAGTATTCGTTTAACTAAAAAAAAATTATTTTATCATTTATTTTCAACAGTAATTACTTTTCGTACTATAAAATTCTACCATATTTTCTAGTTATTAGGGTAATTAAGATAAAATAGTAATATGATATAAAAAATAAAAATAAATAAGCTTAATAATAAGATATTGATAATTAAATATATTTAAGCTCATAAAATTTACCTTATCACCATATTGATTATAATGATCATAATTAATCAGAGAAGGTGGATATTTCAGAAGATACTGGACCTTATATTTCATGTATTCCTTTATCTAAAATAAATTGCCTTTTTAGATTAATATATAAATAATAATTATACATTTTATCTTCTATTTTATAATATAGTATAATATAATACAATATAGTATAATATAATATAATATAATATAATATAGTAGAATTTTATATAATATAATTTATCTTTAGCATAATTAAGCAACGAAACGTCTGTCTGGAGAGACTTTAGATTGATGTAAAAAATAATCAAGAAGTTAAATTAAAAAGCTTTCACATATAGTGTTCTGCAATAGATACATTTTTGTATAATAGATCATATAATAGAATATAATCCCTCCTAATTTCCACATATTATTTTGCGTAATTATTATTAACTTTCACAAGAAGCCATTAGAAATAACTTTATATACGGCTTCCGAATTTATATTGAATTAAAGAAAAATAAGCTGTAATTAACAAAAATAATACTACAGAAATACAATAGAAAGTTTTATAATTTATGTATAAATATCTTAATGTTGTCCCATAATTAACAGTTTCTAATACATACATCATAGAACAGATAAGTCTAAATTATGTTCAGACATACGGTATATTGATATTCAAAAGAAGAGGTTAATGAACAATTATATTTGTGTACATGTACATTTGTATATATAAACCTACATATATGTTTATAAAATTTACCTTGTCAATTTGTTGCTTAGAATGTACATGGTTAATGATGATAGTTAATATTGGAATAACATCGATTTGTCTATAAGAATGAAACAACAACTTTATATAAATTATTTAGAAAACAGAAAAAATCGAGTAACAATTGTACAATTGTTACATGTTTTTATAAAAATAATATTATTACATAGGTTTTATGCTTTCCAAATTGTATAATATAGAATCAAATATTTCGATATTCTTTGTATGTCTCGCAATAATAAAACATAAACTGTTTATATGATCGAAATCTGTGATTATTTTTGTCTCAACAGCGCTAAATTTCATTATATCTATATACTTGAGAATGATTGAGACATTTGTGGAGCAAGCTAAAAATTTTAAAACACTATAATCTGATTCTTTCAAATATATATTAAACACTTGCATCCAAATATTGTTACTCGCTGACTTTAAACCATTGCAGAATATCCATTCTCTCCATCCCGGCCAAATTCTGATATTCAAAGTAAAATAAAAATAAGTAATTAATGAAATAAAATTATTAAAATAAAAAGATTATTAAAATTTAAGAAATAAAAATAGATTATTAAAATTCGTAATTCTATTTCCTGATTACATAAATTATCAAGCATTTCACAAAATATTATGCAAAAAAATGTATGTATAAAATGAACGTGATTGAAAAATAATTGTACAGAGTAATTACTTAGTGCGGTTGGTATTACGAATCGAGATAAATCGGTTTAATTCATTTTGAGCTATTGATAAGCACGTGATCTGATCCAAGGTGCATAACCATTTTGTAGTCTCTTGTCTCAAACTTTCAATGAAAACGCTCTTCTGTCTCAATCTATCTGATTGCAAATTAGGATATTTTATTTCCCATAAAATCGTATTCAATAATGGTATTATTTTGTCCTACAAATTGTTAAAAAACATATAAGAATTTATATATTTATTTATATGTTATAGAATAATTTATGAAGTTTGTGCATGTACTCCTATTTCAAAAACTGTAGATATACAATATATATATTCAAATAATATAATAATCTTCTTATAAGATTAAAAACATAATAAATACGTGATTATGTTACACCTAATTAATACAATTTGATATTATCTAATATCTAATTATTATTTTTCTTAACACTAATTATTACAAATTATTGAAAATTTAAAAGCGGAAGTTGAACTTTGGAAAGTTAAACATTGTGTATATTTATCTGTATTTTATCAAAAATAAACTTTAAAATATATTAATTTTAAAATATCAATGCGTTGTATACATTATTCATACATATGTGCATATATATATATTGTATATATATATATATATATATATATATATATATATTATAAACAACGTACACAATGCATTTAAATTTTATATATATAAATTATTTAATATAAAACTCACAGAAACTAATATTATTTATACCTTTATAGGTGCGCTTTCTGGAAATGCAAAGAAACCCGACATATATTCCAAGCTTTTGAACATAGGATACCATGCGATATAATCTGTATCTCGCTGTAGATACTGAGAAATATTCAAGAATACATCAGCATTTAATTTGCCTGTCATCACAAAGTGAAATGTATCGTCTATGATTTTAGCACGATCGAGAACATGTATTTTTCTAAAAGATTTGGAGTTCAGATACATCGAAAGTCTATTCCAATTCTCGACATCATAATTGACGCGATAGCATCCTGTCGTTTGATAAATAAATTCTGAATTAAATTAAATTTTTATTAAATTTGTCAAGTAATAATTTGATATATCTTTTATCTTATTATATTCATATTCAATGCATATGAAAAATATATTAAAAATTGTGATTATTATAAGAAGCAAATTGTGGATTATCAATATTAAATTATGTCATGCTGTTAAATCAATTTAGAGAGCTATGCAAAAAGAGTTATAGCAACTAAAATTTATTTTATTATTTTTATTACATTCATAATCAAAATAATGGTAATAAAATTATACTACATACTTCGTTGCGTCTAACATTTTAATACATATATTATATGTGCAAACTTTAGATCGTGCATAAAATTTTATTATAATAATAATAGATTATGTAGACATAATTTATCAAATATAAATAATCAGGTAAAAATATAGAATCTTTATGCATATTATGTGTATGTAGCAAATAGCATATTATTAATATTAAAGGATTATTAAAGAATTGTAGTCGACCAAACTAGCCAAGAAACATTAATTTATTTAAATATTACAACATTGATTGTAATATTTAAATAAATTAATGTTTCTTGGCTAGTTTGATCGACTACAATTCTTTAATAATCCTTTGATTGTTCGACTAGCGAGAATAGAGTGTTTTTTCAATTATTAATATTAAATTATTAATATTAATAATTAATAATATTAAATTTAATATTAATATTTAATAATATTAAATTATTAATATTAAACTATTATAATTAAGTCATTATGATTACATCATCCAATAATTAAATTATTAGATATTAAATAATTTTAATCATTGTTGGATACTTAAAAAAATGTTCTCTATATAATATATAAAAAAATTTGCTACAAATTGAATTATATACAGGATGTCCCATTTTAACTTTTACATAGTAACTCGAAAACAGGTGTTTTAAAAAAGAATGTTTCAAATCAAAGTTGTAGGGTAAAAGAGAGAAAAAGAAGATAGAAATATCAGTTGAATTTATAGATATCAAGAATAACCTAGTTGTTTTTAAATTTAACTACTCTCTACTTTGTCTATATAAATCAATTTCTGACAATATTTCTCGCAAAAAGTTATAAGGATAAAATAGCCAAAAATTGAATAATTACGAGATATTTTATACTTTAAGTTGACAAAATTTTACATAAATCATAAAATATCTTGTTAAATATTTACTTTTCGATTATCTTACCGTAATACTTTTATGCACAGAATGAGAAACAACTGATGTAAAGAAAACATATAATTATTTGAAAAAAAAGATATGAATTTGCTACGAGCAACTCTATAAAGTAATAAAATATAGTAATAAAAAGTATATGATAAGTATAGTAATAAAAAGTATATGATAAAAGTGTAATAAATTTATCGATTAATATTTTATGATTACCACTTTGTTGTAAATTAGCCAATATCCAGTCAACCTCGTCTGTAGAACTTATATTTAATATATAGTACGAAATATGTGGTCCTAACCACACTGCAGGCAATATTTTCTTCAAATCGGAATACATTCGGATTCGCGTAATAATATTCACAAATATCCATATATCCGTATTAAAATTTTCTGTCGATATATTCAAGCTGTTATTATTATAATTTCTTTTCACATTTATCACAGGGTATTGATTTAACTGTTTCCAACCAGCTATTCTATCCTTTATATTGTATTTGATTTCAGAAGATGATTGATTCATAGCAGTTTGCATAACATGCCAGAAAACATTAATGTCTCTAGAGCTAAAAATTCAAACAACGACGAATTATAAAAAAAGATAAATAAGAAAAGATATATTAAGAAAAATATTAAAAAGTATTTGAGATTTTTAAAGAACAAAGTAAAATTGGAAGAGCAGTAGTGAAGGAGAAATGTAAATTATATCAAATAGAATTGGAATAATAAGAAAGTATTAATGGTAAATGACAAAATATAATAAAATAGTAATTAAAAAAGATAAATGTATTACAGAAAAGAAATAAAGTAAAATAAAAAAATTAAAGTAGGGAACATATGAGAAGATTTAAAAAGAAACAAGAATGAAATAGATATATAATGAAAAAAGTTAAAGAAAATTGGAAGAAGATAAAAATTAAAATAATAAATAAAGAAGAAACAATTAAAATAATAATAATAATAATAAGTACAAAAACAAAGTCGAAGTTAAAAGTTAACAAGAGAAAAATTAACAAGTCTTGAAATTACTAATAAAAATCAAGTATAAATAAAATTATATTAGGAAATATAGAAAAGAATTAAATCATAGAAGAAAAAATCGATAAATAAACAAAAATAAATTTTAAAAATTGAAAAACAAAACAAAAAATAATTAATAAAAGTAAATAAAATTAAAATATCTTTTAAAAATATGCATTTAAATTTATTATATAATAATATTGAAATCTATATTACTCACCGCTTTAATAGCTCTTTATCCTTAAGTATATTTGTATATATTTCCACACCATTTCGAAACACTTTTTCGGAGAGTACTGTTTGCAATGTGCGGAACATAATGCTTACTACGAAAATTGACATTATAAAATAAAATTGTAGTATGTATAAAATAAATTTGCTATACCTCATTTGGATATATGAATTTATGAACATAACTTAACTTTTATATAAATAAGATTAACTTTAATTTTATTTTTAATTTTATTTTCAATAAAAATTTGATAAACGTTTTACGAAAACAATAATACAAATAAATTACAACTATATTATTTTTTTTTATTATAATATTTTTTATATGTAGCATTAAAGAATTTATCGACAATGAATTATTTGCTTGATTATACCCTTAATATAAAGAGGAATTTCAAAAGAATTATTAAATCCTGATTTATTTGTCAGCGGCCATGTGTCCTTAGTGCTCCAATGAAGAACATCATTTTGTATTTGAACGATAAAGAAATCTTGTATTCGAAAAAGCGGAAGTGTCTGGAAAAAATTTTAAAATAATTAAATAAATATTTAATCAAAATAATTGCTTACACATTATCAACATACATTAAAACCGTTAAAATATATTCAAATAACTTACACACACATTTGTTCAATGAATTTTTCTTATTAAGTTTAAAAATATATTTAAATATTTAATGATATTCAATGATATTATTTTAAATTATGTATTTTTAAAGTTATTTAAAAGTATATATGTCAATATGTATTATATAAATTATATTTTAATTTAATGTTGCTTATATGGTAAGGTTTGACTGATTATCGTTATAGAAATGTAAATATTTTTAAATTCCGATTATTTGAGTGTGATTGAAATAATTAACGCTAAATATAAAGTAACCTTATTGGCGGCGTAAATTCCAAGAAATGTAGCAAAACCTTTGCTTAACCAGAATTCCCAATCATATGGATTGATTCCATTAAAAAGCCATTCGTAAGCCAGCTTATATGCTATTACTTGTGTTATTTCAATTTTCCGTATCTCAGATTCTATTCTTTCATTATAGATAATATCTTCTTCTCTAAAAGTAATTCGGAAGTATCAATAAAGTATAGAAAATCTCTGTTATAAATATGAAAATTAGTTATATCATAGATAAATTAAATAATTAAATTATATATATATATATATATATATATATATATACATATATATATAAATTAAAAAGAAAAAGTAATTGTTTTAAGAAATAATATATTAAATGTGTTCATTTACAAAAACATAGACACATACGCAAATTACTCCGTTAACTATGCGTATTTACATACATTATTATTATTTATTGAAATCCTATAAATATAAAAATATACATATAATCTTGAATTCTATAATAGCAAGTAGCGAGAAAAAATATTATTTTTTAATATATATTAACATTTTCCTCTAAATATATTTACCTATGAAGAATGGATCCCAATATTATCTCTTCTGTGTCGAACAACTCCGGAATTGTGATGTGATTTACTTCCGGAGTTTTCCTGATGTACGGCAATTCCTTTTCTAAGAATTGCGTAATATTTTTAGCAACTGTGTATGCAAATTGCACACGCGGTAACATGTCAGTTCTGCACAATAATCTGGCACTCTGATTTGTTTCTGAAGTAAAGGAGAGATGAAACACATCCGCTGCTATGAAATAAACGGGCATTATAGGAGTAGATTTGAAGCGTGTCCATTGCATATTATTTTCATCCATATTTACTTCTTGGACGGGCATATTTGATAAAGCCGTATAGTTTGTATGATGCTTTATAGAAATGTTATAACTAGCATATAGAGTATCCTTCAAAAATGGAAATAATTTTCGAGTCGCAAATTTGTAATAATGCGTTGCGGACAACCACCTAGCATATATAACAGTATTTTTAATAAAAATTTATATTTTTAATAAAAAATGTTACATAACAATATATTTTAAATAAAAAGTTTATAATCAAAAGTTTTCAGTTATTACTGAAATGTTAAAAATTAAAAGAAAAAAAGAAAGAAATGGAAAACAAATGTACATAAAGACTTAAGTATATTGTTAAAAGATTAATTATAATATATTTATATTATATTACCATTTTACTATTATGCTATATTTTTATTTTATATTTTTATTTAATATACACGTACGTCATAAAAAATATATGTAAAATCTGTAATAAATCTACATAAAATAATATATTCATAATATTCTCTAAAATATCCACTTGTAAGATAATAAATATGTAAATATGATATAACAGCATTTCTAATATTTAAGATTTTGTTATCTATGCGTGATCAACATCTGTCTTATATTAAAAAGTTTTTAATAATAGATATACTATGTACACTTCCAATGCAAAAGATTTTTCCTCAATTAATTACCAGGAAAATTTTTTATGAATTATAACAGCTATGTTTAAATAGTACTTTACGAATCATATGATATATATTAAAATTATGTCAACTGTAGTAATAATAGTAATACGAATTTGCAAAATTTAAAGCAAGAATGGTATTTATAGAGTCTAAGTTATTTAACGCTTTAAAAACTACTCACACTTTATCATTTTGTTTATTCATGTAAGTTCTAAATCCTCCATCTTCAGCTAAAAAACCGGAAAATTTCAAATTCAAAGTATAATTTCCTGATGATAAATTATACGGTAGAGAAATGGTGGTTATATTCGTTTCAGTGTCATAGATAAATTTCTTCGGTCTATGAGCAAAAACTTCTTCTTTGCTTTCTTCAGATATTTGTGTATTATTTGTTATTGTAATTTTTGTTATCGACAAATTTTCTGTACAAAAATATATATCTTGCATTTCATCAGGAATATATATGCGGACATTATATTCGCCATAAAAGATATCCTCATTAACATATAGTTCAAAATGAATGTTATAATGTTGCTGTACATCCAACTTCGGTAGTACGGACAATTGTGCATCATTAAAAGGAACCGCCGCGACAATGAATATTAGACTGCAGCTTAATACTTTTAGGAATGCCATGCCACTCTTTTTCTCTCTCTCATTCGTCTTAAATGTCTAATTAACCATCTTTTCTTCTTAAAAAAAAAGTAAAATAAAATAATATATATGTATATATATGTATATGTATGTACATATGATACACACACACACACACACACACACACACACACACACACACACATATGTAATAAAAAATTTGCTTTAATTATTGCTTTTGTTACGTATAAAAATAATAAATAAACATGAGTAAAAAATATCACATGTATTATTAATAAAATATAGCCTTATATATATAAGATATCTATAAGATATATATAAGAGATAAAAGAATTATAATCTTGCAATATATGTATATTTTAACCCTTTGCACTCCAGCTAATTTTATTATACGGCTTATCAGCACCTCCAAGGCATTTTTATGGTACCTTTGGTGACATTAAAATGCATACATTAAAAATTATGTATCAAATAAAAATTATTATACCAAATAAGTATAAAATTCTACTTTACTATCATCACTGCTACTCTTAGTATTGTAAATAATTTTACTATAATCAACAGAAAAACAAATAATATAAATACTTTTCGTTCATGCTTGAGATAGCTGAGTGTAAAATAAATTACGAGCCCACTTTTTTATTGGTTTGATATGCACGTTTATATTTTTGCAACTAATGTCATTTTTAATTCAGCCTATATTGTGTGTAAATCGTCTGAGTCGTTTAGTTTTTATCACTTGCTTCTTGTTGAAAAGACACTCTTTTCAAGGTGGTCGTCATCTCTCCTTCATGCAATATTCTATGCTTAGTTGCCGATCAGAAAATTAACCAAAAGGGGCAAGAGACAATGACCGCACTTATTATCTTTGGTTTTAAGCGCTCTCGCGCGATGTCGCTTTTAGTTGATTTTTTAATCATCAATTAAGCATAGAATATTGCATGAAGGAGAGATCAAACACTTTTATCATACATGTCACCTTAGCGGCGCCTCTAGTGTTGCGATACAACATATATATGTTGCCGTAGCGGCAACGAAGTACAAAGGGTTAATTTGATTAAGTTTTATCATGCTTAATAAAGAACTTTTAACACATTTCATAAAGAACTTTTTTATTAAACGTTTAATTTTAAATTAGATTTTTATTTCATAAATAATATAATAATATATGCTTCAAATTAAAATTCTGTCCTTTTAATTTCGAAAAAGGTAGCCATTTTTGATCAAAAAAATTATACATGTTATGTTTCTACATTAAAATTATTCAAATTGTCCTCTCGGTGTACATAACGTACACATTTTATTTATTTTCAAACGACTATGTAGGTATTTTTTATAACAACTCACCTCTCGTATATAGTTGTCTGCAAAATCAGAATTTAGATTTTTGATAATAATTAACGTAGTTATCTCGTTGTTATCATATATTGTTAATGTCGACAAAAACTGTATCTACATATACTTGATCTTCATGTTCTGAGAAACTTCTGAAAAATGACAACGTTTGATATCTGAAATCATAATAAATATGTCATTAAAACAACTTTTAAAATCAAAATAATGTGAAATCAGGTTTAATAAGTTATTTCAATGAGTAATAAAGTGTGAATATTTGCTTTAAATTAACTCCCGCAATTTATATTTGATTGTAAAATAATTAGTTTTGAAAAATATTTTAAAGCTATCCGAGATGTTGTTTTTCATACTTTCAGTTTCTTTCTTCTAAGCAAATAATTTATCTCTATTTCTATTTTAATTTATTAACATGTTGTAGTTTTTTTTTACATTAAAAGTTTAAAATTAATACATTTTCTTCTTTTATAAATAGAATAAAAGACAGGTTTCAAGTAAAGAACACGTCGTTTTTTTGCGTTAAATTAATATTAAAATATTATTAATAATTTCAGTGAAAAATGTGCAAAAAAAAATATCGTTTTTAAATAATCAATTTTCAAATTTATCAAGTTTTAACACATTATATATATAATACAAGTTTTGATATAGTTCTAATAAAAATTTTTCTTTAATTATTGCTATTATTACATATAAGAAAGAGCCAGAAAAAGTATATTAAAAATATTATATAATATTTTATTTAAAAAATTTAGCTTTAGGATAAAAGAATTATAATAATTCCGTAATATTTCATTAAATGCAATGTATTAATTAAACTTAATTTGTTTAGATTTAAATGCACACTGACATAATTGTATAAAAAATTTCTTTATTAGAAATTTATGATTTTAAATTAAATTGGATTTATTTCTAAGATAATATAATAATTTATACACTCTTATAAAATTAAAATCTTTTTGCTTTAATATATTTCTAAAAATGACTTTGAACGAATTTTGAAAAAACAATCATCTCTGAAGAAAAACACTATATTTGTTATGTTTATGTTATATTTTTTAATAAAAAGTTATTCTATTGAAAACATTTAAATTGTCCTCAACGTATATAATTTACACATTTTTTTTTTAAACTGCTATGTATTCTGTTTTGTTACAACTTACCTTGTATATTATGATGTCAGTTGATCAAAATTTAATGTTAGATAATAATTAATTCTTTATTATCCTAAGTTTTATTAAAATCGAAAATATATCTATATTAATTTGATTATCTTGCTGTTCTGGGATACTATCGAGAAATGCCAACGTTCCACACGTGATATCATAATAAGCATGTTATGGAAACAACCTTGAAAATCAAAATAATATGAAACCAGACTAATACGTGTCTTATCAGTTAATAAACACAATAAAATGTTAATATATGATTAAATCAATTCTCTGTTCGATATACTTGATTAATTATTTTTAAAATGAACTTTATAACAATTAAAAAGTTGTATTCTATCCATATTTTTATTTTTTTCTTAGAAGCAAATAATCCATCACCATTTGTATTTTAATTTATTGGCTCTAATTGTAGATTTATGTGTGATATTCAATGTCCAAAATATTTTGTAAATATAATAAAAATAACGCGATTTTTTCGGAAAATAGAAAAAAAAGACTAAATTTTTTAAATAGAACATTTTCATAATTAACATAAATTTTAACAACAACATTTATAAAACAAAATTGATCTCTCTAAAATACCAAAAAATATATATTTATGTGTTCTCTTATTCGTTCCAAATTTTCTCATTTCAAGATTTTTACATTTGCAGGAATCTTGTGGAATAAGGCACATGGTATATTCAATGATTATGTAAAATTTTGGATGAATACGGAACAAAAATGGATTTGAGCATGTTGACATTGAAAGAGAGTAACCACAAATGATACAAAAATAACTAAAGCGTAAATTATCAAATCACGACAAATATTCTAAAAAGATCTATCTATAATTTATTATAAATTTTATTATTTTTATTTATAAATTTTATTATAAATCAAAGTTCTAATAAGAAATCTCATAAGATAAAGTCTGCAAAAGTCCTGCAAACTTTATCTTTTCTATTTCTTAAGCCTCAATCTTTTTATAGACATTATTGTCAATGCATGTTTTTATTGTAGGTATAGTAAGATTCGTAAATTTTATAGACTTTCTATTAAAAGTAATTGTAAAGTGAGTATATACTTTGGTATTATTAATTTATTTAAATATAATAACAATATTACAATTTATGCACAATTTTTCTATCAGTTTTTTATCGCTTTGCAATGATCATGTAAATACTTTTGATATATTTTGATATATTGATTGTCTAAAACTAATAATTCTTTTTTTTATTCAAATAAATAGAATAAAAAATAAGTCTTGAAAGAAACAAATTTCATAATATTATATATTTTATCTATTATATATCTCTCGTATTTTTATCTCAGTATTGCATGAACATTAAAATATTATATCTATATCTAATGAATAGAAAAAAGATATAATATTTAAATAATCAATTCTCTCTTGTGTTCATTTTTCATATTACAAGATACATGCATATATAAGACACACACATATATATCGAATTGATAATTAATAATATAATTCTTTTTGTACATTGTATCAAAGCTGTAATTTATTCTCTATCTTTTGCATTATTTAGTCGATATCATTTTGTTACTTCTGTTGTAACGATCATTTGACATTCATTGAATATAATGTATACCTTCTATATTATTTTTTACGTATGCCGAATACCCAGCATGTTCTGTCTCATTCTGTACCCTATAAAAATAATCATAATTAAGCATTAACTCTTTCGATTTATGATTAATATCTCAAGAATGTTTTATAAAATTTATATAACATAATTATTAAATAATTATTAAATATTTCATATGTGCATTACATAAACACATATTGATCTATCTTGAAAAAAAATATTCTTTTTTAATTATCACATATAAATAGTATTTCAAAAATTAAAAAATTGTAAGAAAAATCGTGTAAAAAAATCGTAAAAGAAAGAAGACGTGATGTTTACTTTAACTGTGTTTAAATAGAACTCATTAACTTTTTATTCTATTATGACTCAATCACTATGTTGCTATTATCGTATATGTACTTCTTTATTCGTGAATGCATACTTTTAATCAAAATGAATAAGTGAAAATACAAAAACTATTTATATAATAAAAATAAACATGCATATGCATTACATTTCGTTATCCAGGTTTCATTGATTAATCAGTTGCATATTCTTTAAGTACATCAGCAAAATTGTTTATAAGAAAATGATATTCGTACAATTCAGTCTTTATTTGTTTCCGACGTAGTTCTAACTTGCGGTTTACATACATTTTTATATTCTCCACATTCATTATAAATGGCAAGGATTTAATTAGCTAAAACAAATTATTTTAACATTTAATTCAACAGTAATTTCATCAAAAGTCATTCACAATTTTTGGCTATTAGCATAATTAGCATAAGATAATTATATTGATATAAAAATAAATACATAATTAAATTCATAATAAGAAATTCATAATCAAAATGTGTATATTTAGATTTCTAAAATTTACCGTATCGCCATTTTCATAATATTCATAATTAATCACAAATTCTAGATTATCCGTGAAATTAATTTCCATGTATTCTTTTATCTAAAATAAATTATTTTTTTAGATTAATATGTAAATGTTAATTTTGCCTCATAATGTAAGAATATACATATATCATAGAACAGATAAAGGTAGAATATATTTAGATAGACATATATATTATATACAGGGTGTATCAGATTACTTGTTCCAGCCAAATATCTCAAAAACTAAGAACAGCGGACAAAAATATTTCAGACAAAAGTTGTAGGGTTTCATGTAACGCATTATATAGTAATATTGGTACGACCTCGAAGAGTATTGTCAAAATCACGTGAAGGTTACCTTCAATTTCTTAAACGGAAACCCCCATTTCTCATTGCATATTCTTATAGCTTACCTCGAAAGCTTTTCAAAACACCATAATAAAGTATATTTTCACTGAATGCTTTCCGAATTATGAGACTTAAAATAATTTCTTAATTTTACACAAACCATAAAATCTAGTAAAACTTATTTTTCGATTAAAATATTAAAATATTATTTCCTTAATGTTTTTATGTAAAATATTTCCTTAATATTTTTATATACAAAATAATGAGAAGAAACAATTGGTGTAAAAAAAACACATATTTATACTTAAGAACAAATTTGTAATTGTTAAAAAGAATATTTTACTAGATATTTTATAGTTTATGTAAAATTAAGAGATTATTTCAAGTCTCATAACTCGAAAAGTACTCTAGGAAAAAAAATTTTATTATAGTGTTTTGAAAAGTTCTCGAAGTAAACTATAAGAGCTTTTTTGGGAAGAGATTGCCCTGACACCTGTATATGTGTGTGTGTGTGCGTGTGTGTGTGTGTGTGTGTGTGTTTGAGTGTGTTTGAGTGTGCGCACATGTCATGTATACAAGCCTATACATATAATTTTATATTTACCTTATTAATTTGTTGCTTGAGATAAACATGGTTTATGATTATAGTTAATGCTGTAATAAAACTGATTCCTCTATAAAAACAAAATAATAGATTTATATAATAAAAAAAATGAAGCAAACCTTTCTAATTGCACAGGTAGTACATATTTAGAAAAAAAATAATCATTACTTGGGTTTTATATTCTCCAAACTGTCTAAAATGAAATCAAATAATGCAGGATTCCTTGCATGCCTCGCAACAATATTACAAAAACCGTTTATATGATCCACAGCTGTTGTCACATTAGCCATTAAATGTATGTATTGGAGAATAATTAAAGGATTTTTGGAACAAGTTAAAAATTTTAAAAAACTATGATCTGATTCTTCCAAATATCTATCAAACACTTGCATCCAAGTATTGTTATCGGCTGTTTTCAAACCATTGCAGAATGTCCATTCTTTCCATCCCGTCAAAATACTAGAATATTTAAAATAAAATAAAAATAAATTATTAGAATTCATAATTTTATCTCTTGATCACATAAATTATCAATTATTTCACAAAATATGAGAAATATATATTTATGAAATAATTAAAAAATAATTACAAAGGGTAATTACTTGTTTGGTAAATAATTCTTATGGCTGTAGAGGTGCCATGTTAAATCACGATTGGCTGTGTGCAAGCAATCATTATGATTTAAGGTGCATAACCATTTTGTAGCCTCTTGTTTTAAACATTCAGTAAATAATCTACTATCCGTACTTTTATCTCCATTAAAATTGGTATTTAGTATTTCCAAATAAATCCCATTCAAGAGATGTAGTATTTCTGTCTACAAATTGGAAAATAATGTAAAAATTTCTATATTTATTTATATTTTTATAATGATATATTTATTTCTATATTATAAAAAAATTGAAAAAGTTTGTGCGCACATATCCTGTTATTTAAAAAGTTATGCCAATAATATAATAATGTTTTCATAAGATTAAAAAGCTAATAATAAATATGTGTCTATATTACATCTAATTAATATAATTTAATATTAATTATTATCCTTCTCAGTAGTAAATAAATTATTGCATAAAAATCTAAAAGCGGAAGTTGTTTTCTGAACTTTGAAGAGCTAAACATTGTGTACCTTATCTATATTTATAATTCATTTATATTTTATGAAAAATAATTTTAAAATATAAATGTCATATACGTCGTTAAAATATACATAAATATAAATTATTTAAACACACATTTTTTTACTTATACAAACGTTAATGTTATATATACCTTCATAAATGCACTTTCTGGAAATTTAAAGAAACCTGACATATATTCCAAGCTTTTGAACATAGGATACCATGCGATATAATCTTTATCTCGCAGCAAATAGTGAGAAATATTGAAGAATATAGTAGAATTTAGTTGACCTGTCATCATGAAGTGAAATGTGTCGTCGATGATTTTAGCACGATCGAGAACATGTATTTTTCTAAAAGTATTGGAGTTCAGGTATTTCGAAAGTCTATTCCAATTCTCAGCATCATAATTGACGCGATAGCATTCTGTGGTTTAATAAATAAAATTTGTATTAATGTAAATGTTTTATTGAATTTGTCAAGTAACAATTTGAAACATAAATTTATTTTGTCTACATTTATGATAATCAATATTAATAATAAAATTATCCTATACACTTCATTATGTGTAACATATTAATGTAAGTATAATCTTTAAAGCTGAATTAAATCATTCAATAATTAAATTATTAAATATTAAATAATTTTAATTATTGTTGGATTCTTAAGACAAATGATCTCCCTCTAACTAATATATTGACGGAAAATATGTATTACTTCTATAATTTAAATAACATATATTGAATTATATAATGTAATTAATGTAAGGTTAACTGTCATACAGTAAACTTGAAAACATGCGTTTTGGAAAAAAATGTTTCAAATAAAAGTTCTAGAATTTGAGGAGGAAAAAAAGATAAGAATTAGTTGGGTGTAGATATCAAGATCAAGATATCAAGATCATAGGTTTATTTAAAAAATGAAATTACTTCAATTTATCTATGTAACCAATTCCTCACAATATTCCTCGCAAAAAGTTATAAGGATAAAATAGCCAAAAATTGAATAATTTACGAGATATTTTATACTTTAAGTTGATAAAATTTTACATAATCCATAAAATATCTCCCAAAATATTTACTTTTCAATTATCTTATTATAATACTTTTATGCACAAAATAATGAGAAGAATCGATTGTTATAAAGAAATCATGTAATTATTTTTAAGAAAAAATATAAACATGTAAAGTGTAGCGAGATATGTAAAAGTTTAGTAACAAATTTATCGATCAATATTTACCAGTTTGTTGTAAATTAGCTAATATCCAATCATTCTTATCTATGAAATCTATATTTAATGTATATTGCGAAATATACGGTGCTAACCACACTTCAGACAATAATTTCTTCGAATTGAGATGCGTTTGTGTAGTAATATTCACAAATATCCATATATCCATATTAAAATTGTTTACAGATATATTCAAGCTGCTATTATTATAATTTCTTTCCACATTAATCACAGGGTAATGTTTTAGTTGTGTCCAACTAATTATTCTAGCCGTTACATTATATTTCATTGAATATCCATCGCTGACTGATTGCATAACGTCAAAGAAAATAAAACTGCCAAGAGCTCTAAAATTCCAAACGGGTAAATGACAAATAAAAATTAATAAAAAGAGATATCTTAACAAAAGTATTAAAAAACCATTAAAATTTTTAACGAATAAAGTAAAAATGAAAGAGAATAAGTAGAAGTGCCATAAATTATATCAATTAGAATTGGAACGATAAAAAAAGTATTAATGACAAATAGCAAAAAAATAGAATAGTAATTAAAAAGATAAATATGTCATAGAAAAAAATAAGTAGAGAATATATGAGAAGATTTAAAAAACAAAAATGAAAAACGAAAATGTAGATAAAGAAAGAAATTGAAAAAAATTGGAAGAAGACGAAAAATATAATAATAATATTAATAAGTATAAATATAATTTAAAAAATGGCAAAAATTAATAAGTCTTAATATTATTAGTAAAATTTAAGTATAAACAAAGTTGGAAACATAGAAATGAATAAAAGAATGGAGAGAAAGTTAAACTTCGAAAGGTAAACATAAATAAATTTCAAAATTTAAAGCAAAAACTAATTATAAAAAAAGCAAACTTAAAAATTCATTTAAAATTGTGTATTTATAATATAATTATATTGAAATCTATATATATTACTCACTTATATTTGAAATACAAACCGATACCATACAGAAAGTTCTCTTCAGTAAATATAATTTGCAACGAGCGGAACATAATGCTTGCTACGAAAATTGACATCATAAAATAAAATGTAGTATGTATAAAATAAATTTGCTATACATGATTTGAATATATAAATTCATGAACGTAACTGACTTATATGTATAACGAATAAAAGCTAATTTTAATTTTACTTTTCTGGTAAACGTTAATACTTAAATAATTAATAATATAAATAAATTACAACAAAGTAATTTCTTTTACTATAATGTTTCTTATATAGCATTTAGAATTTGTCGACAATAATTTATTTGCTTGATTACCCTTGATGTAACTAGGAATTTCAAAAGTCGTATCGATATCATATGTTGATACGATTAATGGGAACGGCCATGTGTTCTTGGTTCTCCAATGAAGAACATCATGTTGCATTTGAACCACAAAGAAATCTTGTATCCGAAGATGCGGAAATATCTGGACGCAAAAAGACTTTAATATAATTAAATATTTAATATAAATAAATAAATATTTAATTAAAAGAAGTGCTAACATACATTAGCATACATTAGAACTGTTACAATATATTTAAAAAACCTAAAACACACATTCGTTCAATGAACTTTTCTTATTAAGTTTAAAAAAATTATTAAAGTATCAAATAATGTTTAATAATATCATTTCAAATTATGTATTTTTAAAGTTATTTAAAAGTATATATATATATATATATATATATATATAAATTTATCAATATATATAAATTATGATATTATAATATATTGTTGTTTATGTGGCAAGTTTTGGCTAATTATCGTTATAGAAATCTCAATATTTTTATTTTTTATATTACTCCGATTATGTGCGTGTGATTGAAATAATTGATGTTAAATATAAAATTACTTTGTCGGTGGCAAAAATTCCAAAGAATGTAGCAAAACCTTTGCTTAACGAGACTTCCCACATATATGGATCGATTGCATTATAAAACCATTCGTGCACCACTTTGTATCCCATTACTCGAGTTATTTCAACACGGCGTATATCAGAATCTATTTTTTCATTAAACATAATATTCTTTTCTCTAAAAATAATTCGCAAATATTGCAATAAAGACGAGAACTCTTTTCTTACATTAACAATCGCTAACATAAGAAAGTACAATTACTAAACACAATCATGCTTTTGAGAGAATCATTGTTAAACATAATTAGTTAGATAAAAGACTAATTATATGTCATAATAAACTCGTGCGTTAATCAGATTTTATGATTATGACATCCTTCAGAATAGTTAAAAGATTGCGTTCAGAAATTAAAAAATTGCGACAAAGGAAAATGTAATAAAAAACCTATTACATATGTTTCAATTACATATACATATGTAGATATCAAATTTTATAATATTGAATATATGGAGAAAAAATATTAAGTTTTAATATAGAAATTAGCATATTTTTTAAATCAAAATATGTTTACCCATAAAGAACGAATCCGAATTTTATATCCTCTTCATTTAATAATTTCGGAATCACGATATGATTTGTTTCCGGACTTCCTTTGCTCATATGCGGAAACGCTTTATCTAAGTACTGTGCAATATCTTTAGCAGCTGTGTATGCAAATTGCACATATGATATTATGTCTGTCCTGCACCACAATTTGATAGCCTGATTTGTTTCTGAAGTTAAGGCGACATGAGCTATACTAACCGCTATGAAATATACGGGCATTACAGGAGTAGATTTGAAGCGTGTCCATTGCATATTATTTTCATCCATATTTATTTCTTGAACCGGCATATTTGAAAAAGCCCTGTAGTGTTTGTGATGCTTTATAGAAATGTTATAACTGGCATATAAAGTATCCTTCAAAAGTGGAAATAATCTTCGAGTCGCAATTGTCTGATAATGCGTTGCGGCGAACCACCTAGCACATATATAACAATTTATTTTTAATAACAAAATGTTTTCAGTTCCTGGTGAAACATAACAAAGAAAAAAAAAAGAAATAGAAAATATGTACAAATGTATATTAAGATTTTTATAAAAATACTGTTAAAGAATAATTAATATTATAATTAATAATTAAAAGTACTGTTAAAAGAATTATATATATATATATATATATATATATATATATATATTTTATTACAATTTTATCAATATATTATATTTTTTATTATGTAATATGTACATTATAAAAATTTTATGTAATATCTATAATAAATATATATGAAACAATATATTCACAATATTTTCTAAGATATGCATTTATAAGATAATAAATATATGAAAATGAAAATAAATATATAAAAATATATGAAATATAACAGTATATTTCTTAATATATATACCTTTTAATATACTTTGTAATACTTTAAAATTTCATCATTCATGTATAATCAATATATGTTTTGTATGAAAAAGTGTTTGATAATAAGAATATTATGTATATTTGCAATACAAACGACTTTTCCTGAATTAATTACTTAGGGATATTTTTTGTGAACTATACGAGAATTATATTTAATTACTAAATTAAATAATAATTTATTAAATCGTACACATATGTAAAAACTATGTCATAATAATAATATGAACAGGTTGAAAAAATTGAAGCAAGAATAGCATTTATAAAGAGCTGAAATTATTTAACGTTTTAAAAACTACTTACACTCTTTCATTTTCTTCATCTATGTAAATTGTAAATCCTCCATCTTCAGTTAAAAGACCGGAAAATTTCACATTCAGAGTATAATTTCCTGACAATAAATTATATGGAAAAGAAATTGTGGTTATATAGGTTTCAGTGTCATGGATAATTTCCTTCGGTCTACGGGCAAAAATTTTTTCTTTGCTTTCTTTAGATATTTTTTGTGTATTGTTTGTTACCGTAATTTTAGTTATCGACAAATTTTCTGTATAAAAATCTATCTCTTGTGTTTCGTGAGGAATATAAATGTTGACATTGTATTCGCCGTGGAAGATACTAGCATTGCTATTTAGTACAAAATAGATATCATAATGTCGCGATTGTGCTTCAATAAAAGGAGCTGCCGCGACAATAAATATTAGACTATAACTTAATATTTTTAGGAATGCCATATCACTCTTTTTCTTTCGCTCATTCACCTTAAATATAAGCATATCTAAATCTCAACAGAATTGAAGTATTTTCTTCTTGAAATAAAAAAAACAAGTAAAATAATACATGTGCATATACAAGTACAATATATAGAGAGTGACCCATTTTAAAGTTTCCAATAAAATATCTTTTTAGGAAAGCATTTTAGGAAAAAATGTTTCAGACAAAAATTGTAAGGTTTTAAAATTTCTATTGAACGATTATATCCGTTTGACCTTGAGGGGATTAAAATCATATGGAATTCAACTTTGTTTTCTTACACGGAACTCCCTACTTTTTATTGTATTCTTGTAATTTATCTCGACGGCTTTCCAAAACATTATAAAAAAGTATTTTTTGTTAAGTACTTTTCGAGTTATGAGACTTGAAATAATTTCCTATTTTTATATGAACCGTAAAATATATCTAGTAAAATATTCATTTTTCGATTAACTTAACTCAATATTTTTACGTAGAAAATAAAATAATGTAAGAAATTAATTAGTGTTAAGAATGCACATAGTTATTTTTAAGAAAAAGTATTTGTTAATTGCAAATTACATATTTTATTTTACTTTCCTGAGGAAAGTCTAGTGGAAACTTTAATATAGGATCTGCATATTATATATATATATATATATATATATATATATATATATATAAAATAAAAAATTCGCTGTAATTATTGCTTTTATGACGTAAAAAAGATAGAGAAAGTATGTAAAAAACATTTATTATAAAAATATAAATATAAAATATAATAAAATATAATATGTAATAAATTACATCATTTTTTTATTAATAATATATATCGAAGGGTGAAAGAATTTTAATGTTTCAATACATTATATATTTTAGTAAACATAAAATATATTAATTTGTTTAAGTTTTATCACGCTTATACATTTAATAAAGAATCCTTTATGAAACGTTTTATTTTAAATTATATTGATTTTTATTTAAAAAATTATATAATAATATACAGTTAGCTAAAATTCTGTCCCTTTAATAATTTTAAAGAAGGCAGATATTTTTAATACATAGATTTATATTTATTATAATTGTACTTTAAAATTATTTAAATTGTCTTCAACGTACATAATGTATATTTATTTTTGAAAGCGGTTATGTTGGTATTTTGTTTTTATAACTTACCTTTCTATATAGTTGTCTGCAGATTAGAAATGAATTTCTTGATAATAATACAGTAGTTAGCTTATTCTTATCATATTACTAAAATCGACAAAAATTATATATCTATTTGACCTTCATGTTTTGAAAAACTACCGAAAGGTAACAACGTTCGATCTGAAATCGTAATAAATATGTATATATCATTAAAATAACTTTTAAAATAATGTGAAATCAGCGACTTATTTGCAATAAACAATAAAGTATGAATATTGAATTAAATTGTCTCTCGTATTATATATTTGATTTTTAAATAATTACTTTGGAAAACGTTACAAAGCAATCGAAAAATTGTATTTCATACTTTTATTTTCTTTCTTCTGAGCAAACCATTTATCTCCACTTGTATCGTATAATTTATTGGCTAAATGTTGTAGACTTTCTTATATTACATATTTAAAATTAATACATTTTCTTCTTTTATCATATAAATAGAACTAAAGAGATTTCGAGAGAGGAACGGAAATGAATTTCGCAGTATTATATAATATATCGTGTAATATATGTTATATAATGCCTTTTTTGTAAGTGTTACACATTAATGATAAAATATCATCAATAAATAAGATGTGCAAGAAATCATTTAGATAATCAGTTTTCAAATTTATAGTTTAAATGTACAAGTTTTGACACATTATGTATTTTATACAAGTTTTTATATCACATAGCTATGGCGATCAATTTTCTTTGATTACTGCTATTATTACGTATAAAAAAGGAAATATAAAAAGTATATAAAATATATAATATTTTACTAAAACAATTTACCTTTTAAGATAAAAGAATTATAATATTTCAGCAATATTTCAGAAAATGCAATGTATTAATTTAATTTGATTAGATTTAATCACATTGACATAATTTAATAAAAAAATTTCTTTATTAGATGCTTAATTTTAAATTGAATTTTATGATAACGACAATTTTGAAAGAAACAATCGTCTCTGAAGAAAAATACTATATTTGTTATGATTGTGTGTTAAATTTATTTAATTTTTCTTAAAGCGATTATAACTTACCTCGTATATTATGATGTCAGCTGATCAGAATTTAGTTTTTTGAAAGATAATAATGAAATATATTATAATTAACTATTTATTTTTATAAATTATTAATATCGAGAGTATATCTATATTAACATGATATCTTTCTTGCCGCTCTGAGATACTACCGAAAAATGTTCGACAAACGATATCATAATAAGTATGTTATGGAAACAACCTTGAAAATCTCAAAATAATATAAAATCAAAAAATTAATACGTGTCTTACCAGTCAATAAACACAATAAAATGCCACATGATTAAATCAACTCTCTTACTCTACATATTTAATTTTTAAAATACGTTTTAGGACAATTAAAAAGTTTTATATTCTCTGTATATTTTTATATTCTTTTTATTCTTTTTATATTATCAAAATAATATTGAAAAATTCTTATTTTATTTTCAAGCTTGAAGTCTGCACTTTAAGAAATATTTGTAAAATTTTAAATGTAATCCTCCGCTGCTCCCGCTTCTTTTCCAAAAATAATTTAGTTTAATAATACATATTTTTTCGTGACTATGTTATAATTATTACATAATAGATTAATAATAAATATATAATACATTTTTCTTTTAATATACGTTGAAATATAAACAAGATGCATCAATAAAATACACAATATAATAAAAATCTCTTATAGAAACCCAGCGAAAGGAGTTAAGTTCTCTAAAGTGAAAATGAAACCGATGGAATATTTTATCGGAGTATACATAGAAAATTCAACTAAGATAATTATGAATAAAAATCTTCTCTGGAAAAGAATGACATTCTGGGATAAGAACGCATCAAATAAAGTTTCGTGGAGCGGATTAAAGGAATTTTAAGGAGGAGTTGTAATTTTCAATCTCATTAATCGCATACATTTTCAGATATAAGTAGTGCGGGAAAATCTTTCAGTGATTGTAAGAACACTAGAGTACTGAGATCTCATATGAAATCTTAAGAACTGATTTTTAAAATATATTTTTAAATTTCTTTTTATTGGAATATTCGTGATTTTAATTAAAACTTTATAAACTACTTATAAATCTTATTATAAAATTTTGTAACAAAATTTATTTTCAATACATGTTTCTCAAGACATGAAATTACATAATATTTTTGCAGAGTTTATTTTATTTTTTAAACTTAAATTTTTTTATAAACATTATTAACAATACATATTTTTATCATAGATAAAGTAAGATATATACGTAATTTTTATAATCTTTTATTAAATAATTAAAAATAATTGCAAAATAAGTACATGCTTTAGTACGATTAATTTTTAGAATAATAATATTACAATTTCTTCAATATTACAATTTTTCTGTTAATTTCTCCGCTTGTATCGCAATTTAATGATCGGCATATATAAATACTTGTAATATATTGATTGTCTTTAATATACTAATTGTCTAACAATTTTCTTTTTTATAATAAAAGAAATACATCTTAATAGAATAAAAAAATAAATCTCTAAAAAGAAACAAATTTCATAAAACTTTATGTTATATTTTTGTCAGTATTGCATGAACACACACTAAAATAATATATCTATAACGAATAGAAGGAAGATGCAATAATTATAGATAATTTATTCTCTTGTGTTCATCCAACTATATTACAAGTTTAGATACATAAACACACACATATATATACTATATCTAATTAATAATTAATAATAATTATATCAATTCGAATAATATACTAAACGTGTGACATTTGATTTTTTGTTAATTTTAATATAACCTTAATTGTTAATTCGTTTTCTATTAGAGATATCAAATTACATATTTTAAATATTTGGCACATACATTATATATGATGATACATTACTGATATCTTGCGTACTGCAAGAACGATAAATTTCTGACATCAACATAGAATTTTAAAACCCTTAGATCTTTTAATTAAGAGAATAAGTCGCTTTTTAATATTAAAAAGTCTTTCTATCAACAAAAAAGGATTAAAATATGTAATTTTTTGCAATTTTTTTTTGAATAAAAATCAGTATCATCTGTATTGAAGTTAATTTGACAACAAAACTTTATTCTTAAAACTCTATTCTTAAAACTCTATTCTTAAACTCTAAATTCAACAATGAAATATTAAATCCAAATTGATTTGTTAAATCTAATTTACAGAACTTCTGATATTTTATTTAAACTATTTATTTAACATTTGATTCTAATTTATATATTACCCGCTTATTTACTTTTTTACTCTTTTCTTATTCTTGAGTTATTGTAATTATTATACAAAATTGTTAGGTATTCATTTTTATGACAACTGCGCTACTATAGTTGTAGATATAACTGTCCTTTTCTGTTTTCCTAATTCTTTTTTTGTACATTGCGTCACAGGAGTAATTTATTCTCTATCTTTTGTATTATTCAATTGAAACCATTATGTTATTTTTGTCGCAACGATTATTTGACGCCCATTCAATATACTGTACTGCATATTATTTTTTATTCGTCGAGTAGAATAAAGTTACATCTACCAACACGTTCTGTCTCATACTGTGTTCTATAAAAATAATTATCATTAAGCATTAACTCTTTGGATGTATGAATTAATATCTTAAGAATAAAATTTTTATAAAATTTGTATAATCATTATAAAATATTTCATATGTGCATTACATAATATAATTCATCTTGAAGGAAATATTCTTTTTTAATTATGGCACACAAGTAGTACTTTAAGAAATAGAAAAATCGTAAGAAAAACCGCGTAAAAAACTCGCAAAAGAAAAAAGACATTATTTTTAACCAAAATGACTAAATGAAAATACAAGAACTATTCATATTTTAAAAGTAAATATGTGCATACATTACATTTAGCTATTTTTTCCTGATTTAATTAATTAATCAGTCAAGTGCTCTAAAAATATCATCAAAGTCTTTTATAAGATATCGATATTCGTACAGTTGAGTCTTTATTTGATCCCAACGTAATCCTAGCTTGTGGTTTACATGTTCTATCATAATATCCATATGCTTTTTTCTAAATAAACAGTATTTGTTTATCTGAAACAGATTATTTTAACATTTATTTTCAAAAGTAATTACTTTTCGTATTATAAAATTTTACCACATTTTCTAGTTATTAGGATAATTAAGATAGTAATAAAGATAAATAAGCTTAATATAATAAGAAATTAATAATTAAATATATCTAAGCTTATATAAAATTTACCTCATCACCATATTGATCACGATCATAATTATTCATAGACGGTGATGGATATTTCAGAAGATACGGGATTTTATACTTTATGTACTCTTTTATCTAAAACAAATTTTCGTTTTAGATTAACATGTAAATAGTAATTCTATATTCTACCTTCTATTTTATAATAAAGTAGAATTTGATATGATATAATTTGTCTTTAGCGTAATTATGCAACGAAACGTCTGTCTGAAGAAACTTTAGACTAATATAAGAAAAGATCAAGAAGTTAAATTAAAAAGCTTTCACATATAGTGTTCTGCAATAGATACATTTTTGTATAATAGATCATTTAATAGAATATAATCCCCTCTAATTTCCACATATTATTATGTGTAATTATTATTAACTTTCACAAGAAGCCATTAGAAATAACTTTATATACGGCTTCCGAATTTATATTGAATTAAAGAAAAATAAACTGTAATTAACAAAAATAATACAATAGAAATACAATAAAAAGTTTTATAATTTATGTATAAATATCCTAATGTTGTCCAATAATCAACAGTTTCTAATACATATATCATAGAACAGATAAGTCTAAATTGTGTTCAGACATACGGTATATATATTGATAATTGATATTCAAAAGAAGAGATTAATGAACAATTATATTTGTATACATGTACATTTGTATATATAAACCTACATATATGTTTATAAAATTTACCTTGTCAATTTGTTGCTTAGAATGTACATGGTTAATGATGATAGTTAATATTGGAATTACATCGATTTGTCTATAAGAATGAAACAACAACTTTATATAAATTATTTAGAAAACAGAAAAAATCGAGTAACAATTGTACAATTGTTATATGTTTTTATAAAAGTAATATTATTACATGGGTTTTATGTTTTCCAAATTGTATAATATGAAATCAAATACATCGATATTCTTTGCATGTCTCGCAATAATAGAACATAAACTGTTTGTATGATCGAAATCTGTGATTACTTTTGCCTGAGCAGCGTCCAATGTCATTAGCTCTATATACTTGACAATGACCGAGGAATTTTTAGAGCAAGTTAAAAATTTTAAAACACTATAATCTGATTCTTCCAAATATATATTAAACACTCGCATCCAAGTATCGTCACTCGTTGACTTCAAACCATTGCAGAATATCCATTCTTTCCATCCCGGCCAAATTCTGATATTAAGAATGAAATAAAAATAGAAAATTAATGAAGTAATAATAGAATATTAAAATTTAAGAAATAAAAATAGATTGTTAAAATTCGTAATTCTATCTTTTGATCACATAAATTATCAAACATTTCACTAAATACAAAAAAATATATCTATAAAATGAACGTAATTGAAAAATAATTGCAAAGAAAAATTACTTAGTGCGGTTGGTATAAGTCGAGAGATATTGGTTTAATTCATTTTTAGCTGTTAACAAGCAATTATCATGATTCGTAGTGCACAACCATCTTGCAGCCTCTTGCTTCAAACATTTAGTGAAAACGTTCTCCTGGCTCAATCTATCTGATTGAAAATTGGGATATTTCATTTTCCACATAATCGTATTCAATGATGTCATTATTTCTGTCTACAAATTGTTAAAAAATGTATAAGAATTTATATATTTATACATTTATTTATATGTTATAGAAGAATTGATAAAGTTTGTGCATATACACCTATTTTAAAAGCTATAAATATATATGTATCCAAATAATATAATTTCTAATATTGTATTATCTAATATCAAATTATTATGAATTCTTCTTAATACTAAACAATATATACACACACATATATATATATATATATATATATATATATAATAAGTTATAATAAGTTATAAGTTAAAGTTATAATAATATATATATAATAAGATAAAATATAGATGAATATGCACAATGTTTAACTCTCCAAAGTGAAACTTCCGCTTTTAAATTTTCGTATTATCATTTGTATATATATAAATATATATATATATATATATATATATATACATATATATATATAAATTATTTAATATAAAACATTTTTTTACTCACACAAACTAATATTATTTATACCTTTATAAGTGAATCTTTTGAAAATGCAAAGAAACCTGATATATATTCCAAGTTTTTGAACATAGGATACCATGCGATATAATCTATATCTCGCCATAGATAGCGAGAAATATTGAAGAATATAGTAGAATTTAGTTGACCTGTCATCATGAAGTGAAATGTGTCGTCGATGATTTTAGCACGATCGAGAACATGTATTTTTCTAAAAGTATTGGAGTTCAGATATTTCGAAAGTCTATTCCAATTCTCGGCATCATAATTGACGCGATAGCATCCTGTTTGAAAAATAAATTCTGAATTAAATTAAATTTTTTATTTTAATTTTATTTAATTAAATTTATCAAGTAATTATTTGAAATCTTTGTCTTCTTATATTCGAAGCATTTGAAAAATATATTAAAAATTGTGTATTAAAAATTGTGATTATTATAAGAAGCAAATTGTGAATTGTCAATATTAAATTATATCACTCTGATAAATCAATTTACAGAGCAATGTAAAGAGAGTTATGTCAACCAAAATTTATTTTATTATTTATATTACATTCATAATCAATGATAATAAAATTATACTACATACATTCGTTGCGTCTAACATTTTAATGTATGTACAATTCTTAGATCGTGCATAAAATTTTATTATAATAACAATAGACTATGTAGACATAATTTAACAAATATAAATAACCAGGTAAAAAAATTGAAACTTGAGGCATATGTATGTGTAGTAAATTACGTATTATTAATATTAAATAACTATTGTAATTCAATCATTATAATTAAATTATTAGATATTAAATAATTTCAACCATTGTTGGATACTTAAGAAAAATGTTCTCTAACTAATATTTAAAAAATTTGCTATAGATTGAATTATATAGAGGATATTCCATTTTAACTTTTACACAATAACTCGAAAACAGGCGTTTTGAAAAGAATGTTTCAAATCAAAGTTGTAGAGTAAGGAGAGAAAAAAAAGATAGGAATATCAGTTGATCTTGTAGATATCAAAGACAACCTAGTTGTTTTTAAATTTAACTACTCTACTTTGTCTATATAAATCAATTTCTCACAATATTCCTCGCAAAAAATTATAAGGATAAAATAGCCAAAAATTGAATAGTTTACGAGATAATTTATACCTTGAGTTGACAAAATTTTACATAAACCATAAAATATCTCTCAAGTAATATTTACTTTTCGATTATCTTATTGTAACACTTTTATACACAGAGAATGAGAGGAAACAATTGATATAAAGAAAACACGTAATTATTTTTAAGAAAAAGTCTGAATTTGCTACGAGCAGTTATATATGTAAAAGTATAATAAATTTATCGATTAATATTTACTCTTTTGTTGAAAATTGGCCAATACCCAGTCATTCTTGTTTATGAAATATATATTTAATATATGGTGCGTACTATATGGTGCTATCCACACTTCCATAGGCAATAATCTCTCCGAATTGGAATACGTTTGTGTAACATACGTTTGTGTAACAATACTCACAAATATCCATGTATCCATGTCAAAATTTACAGATATATTCAAATTATTATTATTATAATTTCTTTCCACATTAACCACAGGGTAATGTTTTAGTTGTGCCCAACTAGCTATTCTCTCCTTTACATTGTATTTGATTTCGTAAGATGATTCTTCCGCAGCAGTTTGCATAACGTCCCAGAAAACATTAATACCTGTGGCGCTAAAAATCCAAATACGAATTATAAGGAAAGATGAAGAAAATATAAAGGAAGATATATTAAGAAAAATATTGAAAAGCAATTGAAATGTTTAAAGAACAAAATAAAATTGGAAAAGCAGTAGTGACAAAGAAATGTAAATTATATCAAACAGAACTGGAATAATAAAAAATTATATATTAATATAATTATATATATATATATATATATATATATATATTATATATATATATATATGAATGGTAAATGGCAGAATATAATGAATAGAATAGTAATTAAAAAGATAAATGTATTACAGAAAAGAAATAAAAAGAATTAAGAGATATAAGAAGAGAAGATTTAAAAAAGACAAGAATAAAATACGCAGACGTATAACGAAAAAAGTTAGAGAAAATTAGAAGAAGAAAAAAATTAAAATAATAATAAGTACGAACACAAAATCGAATTTAAAAATTAACAAGAGAAAAATTAACAAGTCTTAAAATTACTAATAAAAATCAAGTATAAGTAAAATTATATTAGAAGACATAGAAAAGAATAAAATCATAGAAGAGAAAATCGATAAGTAAACAAAAATAAATTTCAAAACTGAAAAATAAAACAAAAAATAATTAAAAATGTAAGTAAAATTAAAACATTTATTTAAAAATATGCATTTAAATTTATGATATAATAATATTGTAATCTATATATTATTACTCACCGATTTATATGTTTAAGTATATTTGAATATATTTCGATAGCTTTCCAGAACACATCTTCGGGGAGTATTGTTTGCAGTGTGCGGAACATAATAGTTGCTATGAAAATTGACATTAATAAAATAAAAATGTAGTATGTATAAAATAAATTTGCTATACCTCATTTGGATATATAAATTCATGAACATAACTGTTAACTTTTATATAAATAAAGTTAACTTTAATTTTATTTTTCTAATAAACGTTAATATTTACGTAAACAATAATACAATTAAATCATAACTAAATTATTATTTTTTATTATAATGTTTTTTATATGTAGAATTAAAGAATTTATCGACAATGAACTATTTGCTTGTTTATACCCTTGATGTAACGAGGAATTTCAAAAGAGCTATTGAATCTTGATTCATTTGTGAGCGGCCATGTGTTCTTAGTGCTCCAATGAAGAACATCATGTTGCATTTGAACCACAAAGAAATCTCGTATCCCAAAATACGGAAGTGTCTGAAAAAGATTTTAATATAATTAAATAAATATTTAAAGAAGTGCTAACACATTAGCAACATACATTAAAACTATTACAATATATTTAAAAAAAATTACACATATTCGTTTATTGAATACTTTTTATTAAGTTTAAAAAATATATTCAAGTATTTAATTATATTCAATGATATCATTTCAATTATATATTTTTAAAGTTATTTAAAAAAAAGAAATATATATATATATATATATATATATATATATGTATAAATTATAATATTTTAATTTAATGTTGCTTATGTGGTAAGTTTTGACTGATTATCGTTACGACAATCTAAATATTTTAAAATTCCAATTATTTGAGTGTGATTGAAACAATTAACGCTAAATATAAAATAACCTCATTGGTGGCGTAAATTCCAAAGAACATAGCAAAACCTTTGCTTAACCAGAATTGCCACTCATATGGATTGATTCCATTATAAAACCATTCGTGTACCACCTTATATCCTATTACCCGCGCTATTTCAATTTTGCGCATCTTATCATCTGTTTCTTGATTAAAGATAATATCTTCTTCTCTAAAAATAGTTCAGAAATATTACAATAAAATAAGAGAAAGAATTCCTGTTATAAATATGAAAATTAGTTATACCACAGATAAATTAAATAATTAAATTATAAATATATAAATTAAATAAAAAATATAATTGCTTTAAACAAGAAATAATATATTATATATGTTTATTTACAAACACATACACACACATATACGAAAATTATTCTACATGTAATTATGTTAAATTATGATACATTAGTATTATTTATTGAAATACTATAAATATAAAAATATACATATCGTTTTGAATTCTATAATAACGAATAGCGAGAAAAAATATTATTTTTTCATATATATTGACTTTTCTCTTTAAATATATTTACCTATAACAAAATATATTTACCTATAAAGAACGGATCCCAACATTATTTCTTCTGCGTCGAACAACCCCGGAATTGCGATGTGATTTTCTTCCGGAGTTTTCCTGATATACGGCAATTCCTTCAAGAACTGCGTAATATTTTTAACAAGTGAGTATGCAAATTGCACATGTGGTTTTATTTCTGCTCTGCACAACAATCTGAAACTCTGATTTGTTTCTGAAGTAAAATGAAACAAACCCGCTACTATGAAATAAACGGGAATTATAGGCGTAGGTTTGAAGCGTGTCCATTGCATATTATTTTCATCCATATTTACTTCTTGGACGGGCATATTTGATAAAGCCGTGTAGTTTGTATGATGCTTTATAGAAATGTTATAACTAGCATATAGAGTATCCTTCAAAAATGGAAATAATTTTCGAGTCGCAAATTTATAATAATGCGTTGCAGTCAACCACCTATATATAACAGTATATTTTAATTAAAAAGTTTTATATAACAATATATTTTAAATAAAAAGTTTTCAGTTACTACTGAAATATTAGAAATTAAAAGAGGAAGAGAAAAAAATGGAAAATACACAAATGTATATAAAGACTGTTAAGGATACTGTTAAAAAATTAATTATATAATATTTATTATTATATATATAATATATATATATATATATATATAATATTATATTACAATTTGACTATTATGCTATATTTTTATTTAATATACACGTACGTCATAAAAAATATTTGTAATATCTATAATAAATCTACATAAAATAATATATTCATAATATTTTCTAAAATATGCACTTATATAAGATAATAAATATGTGAAGATGATAATATATAACAGTATTTTTAATAATTAAGATTTCATTATCTATATATAAACAATATCTGTCTTGTAATAAAAAGTTTTTGATAATAGGAATATTACTTCCAATGCAAAAGATTTTTCCTGATTTAATTACTTATGGAGAAATTTTTTGTGAATTATAAGAGAACTATGTTTGAATTGTAATTTATTGAATCATATGATATATGTTAAACTATGTCAATATAGTATAATAATAATAATGATACGAATAGTTTGCAAAAATTGAAGCAAGAATGATATTTATAGAAGTTATTTAACGCTTTAAAAACTACTCACACTCTATCATTTTGTTTATTCATGTAAATTCTAAATCCTCCATCTTCAGCTATAAGACCGGAAAATGTTATATTCAGAGTGTAATATCCTGGTAATAAATCATACGGAAAAAAAATGGTAGTTACATGCGTTTCACTGTTATAGATAAATTTTTTCGGCCTATAGACAAAAACTTCTTCTTCATTTTTCTTAGACTTCCACTTTTCTGTTTGTGTATTGTTTGTTAGCACAATTCTAATGATCGCCAAATTTTCACTATATAAGTATACATTTTGTGTTTTATGAGGAATATAAATGCGAACATTATATTCGCCGTAGAAGATATCGTTATTGACGTATAATTGAAAATAGATGTTATAATGTTGCATTATATCCAGTTGCGGTGGTATGGACAACGATGTATCATTAAGAGGAGCCGCCGGCACCGCGACAATAAATATTAGACTGCAACTTAATACTTTTAGGAGTGCCATGTCGCTCTTTCTCTCTCTCTCTCTCTCATTCGTCTTAAATATCTAATTAATTATCTTTTCTTCTTGAAAAAAGTGACAAATAAAATAATATATTTGTATATATATATATATATATATATATATATATATATATATAATAAAAAATTTGCTTCAATTATTGCTTTTTTTATGTATAAAAATAATATAGAAAATGAATAAAAAATATCACATCATTTTTTATTAAAGTATAATCTTAGGATAAAAGAATTATAATCTTGCAATATATGTATATTTTAGTGAATAAATTAACCCTTTGCACTCCAGCTAATTTTATTATATGACTTACCAGCAACTCCAAGGCATTTTTGATACCTTTGGTGGACGTTAAAAAATTATATATCAAATAAAAATTATTATCAAATGAATATAAAATTCTACTTTACTATTATTATTGCTTCTATGAGTATTATAAATAATTTCACTATAATCAACTACAAAACAAATAATATAAATACTTTTTTATTATAAAATATATGTCGCCTTAGCGGCCCCTCTAATGTTGCAATACAAAGTATATGTTGCCGTAGTCGATGGAGTACAAAGAATCAATTTAATTAAGTTTTATCACGCTTAATAAAGAACTTTTAACACATTTTATGAAGAACTTTTTTATTAAACGTTTAATTTTAAATTAGATTTTAATTTAATTTTAAATTAGGGTATGTGATTTTTATTTCATTAATAATATAATATACGCTTCAAATTAAAATTATGTCCTCATAATAATTTCGAAAAAGGCAGCCATTTTTGACCAAAAAAATTATACATATTATGTTTCTACATTAAAATTATTTAAATTGTCCATTCGATGTACATAACATGTACATTTTATTTATTTTTAAAAACGACTATGTAGGTATTTTATTTTTGTAACAACTCACCTCTCGTATATAGTTGTCTGCAGATCAGAATTTACTTTTTGAATAATAATTAAGCGTAGTTGTTGTATTTTAAAGCTCGTTGTTACGATATATGATTAATGTCGACAAAAACTGTATCTACATATACTTGATCTTCATGTTCTGAGAAACTTCCGAAAAATGACAATGTTCGATATCTGAAATCATAATAAATATGTCATTAAAACAACTTTTAAAATCAAAATAATGTAAAATTAGGTTTAATAAGTGTCTTATTTATCAATGAGTAATAAAGTGTGAATATTTGATTAAATTAACTCGCGCGTTTTATATTTGATTTTAAAGCAATTATTTTTGGAAAACGTTTTAAAGCCATCGAAAAATTGTATTTCATATTTTCATTTTCTTTCTTCTATGTAAATAATTCATCTCTATTTCTATCTTAATTTATTAACATGTTGTAGTTTTTTTTTACATTAAAAGTTTAAAATTAATACATTTTCTTCTTTTATAAATAGAATAAAAGACAGGTTTCAAGTAAAGAACACGTCGTTTTTTTGCGTTAAATTAATATTAAAATATTATTAATAATTTCAATGAAAAATGTGCAAAAAGAGATATCGTTTTTAGATAATCAATTTTCAAATTTATCAAGTTTTAACACATTATATATATGGCACAAGTTTTTATATACATAGTTCTAATAAAATTTTTTTTTAATTATTACTATTATTACATATAAAAAAGATCCAATATATAAATAATATTATATAACATTTTATTTTAAAAATCTAGCTTTAGGGGAGAAAAGAATTATAATAATTCCATAATATCATTAAATACAATTTATTAATTTAATTTGATTAGATTTAATTACACACTGACATAATTTAACAAAAATTTCTTTATTAGAGATTTATGATTTTAAGTTAAAGTGAATTTATTTCTAGATAATATATTCATATGCTCTTGTGAAATTAAAGTCTCTTTGCTCTAATATATTTATAAAAATGATTTTGAACGAATTTTGAAAAAACGATCATCTCTGAAGAAAAACACTATATTTGTTATGTTCGTGTTATATTAAAAAAAATATTTTATTAAAATCATTTAAATTGTTCTCAACGTATATAATTCACACACTTTTTTTTAAACGGCTATGTATTCTGTTTTGTTATAACTTACCTTATATATTATGATGCCAGAATTTAGTTCTATATGTTAGATAATAATTAGACATAATTAACTCTTTATTATCCTAAATTTTATTAATATCGAGAATATCTATATTAACTTGATCTTGCTGCTCTGGGATACTATCGAGAGATACCAACATTCGACATATCGACGTTCGCGATATCACAATAAGTATGTAATGGAAACAACCTTGAAAATCAAAATAATATGAAATCAGGTTAATACCAGTGAATAAATACAATAAAATATCAAACACATGTTTAAATCACTCTCTTGTTCGATATATTTAAGTTTAAATTTAAATTTTAGTAATTTTTAAAAAGCATTTTTAGAGCATTAAAAAAATTATATTCTATATTTTTATTCTTTTTCTTATTTTTTGAATAGTCAATCTCTCGACGTTTACAAAATAATTGATTAGATCATCGATTTTAATACTAAATGTGCAAATTTTTGATGTAATAGTACAATTTTAGAATTAATATTGTAATTTTGTATTAAAAGAGCTATAAAAAATAAAATGAATGCCTTTATATGTGCTAAGACAAATTATTCTTATTGAACTGTGTTATTATCGTCGGTAGATAAATGTAAATGATTTAAGGTTGTTTATCATATCGTTTGGTTCAAAACATATAGTTCCAAAAAACCAGCAATTTTTTAAAATGCATTTCTGCATTTATACCAAAATTTTACACAAAACAATATTTCAGATTTAATCAGCATTATATCACAAATATTTCGTTAGTTCAACAAATTCTTGCTCTATTCTATTGTTTGTAATTTTATTAATGATTCAGTCAGTAAAAATAGTTTATATATATATATATATATATATATATATATATATATATATTAAATGAGTGTTGAAACAGCAACTATTCAGAAAAAAAGAATGTAAAATCAATGCAGCTAATCAAATCATTAATAATTTAATGATTTTATCGACCTCAAAGGAGTTCTATATAATATAGAGTTTTGTAAATGTATGATACTTTAAGGAATAAACATATATTAAAATAAAGAAAATATGTAGACATACATATACATGCAATACATATTGTTTCGTTAATTTGAAAATATTACTAAATTGAAATATAAAATCAATCAAACTTTCTAGTATTTTTTTGGATGTACATATTAGATTAAAATATATTTAAATTATATTGTATATTGAAATACTTTTAGTACATTTCCTTTAATCTATAATAAATTTTCTATCGTTGAAGTTTTACTATACAGCTGTCTATAATATTTATATTTATGTAGATGTCAATTTGTTTCAAAATAAAAAACATAAGAAAATTTTTATTAAAATTTAACGAAAAATTTCCTTTATACAATACTCTTCAAGCTTAAATAAACAATTGTATTTTAATTAACGACTATATTATTAATGAAAAGACTATATTATAAATAAAAAGTGTTCGCAAAGACTTCTTATACATACTATTCAGAAATACAGGGTGTTTCTAAATCCATAGGACAAATTTTGTAGATTGGTATTGTTACATGTCACATGTGTACGAATGGTTATCTATCTCACATATGCTTAATGGATTTCAGTTAAAATAGGGATGAAATAGGACGCAGGTCTTTGAAGGATGGAAGACCTTTTTTTTGGCAAAAATTAACTCTCTTGCGAAATTCTACTACCTGCCTTTTTAAACTTGTTCGATTAGATTCCCATATCTTTGACGCCATAATATAAAAGTAAATTTCAATAGTATTTTCAGCGGAGAAATATAGAAAAAATAATTAAAAATTTCTACGACCAATAAATATCATTAATAAATATCATTATATCATTAATAATGATATAATGATATAATAAATATAATTATAATAAATATCAAATTTAGCAAAAAGAATAACACACAGTTATAAGTTAAAGGTTTTATTAATAATTCGATTTTATATGTATTATAAAATAATAATATATTACAGTAAATAGTAAGTGACGCACGCAGAAGATGTACTTACGCTAATTTTCATTATAATTTCAAAATAGCTTTTCACTTTTGCAAAATGTATACATTACTCGGAATCTTTTTATATATTCTTTTATATAAACTGTCTTCGAAATAAAAAAATTATGCTTTACAATATCTAAATATAATATTTTGTAAAGATAATTATATTTTACTTTAATTCTATTCTATTTTACTATATTCATTACTGTAGTCATGAGTTACTGTCGTACGTGCCATAATATATAAAAAAATTAGAATTTATGATAATCATTACAAGTTAAGAAAATAAGAGATTACCTTGTTATAATAAATGTATGTAAAATGTATTTACAATTTCAGTAGAAGATAAATAATTCATTCAAATATTAAAGCTTGTAGAAATTATTGTACTTTTTCGAATTGATTTTAAGCAGTTTGACAAATTTTTACAATCATATAAATAAAAAAGAATGCTATTAGAATCAAAAATACAGTTAATTAATTAGAGAGCAAATGATAAAAATGTAATTATCAGCAAGAAATGAAAATTATTATCATGATTGAAAAAGAAAAAACATTTCTAATCAAATTCTAATCATTTTTAGTAATTCTAATACAAATCCTTCTTAGTAATGAATAAAGAATAAAGAATATAATAACGTACAAAAATGTTAATAAAACATAAAGAGTAAATATAATTCGCTATACAAGTTGAAAAATAAAAATGTAAAATAGACTCGGCAGACGATATGAAAATAATAAATTGACAGAAACTTTGCCGAATCTATACTTAAAACTAAAAGTGTAATGGACATACTAACATACAAAATATATAAATCGAAAAAGAACAAGATATATATCGTTACACATGTCAGGAAATAAAAATGTGAAATATAAATAAATTCGACAGAGATAACGTAAAATAGCAAATTGACAAAAACTATTGAATCTCTGTCGAATTTTTATAAACTTTAATAGTGAAATATTTTTACATACTTTAATACTGATCAAGTTTATCTCTATATTAAAATTTATCTCTGTATTTAAAAATAATCATACATTCGATAGTTTTTTTTGATTAATATTTATTCCATCTATTCTTTTCACTCGTGCTCCATAATTATTATATTCCTTTTAGCAATTTTCTATAAGAAATGTATGTGTATTTCTTTTTCTATAGTAATTACACATTTTTACTGCACATGTAATATTACTTTTTAATTTATATATTTGAACCTGTTGTAAAAATGCTCTATAATTGTAATTCACATAGTTATTTATGCGTTATCGATTTAAAATTGATGTCAAATGATTTAGAGTTTCTCATTTTTTGCCTCGTTTTTCTGTCGTTTACTACACAAATTCTAGATAATATAAACAGACTTAAGAATAAAGTAAAGAATAAAATTAGGACAATCTAATCTTTTTACATATATGTGAAGTAATAAATTTTCTTTCAAACTAAATATTGTATAAAATATTCTTTGCGATCTGACTCAAAAAATCGTTTAACACTAACTATAGATTGATATTATAGTTTATATCACAATTATTTGACGAATAATCGATATGTATGTTTTGAATAATTATTCTCTTAATGATTTTCTATTCTTATAAAAATGTTTTTTATTTTTTTTAATAATATTTTAAAATTTTATTCAAAAAGATAAAAGAACATAAAGAAATTAGAAAATAAAAAATATTCTTATCGGTATAAATTATTCATATATCTTTATATAGAATAAACACACACACACACACATTAAGAAATTAAAATTAATTATTCAAAAACGTATATAAAATCGATGTTAGTAGTCAAATAATTGTGATAAACTATAGTTTAATCTACAATTTATATATATATATACATAGTGTAATAATATTCAGAAACATCATAGTTGAATGCATTTCTGCGCTAAATGTTTCTGAAGATCCGTATGTATATACATGTGTGCGTGCATGTGTATATGCGTGTGTTGATTTCACACTAAATTTTTTTTTAATATTTTAATGATAAGTAGAAAATTTCAGAATTGTTGTAATTTATCAATTATGTGCGCTTTTGTTGTGATTCATAAACTATTCGAATCGACATATTGCTCAAAGAAAAATCTTGCTTTTAATCTTATTCTCACGTTCAATTTTCATGAATTTTTTTATTTAGTACTGAATCTTTTAATGTTTAATTGATTTTTCATAAATTCTCAATTTTTTAAGGCATATACTTCTCTAAATATGCTTATTAAAAAAAACTTTTTTTAGATAGATATTTTTTATTGTCGTTTATTAATTTATTGTAGGCAAACAATAAAAATTAAAAAAAAAAGAATGTATTGGTTTAAATAGTTAAAAATAATTGACTTTAGATAAGCAAAATTTCTTAATCTTTGTAGATTCCTTATTTCTGTAAATATTTTGACAGAATTTTTCTTCAAAGTTTAATTTTAAAATCATAAAAAAGTATAAGAAAACTAAATCAATTTTTTTCAAAATTTCACATTACAATATTACATTTAATATATGCTTTGTAATTTATGATTTATGTATGTCACATAAACTTATCGTATAATATCATATAATAACGTATTAAGAAATAAGTAAGTTAAGAAATAAGTAACTTATCGTATAATATCGTATAATAACGTATTAAGAAATAAGTAAGTTTTTTATATAAACGATGTCCAGATAGTTAACGTATATCTTGAGGCTTAAGTGCATAAATGTATATTACATTATATATATCGTGATAGTTGGAATCAATAAAATATGGATTATTGTGACTCATATGATCAATCTTTTTTTCTATTGTATTAAACGAATTTGTAAGTTCACTTTTGAGAGCCTTTTGCTGCTCAGATGACAACTCATTTACAAAAGAAAGGCCGTAAAATATATACGCTATCAAAAAAATAATAATTTTCAAATATTATTATGTATTATATAAAAAAATAAATCGTATAATAATAAGTTAAATTATTGATATAATTTATATCTTCTTTAAATTATTTTATAAAAAAAATTTGATCCTTTCCTACAGGATTTCAACATTCATGATCGATATACGTATATTTAAGAGTAATAATTACTTACGTATAAGATAATTTGACTTATATTTCATATTTGACTCAAATTGAATGTGTTTTATCTTAAATCCGAGACGTCTAAGTAATCCGTCTATTTTTCTTTCAAAATCAGGAAATGGGAAAACATATTCCTTTATATAAATGAAAAAATAATAATTAAAAATATGTAATAAAAAACATATAAAATAACATATTTAAAATATTGATACACATCTATACCTTAAAATATGAGCCAAAAATTGAATGATTCACCATATGTTCATATAGTGTAAACACATCATGAGATGTAATCATAGATAAATGGAAACCACCACCAGGTTTGAGTATATTAAAAATATTTTTAAACTCTTGTCTGTTGTATAAAGAAAAAAATACACAATTAATTGCTATTTTTCTTTTCAATATTTTTACTACCTTTTCTGCTATTTCTTAGCCAACATTTATATATAAAATTATAATAAAATATTTTAAAGATAAATAACTTAATTTATTTTATCTGATTCTGATACTTTATTAAAATAAAATTAGATTTAAACAAGTTTTATAATAAATAAATATATATACGAGGATCTAAATAAATCTATATACAAAGGTCTAAATAAATCTATATACAAAGGTCTAAATAAATATATATACGAGTTTGATAAGTTTGATAAAAAAAAAATAAATGAAACACATTTTTTTTTTTTTTTTTTTTTTTGAAAAATCTAAGTTATTCCTCTCCATCGAGATCTATACATTTGGTCCAACAAATTTCCAATTTTTTAACCATCAGAAAAATAGGCTGTCTCAAAGCTTGCAAAATACGGCGATGATCTCCTTATTCGATGATAATTTCTTTCCACCGAACCAGATTTTAAAATTTGAAAACAGGAAGTCGCACGGAACCAAATCCAGAGAATAAGGTGGATGAAGAATTAATTCGAAATCCAATTCGTGTAATTTTACCAATTTTTGTTTTTTTCCATTTTTGTAACAACAGCCAAATCACTCGCTTCGAATGACTATCGAACGTAAACAACGCGTTACTTTTGTTTAAAATTTTTTTTGGAGATGCATAAGAAAGGGAACTTTCCAAATACGGCACCAAGTGGACTGTGTCATTAAGTAGACTGTTATCTTAATTAACTTATCACATGACTCACGTATGTATATATATAAATGTTGATTGACAAATAGCAGAACAAGCAATGAAAATATGTAGAAAAAGTGTATAAAAATATTATTTATTTAAAGCAATTTTTGTGAAACACTTGATAGAATTGATCTTTGTTCTCCTTTTTCTCTCTCTTTCCGCAATAAAAATTTCATTTGTACTTGCTCAATATTATTATTACGAGAATGCAGAGTGGGAAATGAGAATATGTGATCATATTGGGCGATATAATTGTGAGGCAAATTTTTCGTTTGAATATCAAAAGTCTCAAAGTCGATTCTTTCGTCAGTTTTATATTTTGCTCTTGCATGATCGATCATTTTTTCCAAACTATCAACACCTGCAAATCATACTCGATATTTGAATTAAGAAATGTCATTATATATATTATTACACATATATTATTACACATATTTTTTTATAATTTATTACATTCTTACCTAATAATGTCGAGTTCGGATGAAGTTCTGGTAAGAGAAAGTGTCTTGTTGTATATCCAAAAGCACAATTAATATCCATGCATTTTTTAGGTGGCCATAAATTATCACGTCTTAAATCCCAAGTGTCGGTAAACTGACTAACATTTACTTCCTTCAAAGTCTGTTCTGAGTTGAAATCCATAATTTTTAGAGAATAAAGGTAACGGTAAGGCACTAAAATATTATTATTATTTTCTTCTTGGATTTCTGTTAACAACTTCCCTGAATTTCGTTCGATCAAAGTATCACGTTGAGAAATATAAGAGAAATTAAAATATGATAAATCAAAATATTCCAATAATACAGTGCTATGTATAGATAGAACGACTGGCATAGCCCGAATGCTAGCAACGTACAAAAAGAATGCAGAGCCTGAAAGATATATGACATCCCCTCTTAGTTTAACATCTGACAAAGAAACTGAAATCAGCTATTGTATTTGTGGGCCCAAGATTTCTGCGAAATATACTCAAATCCTCCTAAAATATCTTTCAAAAAGAAAAGGATCAACAAAGGATCCACTATTAAAAATTTTTAAATATTAATAATTTTAAGATTTTGTATAATATTACAATATGTAAATTTCTCTTGTCAAATGGACAGAAATGTTTAATAAAAATTGTTTCTCTCGATACTTTCTATTGTCAGTTCTATTGTCAATGTGTGTGTATGTACACAATGGATACACAAAAGTCAAAGAGAAAAGAAAATTTGTCCTTTCATTTCGTTATGGCAGTGCCTGAAATTTTTTGTGTATATGAAATGATGAAACCTCTCTTGAGAGATTATTTTTTCACAAATAAATATCATAAATAGTAAAATGAGCCTTATAAACTTTAAAATATAATTTTAAAAAACGCATTATTGCCACGTTTAATACAGAATAACAGATCGAATTTTATCAAAGTCTCCCTAATAAATCTAATCTAATCGATGTAATAGTAGAATTTAATAAGATTTATATAATGTAAACAATTGTGATTAAAATAGCCATTAATAAAGCTATCGATCGTCTTTTAAACTATAAAAGAAAATATTTGCACTACTAGCGCATTTTACGCAGGCTATTGAAAACAATATTTAAAGATGTGGAAAAATAGACAAAGTTTTGATGATAAGTCAACGGTTAAATTATATATAAATATTAAATTGATAATATTAAATTGTAAGATACATCGCGATTTAAAATTCGCGAGAAAACGCGACGAATAAATAAATCAATTATATTCGGAATATCCGATTGCGATATGTATATTGTATATTAACGAAACGATACATCTCGAAATATTTATTTCATGTACATGTATATCATAATAAATAATAATATCTCAGTAATAAATAATAATATCTCAGTAATAAAATAATAACAATACGATTTTCGAACTTAACGATTTTGACGCGCAAATTTTATAGTGCAACGACACTCAAAGAGCAAAATAGTAATGCTCCGTTAAATTGCTTGTCGCTCGCAATCAGTATCGGAAAGTTATAACTATAATAATATTATTAATTAACTTTTATACGAGGCGTTTTTTAAGAAAGTACCGAATTTATTTTTTGAAAAAACACGATATTATATTCAAAATATTTTATTTTCATGGGATTCTACATAAAATCACTTTTCTACATAGTTTCCATTATTATTGACTTATCATAACGGGGCATTAATTTTTGTATTCCTTTGTAGTTCATGTTTTTAGTGTTTACAGAGAACGCTTTCAGGGGACAAAAAATTGTTTTTCAGGGGACAAAAAATTTTTTTAAAAATGAGCCCTCTCAATCTTCTCTCTGACTATTGTACTTTGATTCTCTCTGACTATTGTACTTTGATCAAGTAATTTAATCTTTAAACTTTATTGCACAATTCATTTATTTTGATCTTTTAATATATTTTAATATTTTAAATATTCTGCAATTTATGGTTTGTAAAGATAAAAATTAATAAAATTACACTATTAAATTAATAGAAAATTAATAGAATTACATTATTAATTTTTTAATGAAAGTAATAAGTATAACTGAAAATATTTCACCTTACTTCAAATTGCAAATTGACATAAGACATCTGAAAGTACGTTGTTAAATTAATATTGACATCTTCTTCCATGTCACATAAATAAATAATAACTGTTATATCAAAATCAAAATATTAAGTATTTTAATTCTAAGTCCAAAATGATCATGGATGAAGAAAAGAAAGATAAATTTACGGTCGAAATGGAAGCAAGAATGTACGCGCCTTTAGAGTGGGAGTCACCGGCGATATGCAAAATACAAGATCTTAAAGAAGCGCAGTACGAGGAAGTTCTGCGTCTGATAAAAGTTTAGCAGTATAAACGAAAAAGCCTGAAAAGAGAGAACGTGTTATAAAATAAACACGCGTGATATCTTGACATTAATTAATCAAGTTTTTTATCGTAAACGAAGCAACAACGTTTTTTATTTTTTGCTCTATTTTTTTTTATTTCGGAAAATATTTTTCCGACGAAATCTCAGACTAAAAAAATCGCGTTTATCTTATTTGTTACATGTTTATATTATTAGTAATGGTAAATTAGATTGATTAATCAACCTTGATTAAAAAGACACTATTTTATGCAATGCATAAATAAAACAATATTGCGTCTCTTGCTTTAGCAATAATTCAATTGAATTATATTATAGAAAATAATATAAAAATGAAAATATTCAGTAATTTCCCACAAATATTACGAAAATAAAAGTTAATTTTTATGCAGCATCATTTCTTTCGAGAAGAGCCCATGTGCAAAGCAATATCCTTACTGCAAGATCAGAAATCAGTGAATGTATATCTCGATTTTATAAAAACGTGGATGAAGGATACCACCAGCTTGGTAGCACTCAGCCTGGTATCAGGACGCGTCATCGGAGTCGCCATTACACGAGTTAACAGTGATTCGGATAAATCCGACACGTATAATCGAGTGCAAGTACGTGTTATTATTAAAAAAAAAATAGATAGAATAATGCCTGTTCGAGATAATTAAAAATTCGATATGACTAAAATATCACTATACATTAACACTCATGTATTGTTTTTTATTTTAATATATTGTTATTTTATTTGTATAAGCAAATATCTTACATAAATAGTTATTAAACATATTACAGTTAATATATTAAATAATAATAATAATAATAATAATAATAATAATAATAATAATAATAATAATAATAAATAATAATAAATAATAATGATAAAAAATAATAATAATAATGATAAATAATAATAATAATAATAATGATAATAAAAATAATAATATCTAATATATATATATATATATATATATATATATATATATATATATATAATAAGATACTTGTATATGTTATATATATGTTATATATATAATTATATTATATTAAATTCAATAATATATATAATAATTTTATATATATAAAATGTGTAATATATGTTGAAAATTTTGATTTAGAATTTCGAAGGAAACTTGGAGAAAATTATGAGTTTAATCAGCGCTTTAATGAAACAAGCGGATGCGTACAAAGAGCTCGAGTGTGACGCGTATTTTCGAGTTCATATCCTTTGCGTCCATCCCTCTTATCAGCAGAAGGACATCGGTGCAGCTCTTTTGAACGCTTGCGTGCGCGTCACGTCCACCCTGAATTTAGCGGCTATCGGTGGCGTTTTCACGTCGGGTCGCAGTCAGTCGCTCGCGTTGAAACTGGGTTTGCGCCTCGTCTCGGAAATCCGTTACAGTCGATGGATAGTCGACGACCAGGTTGTATTCGATGGTACCGGCAAAGGGAATTACTCGGCCGCTTTTATGGGAATGCGAGTACCTTCCGAGGAATCGCTTCGCAGATCGTGAAATTAAAGATCCTCGAGTAAGTATCTGGACACAGTTAACCCAGGCCAAAAATGGCGTTCGGATAAAAAGAAAGTGCACTTCGTGTAGCACGTAGCATTTACATAGATTTATTGAGTTTTCATAAAGTTGTTGAAATTTTTAATATTTCTGATTATTTTGGTCAATTTTGATCGAAAACAATCAATAAGATAGTCGAAAAAGGCTCTTATTCCAAAGTAACCTATTTCTGCTATAATTAATAAATAATAATTATATTGTATGATATAACGATTAAATTATGACATTATATTGATGCGATAAAAAATTGTATACTTCCTCTATGAATTCTTGCGAGAAATCTTCTCGTGCGGATAAAGTAAATTTCGTTCGTTTTAATCACATTTCCAGTCTAAGATAATCGTACATCAATTTTAAAAATATATCAATAAGGGGATCCCTCAAGCGTACTTTTTTACCGACAAAATACTGTAATTTTTGGGCATGTGCCATTTTTTATCATCTACATAGAATTAAAAATCCTTTTCTACAGTTGAAGTATAGATGCAAACGGACACGGGAAAGCTGATTATATTCTGAGAAAGAAAAAAAAGTATAAAATTATATATTTATTTATCGACTTCTTAAATCAACATGGCGTCTAAAGCTATCCCCTCATAGACATTAGCCTTGTATAAATGTTTTGTAACTTTTATGCATAAATCAGGACCCAGTTTAACGTATTAAACTCGGATTAACTCAAGTTGTGGAACCGGGCCTAAGAATTCACCATTCAACCATGAGGGATCCCTTTAATTTCAAACAAAGCTTGTCAATAATCTGCTAATTTTTCTACAAGATTATACTCATTCTAACAATTAATATAAATACAATTTCAAAATTAAAATAAAAATTGTCTCAATTAAATAATACCAGAAAAACAAAATTAAAGCGCCTTGTGTCTCGTTTGCTAATTCCTAATTAAATCTGTTTAATGACAGATACTTCTAAAATGACACGCTCATTCTAAAATATCACAAAAATCATTTTTTGTAAACGCGAAACGAGACAGACGTTTATCGATCGCGCGAAAATGCGGGCCGGCCGAGTTTCCCCTCCGCGACAACAGAGCACGCTGGCGTCACGCGAGCGCCGGGCTCGTTCGACGCGCGCGGATCTGCGCGCGCAGTCGACGACGGGATGCGCGGAGGGGCGGACGTGGGCCGCGGAGTGAGCGCCGACAGTCAGTGCACGACGGCCCGACGCCTGTGTCAATATATACCGTGGTTATTGGCGTTCTCGCTCTCGCGAGAAGTACGCGGCGGGTGGAGAAACGCGAGTGAGTTTTCCGTCGTATTGTTAGCGTGCGTGTTCGACAGGACAGTCGTGCGGTGCGTGGCTACGCGTGTGTGACGGTAATCTTGGAGTGACAGATTCACCCGGCGGAGCCACACCGGTGCAGCAAGAGACCCGAGAGAGAGAGAAAGAGACAGAGGGAGAAAGAGGGTAGAAGAGAGAGGGCGGAGGTGAGCGGCGAGTCATCCCGGTGAGTACACGAATCTCTTTTGGATATGTACGGCATGCGAATTTGACGTAAGAATCCCCCACCTGATCTGACCCTTCTCGATACACGTGCCAGTTCGTCTCGATTTTTGCACGCTCACGAAAAGAGCGCGTCAGTCATAATTTACGATTATGTATATGTTATAAATGTTCACGCCTTGTTACTGCTTCATTTTGTCGCTTCAATTATTACGGCTCTGTAATCAAGCACTCGGAAGATAGGTACATAAACTACGTCATTGACTTTTATGTTTGATTCATGCGCGCGCTCTATTTCGTGTAAAAAACGTCCGAAATGAAGGACATTCTCGAAATATTTGTTATCTGAATATTGGAGATAATACTAATTCTCCATGAAAATAAAACAGTTTTAAATTATCGATAGGATTTTATCAGAAATGATGACGATGTAAAAATAAAATATAATTGAAACTATTAAAAATATTGTATAACTGTTTATATTTAAAAAAAAATAAAAATATATTATTAATACATAATTACAATTATTTTCAATTTATTGGATAAAATAATGGCTCTTGTAAAAAAATTTATATTAAATATATCTGTCAAGGAGAGAGCAAGAAACTAGAACAAAGTCAAGATTTTAAAAAAATCGTTTTTTATCTTAGAATATTGTAAATAAATATACATATGAAGTATAAAATATATAAGTTTTTTCCCGATTTATTAAATATTTAATTAATTAAATAGAGAATAAATTTTATACGCGAGATGTGAGCTGCGATAAAATTTCGTTGCACTTTTATCTGGTTTCATTATCGCTGATTCTTCTCATCCAACGATCTCGCGTTACATTCGTATGATTTTTTTTCCGAGAACACTCGCTAGCTTGGAAATAACGCTCGGTTTCGGCAAATTATTGTATCAGTTTTAATATCGAGACACGCGAGGGAAATATTGAAACATCTCGCTTCGCGAGATGACAATTATCTCGCATGATTATTTCGCGCGATGACGTCCATGTCGATTTTCATGGGACATCCTTGAAACACGAGGGTCAACGAGCGACACGCTTGTTTGACACGATGTTTAACGATCCGGAAAATGCTCGGATGGGGGAGGGAATGGGAGGTGAAGGGAATTGACTTGCAAGGCGATAGGCTGTGGAAAAGCTATGCTTATATCTTTATTTCGTCATCAATTTCTGGTAATAATGAGGGAACTGCCCACGATTGTACAACAATATTAATTTTAATTAAAATATTTTTTAACAATATTAATATTATGATAAGTAATATTTTCTGAGAACTGATTTCTTTTAAAACTATAAAAAAGATTTCAATTTTTATTTTTATTATTTTTATTCTATTTTTATTTCTATTCAATTTTTTTTGTTATTTATATGTGTTCCAGAGTACATAAATTCCCAAGATGTAAATAAATAGTAAAATGCTATTTTCTTCGCTCAATTTTAAGCAACTGTATTCAATGTATTAAATTAATGTATTAAATTCAATCATACTTTTTTTACTGAAAATTAAAGCAAAATTTATAGCGTTGACTGTAAATGTTAGGAAACTCGACAAAGGTTTTCTGTCAAATCTTTTCGAAAATTGAATGAAAGTTAAAGATAATCGGGGTATCCTTCTAACGTCAAGCGAAATTATATACGCTACGTTAATAAAGTCAATAAATATCATTCCGCAATCCGTGAGAAATATTATTTTCGCAATTTTTTCGGCACAACACACTCGAGTTTGAGCAGACAAGGTTGTAACGCGAGTGGGCAAAAGTAACTTTGACAATGTCACAATGACGTGAAATACGCGCGGAAGTCGATGTGCGATAGAGTTCGATGTAACGAAAATTTCGAAATTGTTTGCAATATCATTTCATTGCAAATGAGCAACTGAAAAAACCTCGGAATACAATTTAAAAAATATATAGATAACTATATATACGAGCTTTTTCTTATAGATGTAGAGATCAGCTGATTCTTAATTATTCCAAATATTTACGAACAGGCATCCAAGATTAAATACATAAAAAGGAACTGCCGTTAAATACAAAAAATGTAAGATTGGATGTATCCTGGATGACTCTTCGTAAATATTTGAAATAATTAAGAATCAGCTGATTTCTTTATTAATAAGAAAAAGCTTAATTAAATGCATGAAAACAAGATTCAATCTATAGACAAAATAATTTTTTATTAATAAAATATGTATAATATAATAAAAATAAATATATAATAATAAATATGTTTATATAAAATAATATATATAATAAAATATATAATAATATATATAATATAAATATATAATAAATAATATATATAATATATATAATATAAATATATAATACATATATATATATATATAATAAAATATATAATAATATATATAATAAAAAATTATATATAAAAATTAATATATATATAATAAAATACATATAATAAAATTGTGTAATAAAAATATCTAATAAAATTGTGTGATAAAAATATATAATTATATTCTAATTAAATAATTATATACTATATAAATAATTATATTCTAATTAAATAATTATATACTAATTAATGTAAAACAATGTAATGTTTCGATGAAAGCGTCCCGAGTACAAAGGTTAATTCGAGGAGGGGGAACTTTACTCGAACTTTCCCGCGAATACAGCAGAGTTTGACTCTGGAATGAGTAAGGTTAACACGGAAGTCGTTCCTTCGTATTGCTAAATACGCTGCTTATCTCGGGGCCCATTAGGTATCGTTGATTATCGGGACCGAGATGAAATCGGTGAGGGAATCTTCGCTGCCGATTACGGCCGCACCGGAAGCGGAATGTCGTTACCGAGGCACGATGATGTTGTCGCCGATGGTCTCGCGAGGAGGCCACGTTCGTGCGCGGCATGGAGCATCCGCGCTAATGACGATAATGACGATAACACTAATGACGATAACGTCGGGACGAAAGACGATCTCGGCGACCTAAATACGGTCCCACTCCAATTATCGCGCTCGAACTTTTATGCAAAGTTCAACGAAGTACAGTCGCTTCGCGATTAGAATTCGTTCGATTTGCTTTAATTTGACGCGAGACTTCCGCGAAGTTTATCGCGCGATTGATAGCGCTCTTTCTGGATTTATTGAAATTAAATGTCAATGTCAAATGTCAGGCACGTGCTCGAGTAATGATTATATATATTACGAATATTGTTAATTAATAAATTTATTTTTTTATATCTTCAATTTATTTATTTTATCAACTTATATATTTATACAGGGTGAGGAAAAAGTATGGAAATCTCTAAATTTTTTGAAAACTATGCATTCTAGAAACAAATGTTTCAGACAAAAGTTGTAAGGTTTCAAGTATTGCATTACGTAGCAATATCAGTATAATCTTGAATAACACCATCGAGATTACGTAAAAATCACTTTGAATTTTTTAAATGGAACCCCCTACTTTTTATTATATATTCTTGTAGCTTGTTTCAAGAGCTTT